GGCGCGGCCGAGGCCGTAAATTAAAGGCCGCCGAAAAAAAAAAGACGCATGTATAAAACGGGAGGGCACATAGGTGCAGGTATACGGCAGCACGCACGAGCGACTCACGATTATACGCGATGACTTGTTACTCTGGACGCGCGCTTGGGGAAATTGCATCTCGCGCGATACGTGCGCTGCAATTTGAATTTCCGCGCACGTGCTTTCCCGCGCGGCCTGGCCTGCGACCAAATCTACCTACTGGTGCGATGCTCTCCGCCGCGAGATAACCGTTACGGCGTTAAATAATCTCTTGGCGTGGCTAACGCCCGCTCGCCCGGACGCTCGCGGCTCCTGATGCCTCCCTGGTTTTCGCGCGGACTCTCGCCTTTGGCTGTTAGCGCGGAAAGCCAAGCTGCGTCGCGGAGGTAAGCTCGGGGAGTCGAACGTTACTCGCGCCCAGTGAGCCGTGCGACAGGCAAAAGTAATCTCGAGCGTAGATTGGAAAGCGCGGACAGCCGAGGCGCGGCCCGCGGTCCGCGCAGACGTCATTAGCGAAAATACAAGCGTCGCCCCTTTGTGCGAGCGAGCGGCGAACAAAAGGCAGCAGGAAAAGAAAGCGAGAGCGCACAGGGGCTTAAGAGCTTTGGAGGTCTGCGCTGCGTACAGCCAAGCATAAAAAAACGAAAACTATTGTGCTTCGGATCCTCGAGGGTGGAAAAATTTACCGAGCCCTCTCTCTCTCTTTCTGTCTATTGGTGAAGGAAAACAATACAACGATCGCGAAAATTTCCACTCTCATTCGTATACGTATCGCTTCGCGCGAGCGGATTCACTCGCCTCATTCCGCGGCCGCTTGCACATTTGCATTTCGGAGTTAATTGCGCATTCGCCGAGCTTGAATTGCTAATTGCAATTGGGAGAGAAGGTGCGTTTCTTTCTTTGCGCCAACGGTGCGTGGCACGCAGTCGTGCGTGCGCGTGTGTCTTTGGGATAGGTGGACATGCAAAACGGAGTGCTAATCGAACATGTACACGCGCCGACAGTGGCCGCTGGGCCAGTTAATTCCAGCGCACCTCCGCGCCCTCGTACGGGGTAAATCAATTGTGCGACCCGCTTGTCGCTATATATATTGCATCGCGACCGCTGCCTGCAGTCCTGTAAATTCTGAAGCGCTAATTCGGATCACCCTTAGAACCCCAGCCCCAATTACCCTTTGATGGGGACTACGTTCACCGACTGCATTTTGCAAGAGGACACAGCGATTGCTTGCCTGTTGCGATATGACGATCATGCTTAGCAAACGGTAACCAATTGATTGACGAACAATGCAGTCGGATGAAAGCTTCATCAAAGTTGCCGAAAGAGCGAGAGGTGGAAGTAGCCAGCCAGGACGCGAAGTGCAACGGTACTAGTATCTTAATCGTAAAAGCAAATTTAATTTACCAGTAAAAAATGAATCGTATTACTAGCCGCGCGCCAGAAATATCCAACCTCCACCGCCGCGCTGGTTGAGCAAATTGAGTGCCCTCATCTTTAATTAATCACTGAAATATTCAGGCACCCGCACAACGCTTTCACAGCGAGAGGCAGTTGGAACCCGCGTCGACATCTCATTAAACCGTTCGATAAATGCATAAATTGTATATATACTATACGTTTTATGCGTTTTATTTACCCCCTCACCTCGTTGCAGGGTGCACTCGGTCCAATAAATATTCGCTTCGGAAGACATGAGATATTAAACGCTTGAAATTTGGTAACCGCTTGAAAAATCGGTGGCGTTTCGTAAATCAATCAACGGGCACGTGATGCTTTAACAACGTTTTTACCAATTTCCATACTCGCGCCGCGCACCGGGGCACAATTCATTTGCAAAAGCAGCCTCCCTGAAAATCAGCTTCGTTATATATCTGTCGGCCTTGAGCGTGCGAATGCAAATATGTCCGTTGAATAATAAAAGCTCAACTCGAGCACAATGTTCGTGTGGATTTTTCTCGATTATAGATGGGTAAAGAGAAGGAAAGAGCGGAGTAAAGGACAAACGTCGTCGTTGTCGTTTTTGCTTGCCCTCTCAGCGCCGACCGCAAGTGTTTTATCGGCTCGGATGTACATGTACGGCTCGTCTTGAGAGTTATGTGTTTTCGGTCGACGATGTGCCAACTCCCAGCCACTTGTATTTTTCCAGCTGTCCATTCTATCTCTCTGCCTCTACGCGACCCTTCAGCGTTCGTCGGATCGAGCCCCGGGATTCATGACAAGGGATATTCTTTTTGCCGCATCAATTATATTTTTCCCCCGTCTATACAGCAGCAGCAGCAGCAGCAGCAACAGCAGCAATAGCAGCCAATTCAATTCTAAGCCAAGTTAATAGAACTTTCAGCGGATAAATTCATTAGCTTCGGACGGGTGGAGGGTTGGGCAAGGGACTTCGATTCTCTTTTTTCCATTGGCGTGTCTCCGCATTATCCTCGGGGCTTTGTTCGTACGGCGCCTTGCCTAATTTCCCCTCTTTCTTATTCCCGCGCTATTTACCTCTCTCACCCGCTGTAATTTCTACCTCGTTGCGCGCTCGTTATGCTCTCTCTTTGTCTCGTCGCGATCGTTCTCCCATTCCTTCCCGTGAATTAAATCGAGCTCGACGTTAAAAATGAAAACTGATTTCTCGTCTTTCGTTCGGGCATTAATTCACTCGCACGGCGTGCGGATGTAAATTATCGGAAACCGCAGGCAGCGGCGGCGGGAAAAGCGGCGTCATATATCTCGGCCGCCGCGGGCGAGATTTTCGCAGCTGCCGCGGCACATAAGCGAGTCTCTTTCTCACGCGTGCGCGGACGAGCCCGAGAATACCTAAAAAGAGGTCGAAGAGGAGCTGCTCGAGAGCACGAGGGCGCAAGACGCGTGGAACAAGTTTATTGTTATCGCAGCTGAGCTTGTGGCCGCGACGCGATGCGCAGATTAATTAATTTTCTAGCTTCCTCGACTGAGCGATGATCATTCCTGTGTGCTTTCGTGCTTTCCTGTGGGCTTAGTCGAGAGTGATTGAACTCCTGCGGCGGCGAACCTTCTTCGGTGCATTTTTTTTCGTTCGCAGACCTTCAACGTCAAGTATTCATTTTTACTTTTCTAATACTCGAAGTCCGTTATCATTTTTTATTGTGTAACTTTCGTGTAGCCCATTAATTATACAACGTGATATTTGATGTTTTGCCCAATATAATCTATTGTCAGCCAGCACAATTGAATAACTGTACGACAATGATAGTATTACGAATATACATGCTGCTCGAAATCACTTTATAAACGTAAATACGTCTGTAATTTCATAAATTTTATTGGAATATCTTGTTAATTTTTTACCATTAAAAAAACTCGAAATAAATATTGGTCGCATTCCAATGATAGATACAATTTCCAGAAGCATGCAATACATCAAAATAAAATTTCCGCATCTTTTCCACAAAGAAAGTAACATCAAGATCGACCGAACGACTTTATTTCCCGTACCCTACTCATTCCTCAACATCCAAGTAATCGAAAAAAGAAGTAAATAAAAGAGATGAAATTGGAGGAGCGCGGCTGAAAGAAAAGTCAATGATTCGATACGTGCGTCTGGAAGTATTCCGTGACAAGTCTCTCGGCACGTAGCACCTTCCAACAAAAAGACCATTAACCGCGCGCACCCAGCAACTCCCCCCTCCCGTCCTCGTCGTCATTTGCATCGTCGCGAAAACTCGACACCATTTTCCTCTCCGTGGATATTCAATAATGACGCGAAATCGCATTTGGATAGCAGAGGGCTGGAGCGTCGCGCCTCGTCGCGAGAATAATGGTGCTCTCGCTTGATTTAAGGCCAACGTCCTTTGGAATATGGATTGGCGACGACTGGCACGATCGCTCATTTCAATGCACGCTGGTACACTCCTCCCCTCGTGAAGCCGCCAAGGAGACGACGAAAAATCGCTCTCTTTATTTAGCAGCGTTCGAAACTAGCAGCGCGCGCGAGACCGAGTGGGTGGGTACGCATCCGGCGAAAATTGAATCGACGCGTAGACTGACGTTGAAACGCGCTTATCGCCTTTAACGAGCCGAAAAACGCTGCCGCTGCTCCTTTTTCCCTCTCTTCGCGAGAGCGCGCAGACGGATAAAAATAAACGGGCTCGACTGCGCGTGCGAGCTATCAAAACCAATCAATGATATTCCACTTTGACGATTTCTTAATTTGAACGAGAACGCAGTTCATATTGAAATGCGCCTGTAAACATATCACATATCCAGCAACGACTATAACGAGCGTTTGACCGGGCGACATATTTTAACGTATACGCGCAAACGTTGCAACAAGCAAAGGGCTTAATTGCGAAGTAATCATTCGCCAGCATTGCTGATATGTTATTACTGATTAATTTACGCAGTTAACGCGCGCGAGCAGCGCGCAATATCGAGAGAAACGTAATTGACAGAGCAAGCATGTCGTCAAAGTGCGACGCGCATACGGGTATATATGTATCGATCGCCAATTATTTTCGCAGGTTTTCCTCGTTAATAACGGGCTGCAGCCCCACTTCCTGGCTACGCGATTATCGCCTGCGTGTGCGTGGGCGACGCTTCATTCGATTAAAAGCGCGCGCGACGTGTGCTTGCCATTAGCACACGCTGCGGCGCTCTCGCGCTTATCTTTTTTAAATAGCTGCGCGCGCTGCTACCAGCTTTAATGGGATGATCCATCGCGCGCTTCTCGGAAAATGATAGGCTGCTGATTATTGCATTGGCCTTTCCAAAGTGCAGCAGCTCCAGCACAAACGTCACCTTCATTTTTCGACGCGCCATACGTTAGCCAGGCTGCGGCGCGTTCGCGCAGAATGATTAACAACGCTTGCATTCCGTAACCCACTTTCGTGAAAATCGATGCGCAATAATGCTTCACATAATGATCGAAACGGAGCTACCAGCAGGCTCAACGATAACAGTCCACATACGCGCGACCGTGCTCACAGTTTTGCGTACGCGAAAGTCCTTACCAAACGGAGTTGGAGTTGGCGCGTTCCAATGCCACTACTCCCACGCAGTCTTCCTCATTTCGATGGCTGTCATACGTTCGCAGCGAGAAGACGACAATAACTAAATCTCACTTATCCGAATGAAACTCACGAATGGCCACTCGATTTTTACCGACTCTTTCACCTCTTGGATTTTTTCGCTATTTTTCTCCTCTTTCTCTTTTATTTTTTTCTGATTTTGTAGACGCGCACTCTCCACGTGCACTTGGTGTCGTTGGAAAGTGAACTCGACGCGCGTGCTCGCGAGCAACGAACGAAGGGTGCGATGCAAAGCCGAGCAGGAATGCTGCGAGACTGACTGGCGCGAGTGGCGCGCGCAACCCTCCTATCGCGAGCAGACCTTCTTTCGACTCGGGTGGCGCTACTGCTGCTACTGCTCCATACCACAAACGCTGTGCCGTGGCGCGACCTACGCGCGTCGACCGTGATATCGAAGAAAAAAATAACGCGATAACGGAGACTGCACAATTATGTCAATCGCACTGCTGAAGAAGATGGATACTCGCGTGTACAGCCTCTTGAGGAATTGCCGCCTTCTCTACCCTTCTCTTTTTGAAGGATCGCTATCTCGACTTGCCATCGCCGGAAGGGGAATCGAGCTTATTGCGAGAGATTGGTGAGAGATTGGCAATTTGCGCTTGCTTCGGGAATATTTTTTGGCAGTGATGAGGATTTATGAAGATGTTCCGTTGATAGGATTACCCTAAGCGCGAGGAGAGATTATTACAAAAACATTATTCTTGAAGGATGCCGAAACTGCCTCTTTATCGCGTGATTCGCATAAAACCTCAAAAAGCTCTCGTTTATTTTGAATGGGGTGTTGACAAAGTCGACTTTTTCATGTTGGCTTGACTCTGCGATATGCTTTCATTGCCCGCTAAAGAGAGAAAACTAAGAAATGAACTTCCAAGGGCGTTTTTCCAAAAAAGTGAACGATAACGTTTATCTATTACGCTCTCGCGAACTGTATTGGATAAGCTGGAAGACGACTAAGTTTCCGATAAAAAAATAATAAGGTCGCCGGGCGACATTCCGTTTTGTCTCTTTGTTTCTTCCGCAATTATCCTGCGGCCTCTCGAGTTATCGATGAACTCGAAGGGTAAACTTTATAACTGTCACTGATATTTTTGTACGAATATTCGTCTTTGGCAAAGAAGAAAAAAGGAAATGTGTTTTATTAAAGACTCCGTTCGAGTAGCTCCAAGAGCTGTTCGTCCTAGGTGTAGTTACAGTTATATTACGCGCGGTCTCGCTCTTTTATGAGGCGCATAATAAACAGGATTCACGGGGAAATGCACCGAGCGGGAGCCTTTGAGCGACCGCACAAATTTATGCCGTTGCCCTCTCCCCCTCCTATTCTCTAGCTACGGCGCAACCATAAAATTCAACTGACTTTTAACTACCTCGGTAATAACTTTATCTATAGCGTTTCTCTTTCCAATGTCCTGGTTAACTTATCTCTTCTAATCGACCACGAAATTCATTATTGAAAAAGCCCAGCTATTTATTTAGTTGAAAATTATTTTAATCGAACGAACACTCTTAGAGGCTTTTTGTGATATGAATTACACAGATTACTTTGCAAACTCCTTCGTATCGTTGCTGATAACAAGGTACTCCACGTTGACGTCCTTATTTCCATCGATAGAATTTGGCTGATCATCTGACTTGTACGTCAAAAACTTGTTGTTCAGCGCGTTCTCCAACAGATCCCACGTAGGCAACCTGTCATCGTCGTCATCTTTTTCGTTGTCATTCGTGTTAGCTTCGATCGCGTCCTCGGTCTTGACTCTAGAGAATGTGCTATTACAACTGACGCTATCCCAGAGCGGCGACGTGCCTGCGTGTAAACCGCAACGTACATAAACTTTGAGTATACTCTGCCTCTCTCTCTCTCTCGCTCTCCCTCTCTCTCTCTCTCTCTCACTCTCTCTCTCTCTCTCCCTCTCTCTCTCTCTCTCTGTCTATCGATTGCATAAATTAACGTCGCACTACGCGACACTAACCTCGCACATTGTCCCAGATAGCAGTGTGATGCCTCTTGAGTCGAGTGTGTCCGATGGAGTTAGCGGCCGAAGAAGCAGCCCAGGAAGACGAAGCCATGGAGGTGGAATCCCAGGTCGGCAACTGACTTCGGCTCCTTAGCCCTCGAGTCAGGGTATCGTGTAGCTCGGATATCTCACGGCGCAGCTGAAGCTGACGCTCCTGAATGATTCGTTGCTGGCGCGTATTCGGCGAGTCTTGCACCGCGGGCGACGACACATCGTACAACTTTGACTCCGACCTGCGCAAGTGCACAAAGGAAGCGGCATGTATTTCGGCTAGAATGATCTTTTATACCAGCCGATGCAAGTTCTAACTGTAGGCAACACGAAATTCTTTCCATTTTTGTTGTCCTCCCTGCCGCGACCCTCGACGCTTTTATCGTTAGTAAAACTCGGTTGCGGCAATTACGCGCTGACGAATTTTGTTGTTTGTAGCCGTCGTAAACAAGTTTTAGCTGCCCGGCCCTATCAAAATATGAGAACGGCTGTAAGCCATTAGCGGATAAAAGAACAAACATCGCATGGAAATCGTCGCGAGCGCGGACAAGTAGTAAAACGCGAGAAATAGTCGGACCATGACATGCACGGACGCTATCGTGTATATAATCCAAATCGTTTGCGAGTCGCGCGCATGGCGAACACGCGAATAACGTTAAGCGCCAATTCTGAACCGACAGGCCATGTCGTGCGCGGCCGATTCGCCGCGTATAAGTAATTAGCGCACGACGGTGCGGAAACACCATCTCACCGCATTTACAATGAGCGCGCGCGGAGGAATATACTCCCGCGCTTGTGGGGACCGGCCTTGGTTAACTACTCGTGCGCTTGAGTGAATTAAGTTATGCCCATTGAATTACGATGCATTTGATCGCACTACAACGCCGTACGCGGAGCACCTTCGTCGTAATCGACGCGCCGAGAAAAACCGAGAACTCGACTAGTTTTATCGCGAGCAACGTAAATCGACGTACTTGGCTATCGTCGGCGGGAGGGGCGGGGGCCGGAAAGAGAGCGAGGGCTATATGCAAATTCGATCGCAGTACACATAGAACAAGATCTATGGCGATGTGTCTATAGATGGAAAAGCGAAATTGCCGCGGGCGATGCTTTTGGTCTCGCGGAAAACCGCAATAATTCGACACGGCTATCGCAGTTCTCGTGGAGAGGGATAGAAATTGGCAGCTCTATGTGCCGAGAGAGAGTGAGATAGAAAGGCTTGTTACAAATAGAATTTTGGCTCTTTGCATGAGAGGATGGTAGCCCCGTTAGCAATTTCCCCGAGTTTCTCCCGTTGATTTGCTTGTAATGAATTTTCCAGCGTGCAACAAACAGAATTGAACGGAGTCTCGGAATGTTTCTTTTCTGTTCGTTTTCACGAGCGACGAATTGAATTTTTATCAATCGACGAGGATCAAAATTCATCGATCGGCCATCGGCGATCGTCTTCAATGAAATATTAAAGCAACGATGGCGCAGCGCGCTCGCTTGACACTCAACGGGGAGCGCGCGCCATGCAGAAATATTTTCAGCAGCAGCATCGGCGAAATCAGGCGGTAATTGAGAATTTAATCATCGCGCTAATCGCACATCGTCTGCAAATTATTGGTGCTTCAATAAGCGCGCTCTCGCTCGCTCTGTATTGATCGGAACTGCTCGCACACGCGCGCAACGTCCCTCTGCGTGCATATTGTGTTAAACCGCACAGACGGACAGGAGGCGGTATAAGCTAATTAAAATATAACTCCCCTTTCGCGCGTGTCGCCCGGCGGCCGAGCACGCTCGTCAATTAATTGGCGCGCTTTTTCCCCGCGCGCAGGCGCCTCGCAGTAATTGAACGTAATTAGCAAGAGGCAATTGTGCATGGCGAAATAATAATAATAATGCTTCACCTGGGCGTGTAAAGCTGACGTTGCACGCCGACCAGACTGGCCGGATCGGGACAGCTAGCACGTCTCAGTCGTCGACGGGCAGCATCTCGTGACACTCTCCTCACCATTTCCAGCATCGCGTTACGTTCTTCCGCCGGTAAGAGCTGCGCTACCTCCTGCAACACCTGCGTCACCAGTAGCAAAGTGCTAAGTTTATAGGCGATGGCTTATTTTCCTCTTCGCGCTGCGCCCAACGGTGGAATGAAGAGCGACGATGGCGTGACCGCGCGCGACGCAACCAGTGGGATGCTCTCTTTTTATAGCTTTATTTATGGGGACGCTCGAGCGCTGTCGAGCTGGAGAGGAAGGAACCTGGCCAGATGTGGGTTAGACGCACATGGACTTAATCCGTTCGGAATAGTCTTTGGAAAATCACTCAGACGCGATAAGTCAAGTTTTTGTGGTGCTGCACGTTTGCCTCTGCTCCTCGTTAATATCATCGACTGATGAACGAATAATTGAGAGCCACTAGTTTTCTCCTTTCAAAGATTTCCCAATGAAAATCCATTCGTAAATTTAATCCCAAGAAGCGGCGAGATTATTCTATCTTCGACAAGAAAACGTCCGAAGACAAAAGAAAAAGTTCGCTGAATTAGTAACTATTTGTAACGCGATCTCTTCCATTCAGATCTTGAAGCCAGAAATTTTCAATTCGACTTGTAAAACCAAACCGCTGATAAGTAAAAACCAGCTGGTCTATGTATGTGAGTTGTGTGTGTGTGAGCTTTCGCCACTGTCGCTCGCTGAAGCAAACTTATTAATTAAAAAACTTGTCGGGGCGAAAACAAATTAAGTCTTAGCCCAACAAAGCATCCCAGAGCCGTAAAAAAGAGAAAAAGTCTCGTGCTATATAGACCCGCAAGCTCGGACGGCAGCTTTCGTGCCCTCTGAAGCTATCGAAATCCAATATTCCGCTGTGTAAACGCACACGTGTGCTTGCTACTGCTGCAATACAACTTGCTCCCTTAAAGTCTCGAGGCTTTAATGAGAATACGGAGAGCAGAGGTGGTTGTGTAAAAGACCAAGTTAACTCGAAAGTAGTTGTACCCGATTTCAGAAGCGGTGAACTTAATGGAAAAACAGTCTAATAATCGAGTAAGAAATTAATGTCCAGGCTGCATTTCTGCTTCGCCGACTCACTGTCAACATGACTAGGCTTATCTTTTGTGTTTGTCAATGACACTAATTAAAAAACAACACAGCTTACTAGAGATACGTTGAAGCAACATGAGGTCAGCGACATCGCGCAAGGTACACCTAGTTTCTGGACGAGAAATTACGGACGACAAGAATATAGTGGCCTTCCTCGAGGGAATATAATCCGGTCAGCGCGCACCGGCTTACTTCGAGGCTCGACTCTTGCTAAATAAAGTACGAACTAGTCGGTATCTTTAGATCGCTTCTTGTGCTAGACCAGAGCGCGTCGCGCGTATTTGATCGTATAATCCTCCCAAGGGACTTGACTTGGTATACTTGCGAGCTAAGAGTGCAGGCTTTTCCACGTACGCGCAATTATTCCGTAATTGACAGTTTCGCCGAATTATTAAAGACTCGTTCGTCTGACGAATACCTGACATCACAATAACAAGTGCGCCATTCAATTACGGCTTATTACGATGTACTGGCTTGATTGTTTGAACGCGCTAATGCGAAGTACAACTCGTTATTAGCTGCATTACAATGCTCAATGAAGCGTGTGTAATCCAGTGAGCAATACTACCACTACGCGCCTGATCGTGCCTGCTAAAATTATATTTCGAGATTCAATTATTGCAAGCTCCGTCGCACGCGCAGCGTCATAAAATATCGCGTGACCGAACGCCCGGCTGACGGCTTATCAAAACCGATCCTCGCCCCTGCGCAAGGCGGTTAAAAGTCTACTGACTGGAAAAAGGGAATTCTCGAGTGCAGGCCTCCAAAGAGCTCGTAAGCTTCGCAATTTTTCATGCATCCGCGCGATCGAATGCGCTCTCGCAAAGAGAGAGTTCCAAGAGTGTGCGTTCAAGTTTAATGGTTGGATGACACTTTTCCATATTGTTTCACCAAAAGACCTCGTTACTTTTTAATAGCTTTTTCAAGTTCGAAAACCATTTTAGACTGACTTGCTAGTGATCTTTGATCTTGTACTCCGAGCGTAGACTTCGGAGACTGGACAAAGTCCCTTCGGGTACTAAAATTCATAGGATGTGCGTCGGTATTTGCTTCGTCTGGCGTACTATTCAGATTTAACAAGGATACGTTGTATGGATATTTTCCAAATAATATAGCTAGACAACGTTGCAGAAGTCGATATTTCAGATAGTCATATGCTTTCTGTGTTTTTTCCACCTATCGTATTATCGCAACTTCCAAAGTGCGGAAACTCAAAAGATGTCTGTTTCCACTAAGCCATCGATGTTTCAAACAAATAAACTGGATACTACTCGATGGAAGAATAAGCGTTTGATCAGCGCTTAAGCGATGACGAAGGCAGAGCTTATGGTGAACGGTCGCGAAAATCGATATAGTGCGAATTAACGGCCAGGTAAATCCTTCAACAGATCCGTTACCAAGTCGGCTAAACAGACATTCTCTAATACCGCGCGATCGCAAACTTTGAATCTCTTATCCGGTTATTGGTTTCGGAGATTAATAGTTTCTCGACTCTTGGCTTTAACACCTTACTTTCCCTTTTGAGCCGCTACAAATGTACTGTCCAGCTGTATAAAATTGGGCCTGTCGTTTGTACGAGTTTGCCAAGTTTTGCGCGAGAGCGTGAAATATCGTCGGCGTCGACGACGTGCTCGAGTAAAAGAAGAGATCGAGATTCTCGCGTTAAATTCAATCAAACTCGCGAACGGGTGAGTTGAGGAACAAATAATTAAGCCAAATCACTTTCTCGGGCACGGGCCAAGGCGTTCATTTGTATCCTCGGCGAGCGTGAGGAAGCCTCGACAAGCGCGAGGCTGAATATCGATGAGCCGAATTTCGCACACTCTTGCCCCCGCCTGCCAAACTTTGAATTCGGCCAGCACAGATTGAAGTCATTCAAAGCGGACTGCCTATGACTTTTCGGTCGTAACACATCGACCGTCTACAAATCCCATTTCGGGTAGTTCTTTCGTCTTTTGTTCAGCTTGCATTGAAGAGTAGAGCGCAGAGACGAGAACATGCTATTCTTATACGGATTTACGGAAAAGGATCCACCACTTTATACGGACATCTTGCGTATGCAAAGTAAGGAATTCAGATTCAGCAAGGGAGGATACATATGCTGAATGCGCTGATTTCCAATTCCCGTGCGATCTGCACTTTCATTGCTTGCTTTCGCTCTCTCTCTCTCTCTCTCTCTCTCTCTCTCTCTCTCTCTCTCTCTCTCTCTCTCTCTCATCTGTCTCTCACTCGCTTGTCGGCTCCTTCTCCACTTACTTTCTAAGCGACTGTTCGATACTGTGATAAAACGAGCGATCACTTTTTTACTTTGCTCTTCTAATCTTTACGAGATGCAACATATCTTATCTCGTTCGGGCGAGAATCCATAGACGACAACACTTGTTAAACTTTAGGTTTCAATATTAATAACAAATCCATTTGTCTTTATTTTACTATCTGCAAGAGCTTGATTAGTCTAGGAGCCAGAGGAGAGGCGGTGTCGTGGTCGATAGGGGTAAAATGTTTTACCCAAGTGGCTTTTATGTATTTTGACCGGCTGAACCAAATTTTAACGGTGGCTCATCGAGAAGTGTACCTTTACTTAGTTCTAACAAATTAATTGTTTAGATGACAATAAAAAATTATTAAGAATCTCAGCAATATTTTGAAATATATCATGCATATCCGAACTCGCAATGAAGAAGTAGCATTCTTCAAATTCAAAAAATATTGCGTAGAACTCGAGATATTGCGCAAAGGCACGCACCAAGCGCGCAATGCAGCTGTCAAATTAAATTTCAAATATCTCAAGTCGTATTGAATATTTTTCTAATCTGAAAGAACCTGCTCATTTCTTACGAGATAAGGAATTTTTGTCCGTTAGCAAAATATAGATAAATCTATTGATAAACTAGTTATAGTCATTTAAATATGTAAATGGTTAATGTTAAATTAACCGTTAATTTACTAAACCACCTTGTGTTCAGCGAGTCAAAATACATAAAACCGAGATAGGTAGAACATTTTACGACTATCATCTCAGACCCCTCCCCTGCATGTGGCTCCTAGACTGTAATTATAAGGAGCTAAGGAAACAGAATAACTTTGAAAATGAATACGTTTTTATAATATATTATTCAAACGTGAATTTCCGCAGCACGATATAATAAAAGTTAATTCGATATTCACTTTTGATCTCTTGTTGAATATCACTAACGAACAAAAACTTAAAAATCAATACCCCACTAATGAAATATCTTTGCGAAACTAAAAATCTCGCAACTTTTCCGATAACTATCACACGTATAGGAGCGTAAAGCGTAAGAGCAAAAAAAAAACAGTGTGAAAGACAACTCATGTGCACTGTGTGCTCATTATAACGCCGGCGAAGAGAAGTCAGGTGAGTTCATTTAACCGACAAAGCCCAAAAGGGGAGAGTAAGGGGCAGTCCACTATCGACAGCGCGGCAGAGCGAGGGGGGGAGCGGTTACCTCATCAGAAGTCAAAGCCCTGTCAAATGCACAACACGCTGGACCGTGGTATAAAGAGCTTTTGCGCACACTCACCCGAAACTTGTTGAGGCTGACCAGAGCCGGAATCAAGCCAGCGGGTCCGCGTTGTCGGCCTCGTCGCCTTGCCGTTACCACCGCAAGTGTCAAAGGGCTTCTATCTCGTAACTCCACATGGCCTGCAACTATTTATCGAGCCTTTTCACATTTTTTCAGACTCACAGATATAAAACGAGATATTTCTAAAAGAAGATGCGTAATTCAATTTGGTCTTTCTAACTCTCGCTTTATAACTAATCATTTCAGCTGCAGGCTTAATACTTATTTAAATCAAGAAAATTCAGTTAACTGTTGTTTCGCGCTCTCTCCCTTCCTCTCTCTCTCTCTCTCTCCCTCGCTCTGAGTAGTGTCGTTGTTATCTTATGAAAAGCGAAATATATATATCTGTATACCTTTCTCTTTGACGTCGTCAGCTTTGGCAGCGAGAGATCTCAAAGTAGCAAGTAGCGTGTCGTTAGCCGTGATCATAGCGGCACGCGCAACACTCGACTTTCTGACTGCACTACCGAGGCTCCTTGCTTTGCTCCAGGTCGAGTATGAATTAGGTCCCTGGTCCTTGGCGAATTTCAACTGATACCTGAGCGCACGCGTGCGTACGAGGGTTAGAAAGCGATCGAATGAACAGTTTAACTGTCGCGAGACAAAGGTCCCGAGGGGATAATGTCACCGCGATACCACTACTGCTGCGCTGCATCCTTTGTGTATCGATTGGACAGCGTGCTGCTGTAACGAGCTACAGTAGCGCTTCGTTAACTTCCACGCGAGGAAACAAGCGATCCCGCCATCCGCTGTCGACATTCGACGATCTTGTCGAAAATGCATTCTCGAGAACTTCCGTCCGAACTTTGCGAGCGATCAAGCCAGCCTAAACGTGGGAACGACTAGCGAAAAAGTGTACCGAGCCAGCTCGTGCTCGGAACCGACAATGCAGCCGGTGACTAAGGCAAATTGCGAAAACTTGAGCTGGCTACCCGCGGCCCCGCGCGGTCAAGAGGCAAACACGGCTCCGCCGCGGCGAGCGGATCGCAGCGAGCGCGCGATCGATCGAACGAGGAAATGACGCAGCAGCGAGCGGATGCCAACCTGAGTATGCGCTCGGGCGTGAGGAAGACCAGACCGAGTCCGTGTCGAGGCTCGGCACGCTCGATCTGTCGCGCGAGCTCGTCGGGCCAGCACCAGCCTCTGGACAGCGACTCGACAATGCCATTAGCCGGCTGAATCTCGCGTTGCGCCACCAACTTACAGAATGCAGCGAGCGAGCGTGTTTCCGCCGAGTATCTGTCGGTACGGGCGCGCCACGATTCCACGTGCCACGCGTACTCGTGCGACGCGTTGAACAGATTGCCCAGATACGGGCGCAGCAGCGGACCCAGCACCTTCTTGTCCTCCTCCATACCTGCAACGCGCAAAGCCTCATGTGCCAACTCGGCCGAGCGCTGAATGTCGCCGCTCGCTCTTACCGAAGTACAGCCACTTGAGCAGTGCCTTGGCCATGACGGTGGTGTTGTCCAAGTCGAGATAGGCAGTGTCGCGATCCTTCTTCACCACGTCGATCAGCACGTCGACGGATCGATCGAAGTAGGCCTTGGCGCAGCTTCTTTTTCTCTCCGCGCGTCCGCGTCGTTGATTGTGCTTTCTCCTGCGCGCACTGCTCGCGCTCGACGAGTGGGAAACTTGGTCCTTCGCCTGCCTCAGTACCAAGCTCAGTAGATATATCAAGTTATCAATAGCCTCGCCGCACTGCCAATCCGCCGACAGATTGAAGAAGCTGCGGCAGGTGTCGTAGCTGCCCTGCGCGACAATCGAACCGTGGCTTTCGTCGCTTCTCAGCTGAACGCAATTGTCGTTTTCCAATTACGCAGCAATTACCTGCTGTAGAGTATCCTTTGCTCGTAGCACCTCTTTGACGAGCAATCCGAGATACTGCAACTGACGTGGCCCGTAGCCGTAATGGCCGGACATACTGCCCCTGGGTAACGAAGCCATGACCTGCCTCCACCGTGAAACCAATTCCCTCTCGAGCAGCTCGCCGGCGGCGAGGCCGCGTTGCGCGGGGTAGTGCAGCCACTCGAGCGAGTAGGCGTGCAACGCCGACAGGTACGCCTCGAGAAGTCGAGCGTCCCGTGCGTAAGCGTCTTCGTGTACTGATGTTCCACCTGAAATATCGTACAGCGGTTCACAAGCGCTTACGCATCTCGTCCGAGTGTTTCAGCTCGATGGCGACCGGCGCGTATTGATCAGAATTCGATACCTCTCGCGTGACAACGAAACACAGTCCGATCAATCAGCAACGCAACGATCTTACACTACTGATCGCTGGAGGAACGGCCCCGGTACACGTCGGGTAAAATAGCTGGCAATCTCACTTGAGTGCGTGAGAGAGAAGGCGATAAATATCCGACAGCGGCTATGCAGTGCATACTCGATGGTCGTCCACGGTAGTTTCCTCGAATCGCGAGGGTTTCGTCCAAGTAGCGAGGGATGCCTACTGCCAGAGCAGCTCGGGTCTGTAGCGCGTAATGAAACTATAAATCATCGCGCGGACGCGCGTACGGCGCTGCCCCTGCCGATGGAACGCGCGTGATCGCGAATGGAAGATGTTGCGCGCGTTCACGAGCCTCGTATATAGTGGATGTTTACAAGCGCATAGTCGATTTTTAGTGAGTTATAGCGCACTGTATGTTTATTGTTCAGAGGCAATTGGGAAGCGAGCGAATCGTATGAACATTGATCGCACAATTAGCCCTACGAAATTTCTTTTGTCCAATGGGAACCACAACCTTCTGAGCGTGTGAAAACAATATAAATCCCGGGCCAGCGGACAAAGTGAGGATGAAAAGCACATGTGAAGCACATAGCATTATCGAAAGAGATTATGTTACTCGCGCAGCGAGGGAAGGGACGAGTTGAGAGGCCAGCCACGCGGAATCGTCCGATACTTCCGCGTCAGTGCGCGCTCTCTTCATTTCCCTCTCGTGTACATGTCTGTACGTCTATGCGCGGCTAGATTTTCGGCAATGCGGAGGCAATGGCCGATCTTTCGTGGGTCGTTGATCACGTGACTCAACGTTTGGTCGTTTGTGGCTTGGCTTTGATGTTTACAGGTGGCTTTTGGTTCATTGAATCGGTGGCCTTGATCACACGCCCGACCGCCAGTGCAATGATCTTGAAATTAAATTATATCATGTCGCTGAGCTTTCGACCGGAAAGGTGCGCGTGCGCTCGGATTTAATCGCGCGATTCGGCCGCACTAGTCAATTTCGCGCCAACTGATTCATTTGAAAAAAGAAAAATCCATTTCCACTACGAGGACTCATCTGCTTGAAGTACGCGTAAACGCGACGTCGCAGGAAGACGCGAAATCACGCTGCGCGCAACAATTGCTAAAATCCGCAGAGCGAGCTTAATCCAAACTCGCGAGCGCTTTCTCATCACGCGAGCGCCGGGAAACGGGCGGAAAAGTTTTCGCCGGCGAAATTGCGAACAGCTGCACCCCGTGGATGCGACGCTGACGGCCTATCCCGTATACGTACTGCTCTCGTGCAGCCGAGCTGCGTGCGTGTAATTATCAGGGTCCCAGATTGAATCAAAGCAGTTTGCGCTGATAAATTTCGATAAATTTCGACGAGTAAGAAGTACGTACCCCGGGCGCACTGTAGCATGAGGTTGCATCGCGGTTGAAAGTAACATCGCAGGTTTTGACAGCGCAAGGCGCGCAGCAACTCGTCGAGGCTCAGAAGCACGTGCTGAGCGAGGCTCTCGGACGACCAGCTTCTCAAGGGATCTGGCCCGGCGCGTTGCTCGAGTGACCACCAGTGAATCGCTCGAAGAATGTGCCTGGAGACCAGTCGTAGCCTGCCCTGTAAAACGCTCCGCTATTCCGTACATTCGTGTTCCCTTCGCAAATGGTGCCTTGAGAATTTGCAGCGACATTTTGTCAGAGCGAAGCCAATAAGTTCATCACGGCACTCCCGTGATCTGTTGTGCGAGCCTTTTTGACTGAGCTTGCAAAACATCATCCGAAAAATTCTCTCAACAATATAGTCGCGTTCGAAGAGTAAATCCATCGTAACTTGCATTTTCAACAAACGTTCCATTTCTTTAACTAAATAGATTTTCTCTTGGGGTATAGAAAACGAGACATAAAACGAATGTTCTGTCGGAAGTTCTCGACAATACTTGTCACTTGAAGATTAAATTAACACTTCGCGTCCGCGTCAAACTTTTAAAATTGATCTCGGCTATTAACGTTCTCGCAAATCAATCTTTGTGAAGAAGCGATAATCAAGCTAGCGAGTGAGAGGGAAAGAGAGAGAGAGAGAGAGAGAGAGAGAGAGAGCGATCATCCGATCCTCATAAAAAATAAACTCGCGCAAGCTTAGATGGAGGGAGCAGCATGGAAAGTACGATCAATCACGATGCGCGGGGTCGAAAAAGTTTTAATGAAAGTGAACTGGCGCGCAGCAGCAGCCGCGCGAGCGCGAACGCTTGGGAGTCCATGAATGAAACAGAGAGAGCTCGCGCTCGCGCGCGTTCAACAAAAAGGAAAGAAAGAAATAAAACGTTCGATTGCGCGCAAGCGTGTCTATAGGAAATGGACGCAATAAATATCGAGGAAATACTGGCGCACAGGTAATACTATGTGCACAGTTCCCTTGAAAGTGCCTCGAGGAAGCTATCGAGTTGTGCCTTATTTATCGCCGACTCCCTTCGATCTCGGTGAAAATATTGACTAGCCGAGATATGTATGCTTCTCCGGTGACTTCAGTTTTGACTAATTAATCTTTAAGATTTTTATGCCACTCGTGCTTTAGATATTTCATTATAAAAATCCTACGCGTTGTTTTTTTATCGCGGAGTTTATGAATTCTCGAATGGCGGCACTCAATGTCGAAATATCGGTAAAAGATTTGAGTATCGATTGAACGGATCGGAGCCTCTGTTTCGGTTCTGTTTTTCTCCATGGCTTTTTGTTTTACAATTTGCTTCAATTCACTCGAAGAGCTAATAAAAAAACGAGAAACTTTAAAGTACGTCGCCGAAGCAAATGTACTGAAAAAACTCACCACGCAGTTGAAAAAAAAATTTTCGTTTGTTTATACGCTCGCGCGAATATCGATCTCTCTCTCTTTTTTCAATTCAACTTTTCTCATTAAGCATTCATAGCTGTTATAGCGCGAAAAGTTGGTAGAAGCAAAAAGAGGAGTAGATCCATCGAATATACGGCCAAAAGAAATAAGCGACGTAAAAAATTAGCAATAACGCTGTGGCGCGGGACTCGAAAGAAAAAAGAAGAGGGTTCGTGCACTTTTGTACGCGGGAAGCCATAAACGCGAGCGCGACCTCTCGACAAATGAATCCGCTATCCTTCGCGTGTAGTCGTTTGACGAGTGCGCGAGATCTCCCTTCTCCTTCGTCATCGTCGACCAGGGAAAATTTAATTTGATGTGCGCGGACAGAGCTATGAGTTTTAATCGACGATTATTACGCGCAAGTTTTGCTTGTTAAATGGATTATTCAAGGCGTTCATAAGCCGTTCAAGACTAGTTGCACGGATTTCATACTTTTTTTTCCAAAGACTCGCATTACCAAGATACTTCGCATTACGGTCGAACGGCTCCTTTCGTTTTAGCGACGATTCTTCCGAAAATGTCTCTTTCGGCAAATATATACTCACTTTACGCTTGATGGAGAAGTCGATAGGACGCCGGGCACGCAGCTGGTCGAGTAGCTGCATGAGTGCGGCCTCGGTGAGCGAGACGACACTTTCGTCGGAGTAGTGTTCGCGCATCACCTTTTCAGCTGCGAAAAGTCTCACGCGCCACAGACTCGCTTTGTCGTCACAGCGCAGTCCTTGATGTGGACCCACCGCCACCAAATACATACCCTGTGCCAAATTTAAACTACATAAAAACAGGCCACTCTCTCCTTCGTGCGTCACGTTACGCTGGCCGCTGTTACGTAATACGTGCAGCTATTGTGAACTGGTATTTTTTTTACGAGTCGTTAATCGAACATGCCTTGGCTGTTTCCGGCCTTTCTATTGTTCAGCAAGGAATCTTGTATGAGTCGTGCTTCGAAATGACAGAGTGTCGACGATTCTTTTGTTCGTATCTATTTTTGGCCCTTCGAGGCGTCAAAGATAAAAACCTACCGTTTGCGCAGCAGTATAATGGAGCAGCGCGTCGCAGTGATGCAGTGGCACCCTATTCGGATAATCAACGCAGTTTGGCCAAGAATTGATCGACAGGCCGATCAGTAATCTAACTTGGATGTCTTGCGACTTCGAACCATTAAGTCCTATCTTCAATAAAATGCCATTCTCGTCCTCGACGATTACCACGCGGTGATCAGCGACAACCGGCAAATCCACTTCGGCTGGAATAAATATTGAAGCGAGTTCAACGCAATATTAACAAGGCGTTTTTCTTCTGGCGCGTGAAAAATTGACAAAGCGCTCGCCGGCTGACGATGCGCGCTTATAGTTCCCGGCTGCCGCTTCGACCGCGCGAAGCTCGTTACTTTAAATGACCGTCGGTCATTATTAAAGCGGACCTGATTAAACGTAGTGGCACACCACGGCAAGAAAATGAGCGTGTGGCCGTAACGAAGGAAGAAGAAGGATAGCGATCGAGGCGAAATATGAAAAAGAGACGTGTGATGAAATCTGAAATCCCGAAAGGCCCCAAGATAGTTATTCAAATTGGGGCGCGCGAGAGGCGCGACTGGCACAAGATACAATTACAATTGCGTTAGAGTGCTGCCGGGAGGCTCTATAATGAAATTGTTTCGTTTGCAATTAGAGGTGGCGCGAATGTAGAGGCAAGCACGAGGAGGACGGGATGGATCCTTGTCGTGACAGAGCCACACGCCGTAACGCGATCACGCGCCGCGGCGAGAAACTTTCTCTCTTCGGGCTAATTCCAATATTATGCAACGTTATATTCGAAAGCTCGTTGTCTGGCCCTTGCTAATTAGCTTGCAGCTTGCAGCGGCGCGCGAGCTTAATGAGCTTGAGCCGCGCTTGTGCATCTCTACCTGGACCGAAGAATATTCGGCAGTGTTCCGGCTGCTTGAGTATCTTGTCCAGCACTTCTGGGTCGACAACTTGGCCTGGCGTTATGCACAGCCTCTCGTCTACGCCATTGATTGCATCTGCAGAATCATAAGCTTGCATTTCGACATACGTATTTTCCGGATTTCGATCGAATAAAGTTAAGAACCTGGTTTCACAGATTGCGCGAGCACGGCCGCCACTTTTGCCTTGACAAGATCCCTCCTGAGCCTGCCATCCGGTCCGAAAAATTCCACCCACGAGCCGGCATCGCCAGCCTTCAGTCTCAACCTTGCAAACCCTGGCGCACTCGTGTCTTCTTCTAATTGCAATGCCAGTTCGGCTACATCGCTGTTACCACTGGGTATCGACAATGCATCCAACCGCAACAGATACTCGAACCTCAGTTGCTAGAGAAAAAAATAATCAACGTTGCACCTGTGTGCAGGAGGCTTTTCGTCTAGAATTGATGAAGACCGAAAAAACGAAAAAAAAGAGGCCGCTCTATTTTTATTTTTCATCGACGAGTTGCCGTTCTTTCTCGCTTCGTATACCTTCTCCGCTTTCATTTGTGCGCGCTCTCCCAATTTGCGCTGTGTGTCTCTCTCTCTCTCTTGTTTTCGCGTCCCTGCTGTTATTTTTTTAACTCCCGCGTATAATCTAACTAACGCTCTCGTTTTTTTCTCTTCACCGCCAAAAGAAACGAAACAAAAAAGGAACAAAAAAAATTACATCTAGCGTCCGACAATTTTTTCGTCTATACAGCGAGGTGTACAGAGAAAACAGAGTCGCCGCGCACGAGTGACGCTAATGCGAATTTCACTTCTCTGTCTTGTGTTATAGTGGGCTCGTTAACACTTTTATTTTTATTTAAGCGGAACGAACGCTTTTGTCTGTACCCATTAACTTTCGCTGAGAATATTATTTACCAGGTAATACTGTGACGCACACGCGTCTAACTATTTCGATCGCTCTACTACTGATTGTATTTCAATGTGTAAATTGTCATTCGCGCATGTCCTTTTATTTCAAACACAGGCTACACTCGTTTGCCGCAAGTCGGATATAGCATATTACGTCCAAACGATATGACATATTGGACCAAATGGCATATATATAGTTTTGATATTGCGTGACCACGATGAATGAAAGCTATCGCGTCAGAAACATCGTTGAAAGTGCGTGTGCATCCTTTTAGCATTTGCACCCACTAGGCGTTTGAAAAGCCCACTTTTCAACACGAAAAAGCGTTTAAAAGAAAAACAAAACAGGAAACGTTTGATCTTTACTCTAAACGTGGAGAGTGAAAAAAAGCGCGCGATGCGAGTGACAAGTGTTTGTCGCTTGCAAGTGAAAATGATATTCTCCGTGAAATGGAAAGCAGCGAGGAGACGTGTTGGCTGAGTGGGCTCCTGCTGCTACATCCTCATTAGCGTATGCAAAAGCGAAACGTCGACTCGCGTTTCCGACAACGACCCTGACCTGACTTTGCCAGTTTCGCGCTTTTGACCCCTACTGTCGCACATGCGACTTCAGCAGAAATGTGATTTTACAAGGTGTCAAGTCTACGCGAGATAGTGAAGCGTAAGAGAGCCAGATTGTAAGACTGCTAAATCTACACCGAGCAGCTTAACGAATATCAACGAGCTTTAAAATAAAGGTGTGCACGAGAGAGAGGGAGAGAGAGAGAGAGCAAATGTAAATTAGCAGCAGCTGCTGCTTGTGGGCTCCTGTATATTTTCCAGGCCAGTTGCGCTTTTGAGCACCAAGAGCGGCGGAGTCTGTTTGACTAGTTGAAATTTCAGCTTGACATGCTTCTAGCAGACAGCTAAATATGTTTTACACTGCACCAAAGTGCTTCGTAAATTGAACTTTCCAAATGTATATATATATATGAAACGACGACGGCAATTAAAATATCAAATCTCTCTCTCGGATGACACTTGAACAAATTGTCCAACCTTTTCAATTTATGGAAGTAGCGAGTAATTTATCTTCGATTTGCTCAGTTGGGTAGAACGGCAATGAAAAAAAATGTTTGTTGATGGAGCTCAAATCAGTTAAATATGAATCGATGGAGGATGATATTATCTTTTTTAATTTCTCCCCACATATCAATTCCGATCGAATTACGATCACTAGTGCCGCTCAATCTTTCATAAGTAAAATAATAATTTTCGCACACAAATATAACGAGATAGACTCACCTTGATCCTTCTTCGTTCATTTAGGGAAACTAAGAAGCAAGAAGCGAACCTGCGATCGAGATTTGCAAGTCCGGCCAGCAATCGTTGTACCATACGTTCGACCTTCGCCTCCAGCTTTACCAAATCCGCGGATTCTGTCGAGAGCACATGCATCGATCACACGATATATATGCATGCATCGCTGCAGCTACACTTGTAAATACAGAGTAGCTGGCTCTAATTCGTCAGCTTTTTTGTCGCTCGTTTTTTTTATGACGTAATCCGTTTGCAGAGAAATATAAAATGGCGAAAGATTAATTGAATATATGTTGTAGTATACGTACCTTCATGATCGGATCTTGCAAGCTCGCAGAAGTAGTCGGTAAGCTTGTCTAACTGCTCAGGCTTGAAGTGTAGTTTGCTTGAGAGCAGACGGAGACCCAAGTTTTTGCTCTCGCTGCTACTGCTGCTGCTGCTGCTTCCGCAGCCCATCTTTGCTCTCGATCTAGTACCTGTTTTGCCGATAAATTTTGTTTCAGTTGAACGTCACTTTTCGAGAATAATCGATAGCCAAGTGAAGTTTTCATGAGGTTAATTAGGTTTTCAAAGCTACGTATCCCATAATTGATATTGGAAATTAATTAAGCGAAAACTAATCTTTAAAACCCAATGTGTTCCTCTGTCAAAGATTCAGGAACTGTACAAATACATACGAATAGTGATTTATCACACGCGGAATATTTTATATTTACGAATAAAACAAAAGCTGTTTTCCGATATAATCGTTGGTGAAAAAAAGCTCACACACACAATACGCTGTTCCAAATTTCAAGCCGTATACTCCATTTTTCAACACATGACCAACAAACAAATGAAAAAAAGAAAACACATCGGACCAACTCCCTCTCATACTCGTACAGTAGCAGAAAATGAAAAATCATCAGAGCAAAAAAACCAACGCGGAGAACACCAAATCGATAAGCAAAAAACAATGGCCTCGGTAAACTCTTTGTTTATCCATAATATTTATTGCAGGGGGGGGGTCGCATTCCGACCGTTTTAATAACTTTGCTAGATATCAGCGGGAAATATTTCGAAAATAAAAAAACATTATGATTTCTGGTGTTCCCTCTCAAACCATTCGGCAATTGAATTCCTATCGAGTAACACTCTGATTAATTGGAAATTGTTTCCATATTTATATGAATTTTTCTTTTATTATAGAAGAGAGGGTTACTCTTAATCACGTATTGTTTTCATGTCCGCCATATTTGAAAATATTTTGATAGAGTTTTAATGTGCAAAAAAATGTTGATGGCGTGTAAAATGAACTTCATAGATAATGTTGCTGATAAATAATTGAGCACAACTGTTGTAATTTAAAATAACTTAGAATTTGATTTTAGTAATGCATATCAAATGATAATGAGCTTTACGGAAATACGCTATCAAATGATGTTTTATCTGAAAAAAACTAAAAATAGCTTAGGAATTAGTGTACTAGAGTTTTTCTACAGAGAATAATTCTAGTCAATTGTGTCAGTCGTATCAGTTCTCTGTGACAAGTGCTACAATTATGCTGAAATATTCAATTCTGTAAGTATCCTTGTACGATTAAGATGATCAAGTAATTGTATTACTTTTTTTAATGTGCATCTACATAATTTCGTTTGATAAATATTGACACCGTAATAAAATTATTTTATACAAATCTGAAAAAACTTTTTAACTTCACTCCGCTTTTCGATATATAAAATTTGATTTATAAATGTGCAGATTTCTTGTGTTCCTTGGAGTAATTTTTTCATCGACAGTATACGCGCAACATCAACGAATTCAATTGAAGAAATTGCAAAAGACGAACGAATCTCTTATCAAGGAAAAAATAAAAAACAAAGAGCAGAATAGCATCATCGATTATTGGGCTCATCCTAGGACAATTTTTAGTGGAAAAAATCCAAATCATATCAACTCTAAACGTCAAGTGTATTATTATGATACTAGAAACGCTTATAAATATAAAATGCAACAGTATTATGATGCAATTATTCTTACCAGCGAAATCACCGACAGAGGAAAAAAACCAATGCTTTCGTCGAAATTGTACAAAAATTGCCTTCCGTATACTTGGTCGTCTTTGCAAAGTTTCAAAGAATGTTGTAATAAAGTTTTCGATGATGTAATGATATTCAACAGGTACTAAATTCTCTTATATTTTCTGACCAATTATGTGTGTCGATAAAAATAAATAACTTATGTTATTTGTTGACATGTTTTTGTTGGGTTATTTTCGACGAAAACTCGAAAAATTATACGGCATATTGTGTTTAAAATATCATTTGAATAATTAAAAGTAAATACAATAGATAAGTTATAGTTTATTATTCTACGCAATTTATACAAATGTAAAGCTCACGCATCGATCCAATAAAACATATATCATTACTTTATGCTACATGCTCTTTCATAATTCCTATTTCATTCCCACGCGTTTTTTCTCAGCCATGAGTACACAGAAAAATAATGGTTGCGAGAAAAAAGTAGGTACTCTCGACGTAGGCTATGCTCGACAGCACGTGAAAAAGAGAGAAAAATGCAATAAGGGTTGTTAGACTATACTCTTTTTGCCTTATTTCTGTTCGCGCGTTTGATATCGTCACTCTGTCGCTTTTTCTTTCGTTTAGTCCGTCGGTATCTTCGTTTTTCACGACCGTACTCGTGCGCTTCTAATAACAATAAAGCTACCTTGATTATTTACCTAATTGACGCTAAGCAATCTGATGAAAAGAAAAAAGAATTGTATTCTTCTATTTGCTGTATAAAGCATGACATCTCCGATAGCGTTGTGCCAAGTCCTTGAACGTATTAAGGTGCATCCGAATGATTTGCCATGCGAGCGTGGTACGCGGACAACGGGTGATATAGAGATGAGCACGAGATAGTGTACAAAATTAGCGTATCTCATCGTTTCCAACGAAGCGTGAAGCGTTGAGACGCGTAAATTACATTATATACAATTATTTGGCCTCTCTCTCTCTCTCTCTATATATATATATGTGTGTGTGTGTATGTGTGTGTGTATATGCTACTGCACGATTCTTTGCTGTGGAGCGTTTCATACAAATAGCGTATGCTGCGAAATTTACGTTTGAAAAGCAGAATGAAATCAAAGAATAAATCATGAAATCCACGCGCAGCACGAATAACGTAAGGACTCACCTTCTCGACTAAAAACCGATCATCGCAGAGACCGTCAAAACTGCAACAATACTTCATTACATGACGATAGACAGGTGCAGTTGCGCAACTTGTGTACGACTGTGCACTTCGCTGCGGCGAGCTGCAGCTGCGGTGTCGCGCGTGTTTTTTCGACTAGCGTTGGGGCCCGCGATCGCGCGGCGACGAGCGACGTGTACATACGCGCAGCGAGAACAACAATGGGAAATCCACGCTCGGCCGGAATCACTTCCGACTCCAATTGTCCAACACGCTTCCGCTTTTACGCGCCGCGCCTGCCATTTTATATATCTACTATCGGGCCCCCTCCCCGCCCCCGCGATGGATTAGCCCGACTGCTCCTTCTGTTTTTTTCATTATTTTTACACTTTTTTTTCTTTCGCTTCACAAAACGTTTCGTATCTGTGGATTTTTATAATGAGCATTTTATTTATGCCAACAATATGTGTTAATCCGATACGATTTATAATCTCAATTTATTTCTATATGCAATATGATGGATCAAAAAAACAATTTTTTATACAACATCGTATTACATATATTACATGTTACGCGTACCGTGACAATTGATTAGATCGTCAAAAAGACGCACTTGAAAATACATTGCTACCACTAGATAACTAATTGGAATTAGGGTATAACTGTACCCAAAAAAAGTTCTTAATTAATACAAGTAGCCTGATCAACGCTACTAAAAGACATTCAATTTTAATCAAAGGTGATTGACGGGAAAAAAAAGCATTTCATTTCATTAACTGTTGAATTATCTCGTTGTGTTATCCGATCCATTTAAGGTACTTTCAAAGCACACAAACCTGTGTATATAGTAATAGTTAGGTGTTCATAGTAAAGCTCGTATTCTGTGTAACTCGTACACACTCGAACACGTTACAAATGCGCAATGTCCTCCTCTCTATATCTATAGAATAAAAGAACAAATGATTGGCGATGTAATATATTATACATAGATTTAGTTGACATAGATTTAGTTGACATAACGTAGCGGTATTTTTACACTTGGAAAGTACAAAGCAAACCTTAGTATGAGTAAAAAAATTATTTTATTAGAATTTTTTAAAGATTTTTGCGTTAACTTGTAGACAAAGAAATTTAATCATCTTACATTTATTCTACTAATAAACTTATAAGACTTTTAATGAAATGTATAATACATAGTTAATTTTATGTTAATATATGATATTTGACTTCTCAAGCACATAATGTATCTTTTTTACAAAACATACAGATGTACATAATACCACAGCCTTAAAAAAAACACATTGCACTATGTTGGGGAACTATATGTGTGAATATTGATAAGTTTTCCTTGAATAGTAGTTGTATATTAATTATCCACTTTTATAACCAACAAACATATCCAGCAATTAGTTTTGCAATGTCATTTTAAGTCACATCGACTATGTAACATTGTCTACTCTGAAATCTTTAATCTTTCTTTCAAAGAACTTAAATCTTTCAACAATTTCTGTAACCAATATTTAGCTGAACGTTTTAGATCTTGAAATTCTTTAGTTTTAAAATATTCACTAAGTACACCTTCTTTTTCATTTTTCTCTAAGATACATATATCTTGCTTCAACACACGTACTTGAACTTTTTCAATAAAGTAGTGGGTACGATTTTTCTTGCATTCAGGTGTTTTCACAAGTAGTTTAACATTTTCTATATTGTAATTTAATTTAAAATGCCACCACTTTTCATTGAAAGATTTTTCACCTCGTTCTATTAGTTTCTAAAAACAATGTAATGAAATGTTATTGTAATTAATTACCAAATAATTGATTGTAATAAAAGTCTAATTATTTTTTAAATATAACCATTGTACTGATAGAAGTTGTCACAGCATCAACATCCATTATTGTTCAGTTGGAATTATAATGACTGCTTGTTCTTGTTTTAATGGCTCTGCTTTATTGCGTGTCTATCTCTGACCTGAGCGAGTTTCGACAAAATTGTCGCGTTAGTGTTGTTCAATTTACAGTAATAACTACTATTATCTATAAAATACATGTAAAAGTGGACACATACAATTAAAGACATAAACATAACCCTCTTTGCTACGACTATACACTTAATGTAAAAATAATTCAAGTTTCAAGTTCAATTTAACAGTGGTATGAGGAATATATATTGAAAAAATTTACTCATTATTGATTCAAACGTTAAATCGAAACATGACATTTTTCAATATGATCAGCGAATTATTTTAGATTCTATAGCGAATCTTCGACGTATCTGTGTATTATACGTACACACCTATCCAATAATCAAATCAAATAAATAAATAAATATATAAATGTGCGCCTACTTCTGTAACAATTGATAGATAATGGTTTTTTCTTAGCATATAAAATAAATAAAAAATGATTAGACTTATATCTGTCTATACCTAAAATACATTGCCAAACTAAATCAATTAATATTGATTTGAATACTGTATTTATTTGTTCAACTAGGTTACATTGCTATGGTTATGGTATGTACGTTGTACAAACAATTAATATCAAACATTAGGAGGTAAGTGACATCTACAGTTGCTAAAAGAAAACTCGATCCATTCCGTAAGTTGCATGTGCCATCGCCAATGTATCAATGAATATATAGACATTTTATCTATACATTACATTCGTTGTATATGTATATATATGTATGTATTTATATATGTATATATATATAATGTTTAATATGGTATGGAATCTTAATTCTAATATCTAATAATGTTACGCTGGTAGCAAATATCGACAGCGAAATATAAATTAACTCTTGGTTGCAAACTATCCAAGACTATACTATGGCATCAGCATATGTAAAAGATGATCAAGGTATTTACATTTGTCAGAATTTACCTACTTATACTTTGGGATTCTCTATTTAAATCTCAAAACAAAACAAACAAATGTATATATTTTATTAGCCGATTTTAATATAACAGTTTTTATTCCATGCTCAGTAAACTGATTAGATGCTAATAATTCTGGTAAAATATCTTGTGACAATATCAGTAATTTTGACAGCATTATGTATTGTAGGTTAAAAATAAAATTAAAATATCAATTTGGACTTTAAGACATGATTTTTTCTGTTATATTACAAAATAAAACGAAAAATATAATACGAGTTTTTTATGTGAAGGAGGAACGTTCATACCTGCAAGCCAAAGGCCTGATGGAACATGGAGAAAGCCTAGAAGAGTAAAAGATGGATATGTACCACAAGAAGAAGTTCCACTGTAAGTACTTGTTATTAAACTTAAATACACATTGCAAAAGGTATGTTTATTAATTTTCTATCAACACATTTGTACAGATATGAAAGCAAAGGAAAACAGTTTACAAAAAATAAACCTGCATATCCGGTTGGAATGACACCAGAATATGTAGCAGCTCATAAAGCCAAAAAAGATCATGAACAATCAAAAACAAATTCAATACCTGGGTTAGTTATTCAGCCAGAAATAAAGAAGAAGAAAAAGAAAAACAAGAATAAAGGTGGAGTTCCCTCTTTAATAGAAGATCTTGAAAAGACAAGCATCAGTGAACAGATTACAGCAACTACAAAACCAAGGAAGGCAAATGAAAAATCTAAAATAGATGGGAAATTAGAAGCACTTAATGAAAAATCTAAATCTACAGTTAATACACCAATACCTGTATCTTTAAACAAACAAATATCCACAGTAGATCCTCTAAAAAGGTTAAAAAATCTTAGAAAAAAAATGAAAGAAATAGAGTCTCTGGAAAAGAAGATTAAAAATAAAGAAATAAAGAATCCAGATAAAGAAATGCTTGATAAAGTCGCAAGAAAAGACGAGGTTCAAGAAGAAATTAAACTACTGGAAAGTAACCAGTAATTATGATAATGCTATCTACATCTTGGAGCTTTCAGAAAAATTATTAATAATGTGATATTTTTTATGTCACGAGTTTTGATCTTAGACTAACATCAAGAATTTCAATTATGTTTTTGAAACGATTATTGCTCTGTGTGATTTCACTGAATATACTTTTTATATTATATTTACCTGAAATAGATAAACTTCTTCAGTCATATTGACATGTGTAAATTTATAAATAAAAATAAAAAAAAATTATATTATTTAAATATTATTGTCAGTTAATAATCACACTTATTTTATTTTTAATAACCACCAAATGACTATAACAAATGAATGCTTTTTAAAATTTTCTTGAGTCAATGACATTCAAGCTCTTTAACCACAAACATTTTTATAATACTCAGTAGTCTCAAGTTCTGAGAAATTCAATTTCTAAATTATACTTTTTAAATTAAACTGAAATGTGTAGCTCAGGTTGTTGCTGTATAAAAATATACATTGTAATTTTACTTCTTATCTTATTGATGATTCCAGTAATCGTATTTTTCATGTACCAACCTGAATTAATTGCTAAAAATTGAGATACTGATAGATTATACGAGAAAATAAAAATGGAAGCTATAAAAAAAGGTTAATAAGTAATACTTAAAAATGCCAGAGATACAAAATATAAATTAAGGTAAATATTAAGATAAATTATTTCAATTTGTAAGGTAACTTTTATTAAAAAATTTTATCAAAACACATTAAGCAAACTTCAAAACTATTTCCCTGTAGTTAAAGTTTGTACAAATGTCAATTTTGTTGCTAGATCCCCCAATACTAAGAACTTTATATGGTTGTTCTTGATAAGCAATACTAAAAGCAGTACTGCTAGAAATAGGAACTTTTGCCAATGGAACACCTTGGTAGGTGAGATGATAGAGATATTTCATTGCTCCACCAGAAATAATACGTTCTTCAAAAATATCGGCAACATGAATTCCTTCATCAGGAAGATCAAATATTGTTGCTGCTTCCATTGTTCTTGTATTCCACAGTGACAATTTTGGTCCTCCACCACAGAGCTACAAATTAAAAAAATTCTATAAAATGCCATATTTATTTATAAAAATATATATTCAACATTATCATAATTAAAAAATGATAAACTTACCAACCAATCTTCTGTAAAATCAACAGCACCTATCCATTTACCTATTTTTGGTCTAGCAACTTTACTGTCTAAATGTGGTTGTAAAATATTTGTATTTTCTTTAGTTCTCAAATCCCATAAGCGAACTGATCCATCTTCTCCTCCAGAAGCAAGTTGCTTTCCTCTAGGAGTTAATGTTTTGAACAAGCCACAAAAATTTAAAACGTTTAATTAACATGACAGTTTCCATACTTACAAAAATGCAATACTGTGAATAAAATTAGTATGACCAGTAAAACTGTGCACTACTTTTCCATTATCCATTTTAATAATGTGAATTTTGTTGTCTCCACAACCAGCATAAATTAGATGGTTTTCTTTAGAGTATACCAAACAATTTACATCTGGCTTTTCCAAACTGTCTCTAGCAATAGAAATATTTGATGTAACAATTAACATTGCATATATGCTATAAACATGATTATTATAAACTTACTTTTTTGATGGAATTTGTATTGTCCAAGAAGGCTTAATTTTTGTACACTTTGAAGATGTTGCTGTTTTCCAGCACCATCCTGAAATTTCTCCACATGTCCCAGTGACTAGAAAATTATTAGTTGTTAGCATACTTTGAACTTGTTGATCAGGATGTGCTCTAAATTGATATGTTGGTCCAAGCAATTCTTCATCTTCTGTCTGCCAAGGTCCAAGTGCTACTGAAAGACTATGAAAAAAAATTTTATTTATTCATAACAATAAGAATAAGTATAATTATAATAACACTTACTCATATATTGAAATATCTCCATAAATGTTTCCTGCCAGTAAATATCTTCCATCGGGAGAAAATGTTTGGCATAGTACTGAGTTGTAATGCAGCTTTGAATTAGTAATTTCTGTCATTTTCGTTGAGTACTTCATTTATTTGACAAATTTAATATTAAAACCGGAGTTTCAATAATACATTAATTAATGGTTTGTAGCTCCAATCTATTACAATAAACAACAATAAATACAGCCGGCTTCTGTAGCATCCATGGACTGTGTATTTTGTTTACCAATCAAACACACAATTTAATTTTTAGGTTAAAAAGAGCCATCTTCAGTCAAAAGTCAATATTATTTTTGAACTTAGAAGTTCCAAAAATTGGAGCATTTCAAAATCATTATAAAAAATATTTTATAATTTAGTTTTATGAAAAATTAACATCAAAAAGGCTAATATTTGAATCAAGTAAAAAGTGGAAACTATTAAGATTAAAATATGATTAAAAATGTGAGTCATAGTAAAATGAAAATATCAGAATGTCGTGTCATAAGCATCAGTATTTTATTAACAGTGTTACACGCACATCATACATAGAACAACCTTTATTAATTATAAGTATCTAGGTACCCAACACGTGTATAGAAAGGGCCTTTGTTATCTGCTGACTTATTGTTATGATTCGCGTAATTTCTTTTATGATTTTTTTCATTTCTCATCAAGTCGTTATCTGTATGCCATGTCCATGTGATAGTATTATTTTTCTTATCCCCTTTGACATATAAATCTTGCGTTTTTTGCGACTGACACTTCCTTATCGTCAAGATTCCATTTGATCATATACGGAGGAGGCGAAAGAAAAGCCAAAAGAAAGGATAAAATAAATAAGGGAAAAAAGAAAACAACGCCTCGGACGCCTTCTTTCAAATATAAAAGGGTTATCGTCTTCTAGATTTAGCGCTCAAAATATACCAAGGAACTATTGCGAATATCGCGAAATAGACTCAAGAAAGATTTCTTATCCTTTTAATCCTTTTCAATTTAAGATTAATATTGATTAAGAAAAAATACAATGGATATGAATCAAACTGCATAAAAATGTAGCGTTCAAAAAAATCTAAAACTCTTAGTAATAACCGACGCATATAAAATTCTTGAACTTCACGGTGTATTTCGAAGGTCACTTTTCTAATGAGTACCTTTATATTGTTCTTTTTTTCTTAGACAATCATTGACTTACTCATTCACATAATTCGTACAACGAATTCAATTTATGTGATTTTGTATGATCTAAATAATTTACATTGGAAATTTTGAATATTCTACTGAAGATTCTTCAAAAAATGTTCTAGTAAAATTAAATAAATGCAAGAATAATTTATTTTGGATAAATTAAACTATTCTTGTATTAAGTGTCTCAATGCAAATTTTTAAAGATCAAGTTGGCGTAAACACATTGACATATCGATATATCGGTTAATGTAATTGAAACGCTTCTTAAATTCACAATTTGAAACAACGCAATTCACAATTTAAATACATTAGTTAATATTTAAGAAAGTACAATTAATAATACATGCGCTGTTTCTGGACAATAAAGACGAAGGGAGAAAAATTCGAGCCCTCTGCTACAGAGGAGGAATAGTGTATTTTCTCTCCTTTTCTTCCTGATCCTATCTTATTTTTTGTATTACCTCTCGATGAATTATTTTTCGCCACTTTGTTAAGTTCGCGCACATTAATTTGTTAGGCGTTATTATAGCGATTCGCATAATTTCATTTCGTCTCAACTTCCTTTTCAACTTTATTCCTCTCTTTTTCTCTTATCATTAAAAAATATAAAATGTTTTCTGCAATCTTCGCGGAAGACTGCTGATAACATGAATACAATTTGTTTTTCTTTTTCTCCTCTCATTTACTTACGTATAATTTCTTGATTATTTTTCATTGTTTCGCCGACTGTAGAATCAGTCCATCGAGTCCTCACATTTCGATCACAATTATGCATTTTTCTTTTTTATTCTAGTCAAATAAGCATTTACTACTAGAAATCTTTAATGGAACTAAAAATTATTTACGCAAAATTTTGTATTACATTTAACTAACAATTTCGACATGTTAGTTAATATAGCAAACTTACGACAAATAGAAATAATAATTTTCAATTCTCGCTACTTAATACATTCATCTTTTATTTTTCATACTACAATTCGTATTTATAAGTGATGCTTTTCTCTGGATACATATCATTCTTTATCATAAAAGATGTTATAATAACCACAAGAATTTATTTTTCTGTAGCTCATTGTTATTTTTATGCATTTCAATTCAAATCTTATGTAATTTCTAAACTCTAGTGACATTTAAACAGAACGTTATAACACGTTCTACTACTCTCGCATTAATACAATTTTGATTTGCAAAATTGCGTATTTTTACTGCAATTTAAAAGCTCTGTTGAAATACGAAACAAATAAGACTAGTAAGGTGAATTTAATATTTACTTTGGAGTAATTATTTCTCTTATTACATTTCATTTCATTTATTCATTTGCTTTTTTTAAGCTGTTACAACCAACGCTTTTGTCTCATCATAATCAAGGTATATTTTTATCAATGTCTTTTCTCGACATTAGAATATACACGAGTAGTTTAGTATACTGGGCTATACAATCCGCTGTAAGATTGAAGTTCTTACAGATTAAATTTACGGATACATTATTTGTGATGCTTATGAGTTTATGCACTATATTACTAAAGAAAAACGTACACCATCGTAATATTATTAATAAATTTTATTATTATTATCACCGTATTCCAATCGAGACCATTGTTGCGAGATTCCAGCGATTAATTTTATTTTTCTATGTTTTTTTTTCTTGCAATAGAGCTACCTTGGTAGCATTTTGCAAATCACATCACAGTGTTACTTATTAGAAAAAGGAATAATCGGACTTTTAGTGTCATTTTTATTTCCATATGTCCTGAAAAATCACGAGAAAGATCTTTAATGTCTGCTGCCTAGAGCTAAGAGTGCCTACGACACGGTTTTATTTAACTTTGTTTCGAAACTTCAAAGTTTTTTAAAGTAATTTTTTTTATATATAATAAGCTACGGTGTAACTTTCAATATTACAGCATTAATTTGTATATTAGTAGAAATTTAGTATCGCTTCGACCCTTCAAATGACATATTTACAAATACATGTAAATTTGACATTCAATAGAATTGAAGTATAATGTCTCATCGTTTCAGACTTTCTCGCAACTGCGAGCTTAGTAATCTTAAACTCTTGCATTACTTTTTTAATTTTTTTTATTTTTTTTTCGTCCTACATAAGATTTCATAATTTTTTGGCAACTAGCAACAACAAAAATTCTAAAAGAATAACAGATGTTGCAAATAGTAAAATCTATTTACTACAGTTGTTTCGTAATTTTTCCCTCCGCGGAAATGTTACAAAATACAGCTTTTCAAGCTAAATCATACAATTATTCAATCGTATTCACTCATTCTATTTTATTGTGTAAAGCTGGTTGAATATCTTAAATGTTAGAATGTATCATCATTCTCTGATATATTCGTTTTATCATTAAAAAAAAAAAGAAAAAGAAAAAAAAAAAAAAAAAAGAGTATAAAATCAAAGTAAAATCTATAACTTGCTTTAATAAATACACGAAATAGTTCTCAATTGTATGAAAGTGTTAATTTTTTTAATCTTAACCTCTACAATGATTCGTTCTTGGTCGCCAAAATCTATTCAAGTATTTACATTTACGTTATTAGAATAAATTTTGTTTGAACTTTCCTTTCTGTTAACTCTAAAAAAAAGTATATATATATAATATGCATCTTCTAAATCAATTTAAAAATTAATAAAATTTCTGCCTTATCTTGCTCTTCATACCCAAGCCAACGATAGTTTGTAATACAAAAACGTGCTCGAGAATCATAAGGACATTGGGTGAAACTTATTTCAATATGGATCTGTGATTGAAATAATCTTCACCAAATCCTTTTCTTAAAACTCCTAAATAGAACACTTCATTGAAAACCAAATTATAATAAACGCATTTAGAATCAAAAACACCATCATTTTTTTGTGTAATATCTACATTGACTAGTCACGATTGAATTGTCGTTTAAAGTTACTATATTCAATATACTCATATTATGTAGGAAATCCTCGGCGCTAAAGAATTTCTCAAGTTTCCAATGGAATTTTCTAATTAGGAAATCAGCGCATGCATAATACAGAGTTACAATCTCTCCACGAAAACTCATCAATTGTTAAACTTGTTTGGTCGATGTAGTCTATGCACCATTTCAGTTCTCATAGTTCGTGCATAATTTGAAGCGGCATATTGTTCGCTCATGGCAATAGGACTTTGAATAAACATGGTCGAGTCTTGCGGATGAGCAACACCTGGCGTATGATACTGGAATTGATTGCTCGTTAGATCAGTGGCCGGATAATGATTCGGCTGTACGAAATTTGGATTTTCATATTGCGTGAAGGGCATTGAATTATCAGAAAACGGCGGTATCGCTTGGTAACTCGCCGTATGATCGTAGGTTTGAAATTGGTTGGCTGAGTACGATGAAGCCGATTGAGAATACTGGCCAGCATCCGAAAACAATACCGAGGCTAGAGTTTGTTGAGGAAAGGAATCAGGCCGTGTATATGCTGACATCATAGTAGAGCTGCTAAATTTATAAGTATCCTTTAACTGCGACTTGGATTTTAAACCATTGGTCTCGTTGTGTTTTACTCGAGCCTCGGTGACAAAGGGATGTCGTACATTGACGATACTTTGGGGAGCTCGAAGAGGAGGAAAATTAACTGGTGCAGTTTTCGGTTGCTGATCCCAAGTTTTACGAGCGACCGTATAGATGCTGTTGGAATTGGTTTTATTTTCGTCCTGCTGATAGTATGTTTGATTATTATCTCGCTGAAAATTTGACGAAATTTGATTAGAGATTCGAGCAGCTACATTGGCCACTGATCTTGCTTTGTAATCCTGCTGATTGATCGAGTTATCCTTACTGTATTCGAATTGATAATTTTTGAATTTCGAGCTTAAATCATTGGTAATTTTTTTACCACTGTAATCTTTAGACCTGGCCTGATCGTCGGACGGAATACCGGCAGAATTTTTTATGTCACCACCGAATCTACCGATGTTCGGTTTGACTTTGCCATTCTCGTTGATCACATTGCTGTTCTTCTTATTATTTCTCGCTGCACTACTAGTTGAGTTGAATATCATCTCAGTTGAGCCGTTGTTGATCACTGCACGTGGGTGAAGCTTCGACGACGTAGCTTGATATAATTGATGATGGCTACTATTTTCCGACTCGTTTTTGACAGTTTTCGAGGAGTTTTCATTGTTGCTGTATAAAATATTCGCACGGGTATTGTTCAATTGATTTTTCGATAAAACGTTGTCGTTGGACTTGCAACTGATGGTGGCGAGTGGCAAGAGCGAAGCGCTGGCTCACTTTTTGGTCATGATTTTCAAGTATTCCAGAGCGTTTTGCGCTGCCGAGGCTTGAGCATCTTTGCTTGTCATTCCAGAGCCGTAACACACCGCCACTGGGAGCGTTGACAGTTGGACAAGACATTGGCATTTCCCTGAAATTAATAATAACAAGTTTATCTATTTGCATTACAATTTTACTTTTGAATGAGATACTATTTCTCGGACGCGAGTTTAATACTGCCGTCTCATCATAACATAATTTTTTTAATTTATTGTCATGGAAACTAAGGATTGGTGGGCTCACTTGGTTAGTGAATAATATTTAAAGTGGTTGAACTGTTTTATAGTCTAGGAGCTAAGGGGACTTTCCTGGCCGATGAGGGTAGCGGACTTCACCAAAATATATCTATGTATTTTAAACTACTCTGAATGCATATTTCAATGGAGACTTGCTCAACAATCAATAAATAATCAAATATCAACAATTTAATTGTTTAAATGTAATATCTCAAGTTACATTTAATATTTTTCAGATTTGAAAAAATTTATAGATTCATGGTGAGATGACAAATGCATGGCCTTTTTCAAAATATTAGTGACTTGATAAACCACCCTCGAAATTCATATTCACAGAGCAGTCTAAAATACATAAAAAACACTTGGGTGGAGCCTTTTACTACAACCAGCCATGAAATATCCTTTAGCTTCTGAAGTATTAGTTACTTTGGCTTTAATCACAATTAAACGCGAAATAATAAAAAATTTGCAGTATTGTTGTACATAAAAAAACTAATGTAAAATAAATTATAGATTTCAAATGTTATGATAGCTTATTTCTTAAATCATTCAAAATGATAAAAATGTTGCGCAATCTAAAAGATAATCAAAACGTATTTTGTTTTGTAAACAGCATCTCATTTAATCATATGATATATCACAGTAGGGGGGATAATTTAATTTTTTTAAAGTACAATAGTACAAGTAGAAAACAACCTTAGATTAGAGTAATATAAAAAAAGGACGCTTACAAAAAAAGATTAGCTTATTATATCATTATTTAACGTTTTGAAGAACAACATAACAATACACGATAGTAGCGGTAACGTTTGACACGCTTTGGATTGCTTAGCACATATCGGAACGATTACACAAGATACGTTAAACTCCAAATAGCGGATAATATATATAACAGGATAGTCGCTTCATGCGCTTAGTTGCGGGTAAACTTAGATATTGATTAGAGAGAATTGGAGGTTAAGTGTCGAAAAAAAATGTCGACAATAAAGAGTGCAAAAAGTGCTCTACGTGCAAAAATGATAGACGTTCTTAATAATATAGATAAAAACGAGAAGAAAAGACAATCTGAAGCGATTTTCAAAAAGGCACTTGTGATTTTATTTTTATTCGAACTTTACTTTAAATAACCTATTCTGTTATTTAAAGATAGGTCATTCATAGATAAATGTCATTGAGATAATAAGTGGATATGTTTTCAACAAATTGACATTCAGATTAATAAAGTTAAAATCATTCGATAATAATCTAATCTAGTGCGTGCCACTTCAGTTCATATTATGATACTATGGACGATTTAAAACTTAATGAAGAAAATTTCCTTTAATAGCTTTATATCAAAACTAGCTACTAACTTTAGTTTTCGACACTGCGTGTGTGAAGCATATCTTTTTCGCACGTTCGGCAAAAAGTATCGTTGAAAATCGCACTTTTTATAGGCTGTATCGAAAAATACCGTACGACACATGTTCGGGAAAGAGATTCTTTTTTTGTACCAGGTGCTTGGAAAGTGCAAATTCCTGGCCTCCCTAGTACGAAACAGTATACGTGCCACGGAAAGTAAAATAGCAAACCTATAACTCATGTTTGACACCTTTGGCTTCGCCTTAGGTGTCAATTTGCACGAGCTATAGGCTTGCCGATACTTTACTTTCCTCAACGTGTAATGTACTATCTCGTGTGCCTTTTCACCTCAACTTCGATCGACCGTAAACGGCACACGAGAAAAAATCTACTATCCCGTACTAATTAAGTAATGTACTTTTTTTCAGTTAGTATCATTACCACAGTATAAAGCCAGCCATAGAATATCTTTATACTTAAGTATACCTAACGAAGTGGATACTATACCAATTCTGAAAGATATGTTTGCAAAAGGAAAAGAAGCATTTGTTCCTCGTTATCACGGACAAAAGATGGAAATGGTTAAAATTAATTCTATGGAAGATTATCATAAATTACCACTCACAAAGTGGAATATTAAACAACCTAGTGTTAATGAAATTAGAGAAAATGCCCTTGATAATGGCAAGTATCTTACCAAAAAATAGAAGATAGAACATTTTTTAAATAAAATAAACATATTAATAATTTAATAAAATATAACATAAATAAAACGCATTAGTGTTTAACTAAATTATGTTTATAGGAGGCTTGGATTTAGTTATATTACCTGGCATGGCTTTCACAAAAAATGGTAAAAGGTTAGGCCATGGTATGGGTTATTATGATAAGTATTTACACATGATTACACGTTGTCAAAATAAAAAACCATATACAATAGCTGTGGCATTCAATGAACAACTACATGAAGATATTCCAACAAATGAACAAGATTTTATACTTGATGCAATCTTAACTGACAAATTTTAAATAACTTTAGTTGAATTTTACATATCTATTAATAATAATCAATTTATACTCCAAATATTCAATTGTAATAAATATTTTTTTACTCACCACTAATTGACTTCTCCTCAATATCTACATAAGTAACTTCAAACTGTTGCTCTGAAGCAATTTCTTGCAGGAACTGTACCAAATTTACATCCCCATCATTCAGGCAAGTATGCTGGTGACAAAATAACACAGTTTTGTTAATTAATGTCAATCAATGTTAAATAAATATGACATTCACATGGAACTTCTCATTTCCTTTTGAAATACATACTTGGAGTTCAAAAAGTTTTACACCAGTTGAAGATTTCAAATTCTTGTGAAATTGGGAAACTTTATGACTATGAGGTGTTGTCAATGTTGCAATTTTACTATCTTTTAAATCCGCGAAATGGGCGCTCACATTCGCATTTTTCGGCACAATCTATAACGGACAATTTATTCAAAAATAAATAACTCAATAACATGAATTTAAAAAGAAGTGGAAATGATTTGCTAATAGTAATTTATCAAGAGTCAAAGGCCATGTGCTATAAGACAAATTACGTGTCCGTTATAGATTCTGAGAGAATCAAAGCAAAATTATGATATTGATAGACAAAAACATCACTTCCACTTCACTAAATTATTGTATACACCTATTAAACACCAATCATAAAATTTTAAGAGCATGATATAATTTATATCTACAGTGTTGAAAATTCATAACTATATTCAGTGAAGCTAGAAGTATTTCAAATGGAATGATTGAGTTTAAAATAAATGAAAGGTATTATGATTAAAAATTGTTAAAACTACAATAAAAGCCCATACGAAAAATTTTTTTTTCTAAATTTAAGAATATTTGTGCATATTTTATGTTGATTTCATATAAAATGTTAATTTTGCTTTTAATCGATGCTCTTTAAAATAAATTTGTTAATGCACAGCTATAACTGAAGTTAATATTAAAAATAAATGTATTACCTCATCATCTTCTCCTGGAGTATGAGTAGCATTATTCATCTCTTGTAAGGATTGCCACATCTTATGTGCAGCTTGCCTTTTAGCTAATTTTTTACTTTTGCCTTGTCCAACTTGACGGTACTTTAAAATGGTACAAACAATAGTAAACTGTCTCTCATGAGGAAGACCTTCTTCACCTTCCATTGAATACTTGGGTGGTGGCCAGTGGCGAGACATGCATAACTCTTGAAGTGAGCCAATTGGATTGTTCACTACTTTTTCTTCACCTCCATAGCCACTTTGAATCTCTTGTATATTTTGAGAACTTAAAGAAAAATTTTCACTACTAATCAGGTAGATGTAGAAGTTAAGTCTGATTTTATTAAGTTAAAAAATAGAACATCATATGTTGATACTCACTCAGAAATACTGTTTGGTATTGGAGTCTCAGAATTTTCATTATTAGCTCCAATTAATTTGTCAAGCACAGCTTTAGCAGCAGTATGCTTTGCTTCTTTCTTGGACCTACCAGTTCCCATGGCTGAAATAAGTGAATCTGCTTTAAATAGTGAATTCCCATTGTTGAATTATTACTTGAACATTTGAGCATTAGATCATTATGCAATAGTATTTTTGAACTTACCAACAACATCAGCAACAGTTACTCGATAGCGGAATGTTGGTTCATGTATAGCACCCTCAATTTGTACAAGTTCATACTTGGGTGTTGTGCCTCTGCGTGATAATAATTCTTGCAAAACAGATACAGGTGTCTTACTAGGCAAAGCTTTCATCTCTAATCTAGCAGCTTCATCAAGTGGCAGTGCCTCAGACATTAATGCATGCATTGTGACTCTGGTTTTGGTTCGACGGTGAACATTGTTGGCATGATTTGGAACCACACCTCCAACAATCATATTTCCACTAACCTGACGTAAGTCTTCTATTCCACCATCCTAAGAAATTAAAAAACAACATTAAGAAAAAAAATTTTAATACTATATCTTTATACTTATATTTTGTTAGTTTATCTTCACATTGCTGTCAATGAGATACATACCATCATATTAGTATTTTGCATCTGTCTGCTTAAATCATCCATTTCACTATTTTCTGAAATAATGAACATATTTAGAATAACTTCTAATTTTAAAAACTTTCTTGTAATGAAAAGCGATTGTTTAGGGGGCAAACACTTCGCGCGTGAAATCCTTAACTCTCGAATGAAATTCTTAGTGTATGAAATTAGATAAGAAATAACCCTAATAGGTCAATAATTTTGATTTCCAAACTACACCGTGGTCCGGGAGTGGAAAAATGCAATGTTTATTTTATTTAATCACTAAAAAGTTGGCATGTAAAAGATAACTTCATGAAAGTTGCCCCTAAACCAACTTATAAATAAAATGTTTGCTTTAAAGTTCATAGCAATAAAATCAATACTCGAAAAGGCAAGTAATTAACTCTAAAATCTCAAATAATTATTGATAGAGAACTTTTAAGCCGATAATTACAATGAAAAAAGTCTAACTATACACGAAGATCCTCATGAAACTACAGGTATAATTAACATTAAAAAACCAGACGAATAAAAAAAAAGTCAAATTGCAACAGAGAATTCATCGGTCTTATCGGTGGAAGCCGGCTTGCAGCGGGACGGCCATTTTTGTGACTTATAAAAAAGTACGAATGTACTAAAAAAAAAATGACATTGCTAAATATTCATTGCCAATTTAAATGGCTTATTATCTTCTGTTCTTACTTCTACTTGTATCATTTCTCTCGTCAATTTAAGTTTGACAATCGTTACTAGATAGTTCGATGTTGGCCGGCTACCATGATTATATTTTCGCAATCGACCGTTCACCAACACACGAGTATCACATATATAGCTTTACACAATGAAAGCTCATCCTACAGAGTAGCGCAGCTATAAAGTACTCACCGTTCGTTGGTATAAGTGGTAGGTTACAGTCAGGTTACAGTAAGGTCTATTGGTATGTGTGCTGAGCGAAAAAGAGATCTTTGCGTTTAGGTAGTAGCTCTCGACACTATTTTTCCCGTCGTTGCGAGTATGGTTGCAAGTGTTGTCTGCGCCCGGCCAAATGTTCCTCGACGAAAAGCGAATCCCGCTTTTTGTGATCGATCCAATGTCTCACAAAAAGCTTGATCCGTTTGACGATGGGAAAAATGGTTAGTCGAGACTACACCGGACTTTCAATATCCTTCCTCGCTCTCGGCTTGCGGCGGCTGGCTGTACGGCCAAGCCGACGCAGGCGCCGCATCGCTTGATCATGTCATCCCCTCTCTTTGGTCTATGTATATGTATATATATATATATATATATGTTTGCAAATTTATATCTAAAATCGCAGAAGTGATATTAGACTAGATGAAAACAAATTTACAAAAATGAAAAATTTAAGATACTAATAAATATTATTACTGTTTATTATCACTGCTATTGTATAATATAAAATAGTAACAAACTAAATATATATTAATTTCATCAAACCTGAAAATACATATATAGTTTGATCTGGAATGTAATTTTGAATCGAGGTAAATCACAGTCTAAAATATAAAATATTAAATTATCACCTTTTTATTTCAACAATTTATGTTAAAAACTGCTGTTAAAACATTTACACGTTAAATATACATTAAATAATAATCCGAATTAATCATTATACAGCACATTTTTTTTAAATTAAAATTCTTTCTCGATCTAAATTGTAGGTTCTTTAACTGGTTATTTGAAATTTTCAAAGTTGATCGGTTACAAAATTGGTAAAAAAATAAGTAGAATTCTATACCCTTAAACAAGAATACAAAAATTAATTAATAAAGTTTCATAGTTTTTCAATCGATTAAACAAAAACGCGCCATCTTTCTCCAAATGCCAGCGGCTCCCGTTAATCCAACCAATCGCAGCTTGGCAACGTCGGAAGTTTGGAACGCCGCCTGAGTTTCCGGAGCTCTTCAAGCGCCATAATACGCAGTGCGTTTTTCCTGTCTCCCGGCGACGCTACTGAAGGCCGACATACCACGAACGAGCAAGTCTGATTTTTGCTGCGAAAAAGAAATAATTTTTCTGAGTCTCGTGCGGCTGGAGTTGTCACAACCAAAGATTGATTCTACGCTTACTTTAAAGTAACGTAGGAACAACGCGTTCTCAAAATATGGACGACTCTAAGGTGAGTTCTAGCTGCGTTTTATATTATGCTTTGTCTAGAATGGCCGATTACGATGCATGCACACACGCTCGAAAACTTGGTGGTCTACAAATGACTTATATCACCTTATTAACATCATGATGATAATGATATTAGTGTTTATTTATTTCCGGTGGTGCGTTATTCTGCAATGAAAGTAATTCTGCTGCCTATATTATTGCATCTTGAATTTGAATATTTTTCTTAATAATTGAATTGAATTTCATCATACATGTGACCTAACGCGTGCATTTTTGTGCGAATTTGATACTTTGGTAACTTGTAATGGTAAAATTTTCTGTTGTACTTTCAGATGATGCAGTACTCGCAGAAAAGAAGTGACAGTCGTAGCCCAAGTCCCAGGCGATCCAGAAACGACGACGACATAATGGAGTCACGCTCCCACTCCAAGTCCAATAAATATCGAGAGCAAAAAGTGAAAAATTATTCGAGGTCACGGAGTAATTCGATTTCTCGCAGTCGCAAGTCTTATCGTAGTTCAAAGTACGATGGACGAAGCAAAGGAGGTGGAAGCAGAAGTCGTAGCCGATCGCCTTATCGAGGACGCACATCGAGAAGTCGGTCTAGGTCTTACTCTAGATCAAGATATTCCAGAGACCGTAACGTGTTTAGATCACATTCTCGGAGTCCCATGTCTTCAAGAAGACGACATGTGGGTAACAGAGATAATCCTACTCCGGGTCGTTGCATAGGAGTCTTTGGTTTGTCTATCAACACTACTGAAGATCATCTCTACCATATTTTTTCCAAATATGGACCTGTTGAGCGTGTTGTAGTTGTCATTGATGCTAAGGTAAATTACATTGACTATTGTGCGTAAATATTTGCAGTGAAGTTAATTGTAGGATTATTTAGAAAACAAGTACTAAATCAATTTTAACCCTTTCAAGTTTCTAGATCATTGAACAATGAATTGAGAAAGATTTAGTTCGATATTAAACTTGAGGGAATAAGAAAGTAATCCAAGATTTAGACTGCATGCAAATAAAGTTTCTGCAATGCGTTAAAGGCCTTGGGCAACAGATTATTAAACGAACAATTATGTAATAACATATCATTTTTTATTCTAATGATCATACGTTTGGTTTTTAGACAAAGCGTCCTAAAGGCTTCTGTTTTGTATACTTTGAATCACTGGAAGATGCCAAAGTAGCCAAGGAACAATGTACTGGAATGGAAATTGACGGACGGAGAATTAGGGTAGACTTTTCAATTACTGAGAGGGCACATACCCCAACTCCAGGAATCTACATGGGCAAACCGACACATGTGTACGACAGTCGTGGAGGTGGCGGCAGTAGTGGCGGTGGATGGGATGGATCCCGAGGCAGAAGAGGAGGTGGAGAGTAAGTTAAAATAATTAAAACTTTTAGTTCAGTCTTTAAAAATATACAATGCTTATTGCTCTACTTTTTTTTTAACTAAGCAAATATTATTCTTCAAGTGGATATAACAACAGAACAGGAAGCTACCGCCGTTCACCAAGCCCATATTACTCCAGTCGACGTCGGTCCTCGCGTTACGAAAGATCCAGATCACGCTCCTATTCACCACGTAAGTCAAATCGTTACAAGCACAACGATTCGGATTACAATTCAGGCAGTACACGACATGAATCAGGGTGGATGTAAAATTTAAACGTTCCGTATTTTATAATTATTGAATGAACTTTGAGGCTACATTACTTTGTTCAATTGGTTTGAAATGTTTTGAATATGAAGATATTTTCATACCGTAATTGTAGTAAATGCAAAAACAAGTATGGCTGAAACATGTTTGTGTTAACTGCCTCTCATACAATTTCCTTATTTTATTCTTTCCTAATTTTCTTTTTCTTCTTTTTTAATTAAAATTAAAGAGTAAATGCATTGAATACCTTAGATTGAATGCACACAGTGAGAATGAAATGAATGAAAGCTTTTCAAACAAAATAAAACGACAATTACAGAACACGCGATAATTGCTTAAGTGTTACTACCCAATTACCTGGATAAGAAAATTATTGTTTTCGTTGCTTAATGGATTTCAGGTCGATATTAAGTGACACGGTATTGATGCGAGAGGCCAGGTGTTGGGAGCCGTTTGTGTGACATGATCCTTTGACTTAGACCCAATCCAACCCTATTTTCTTCTATCTATGTAATCTCAGGGTCGCAAAGATGCTAACTCCATAATTTACTACTATTCTTACCTTCCTATGCATTGAATACGTTTTTATCTTAATAATTATTACTAATGAATGGAAAAAATGTTGATGCAGACTTATATATTTTTGCATCAAGTAGAAAGGTCAGAATAGATAAAAAAACATCCATATTTTCGTAGACCAGATATCCATTTTTATAAAAGAAAACGTGAATGAATTTATCGAGTAAATGACGATGGCGATATTTTACTCGGCAGCGTTGTATAATAATTAATTATTTCTGTAAAAGTTGGAATATATATTTATCTGATTTATTATTTTACTTTACTTTTAAATTTTAAGCTTTAATTCGTTTGCTTTAAAAATCAGTCTTCTCGATATTCCAACTTTCTTGCGACTTCTGTATCACGGTTATGCATTATACTTTTCGAAACTGATAGTTTTTTTCAATACAACTGTGGAAAAAGTTGCATTAATAATAAACTAACGTAATTAGAAAAAAACAATAAACGTGAATGAGTATTCGTAAGGTCTCTAACATATTTGTTTGTTTATAAGGTTTTGAATCAAGAGGTATTGGATGATAGAGGGAAGTTTGCAAGTTTCACTCGCTCAGAAAGAAAGAAAATTAAGATTTTTGAAAGAATTGAAGTCGAAGATAAGATTAATGAAGATCTTTTCTATTGAATCATTGAAGATTCTTCCGAAGGTTTTCGCGCACTTCTAGTACGTGAGAAAGAATATGATCAGCTCTGAATACTGAAAATGATTCTATTCCCAGTCCACAAAGAAACTCAAGTTTCGAAGTTTTGAAGACCTACAAGCTTCAAAGACATATCAAGAATGAAATGAAATAAGGGGTTGGCGGAATTTTATAGTTGAAATGTTGGGGATAGAAAGAGAAAGTATCTAAATGGTCGATAGAGTAGCAGAGACTATTTTGAAGTATCATCAAATCATTTTATTTTTTAATCTAGGTAGTAAATGAGCAAATACTGCTCTTGTTAGTTTCATACGATCATATTCTTTATCAATTAGTTCTGCATTATTTTAACATCTTCAAGGTATCGAAAATTTCAATTCCACTATTCTCCATTTCAATATCAACATCCATCCCTCCACCACTCCAAATACCTCTCTTTCTTCAAATTTTAATTTTGTAACTTTTTAATATTTCATGGCCATATTGATAAATTTTAGAACTCATCTCACCTTTGGATTTCCTTATTATAGAATTATTTTAAACAAGAATGTTTTTTTCCCAAGATAAATTGTACTTAATATAAAACTATTAAAACCCATCATAGTTTTATAGATATATGCATCATTTAGAATCGTCTTAAAAATTTTCCATCTATTTAAATCATTCAATTAGAATTGACTTTAAAGAAAAAGTATTTTTGTTGAAAGTTTTAATTTCAAATTTTCCAAGATACTTTTTTAATGAAAAAATATCTATTAGTAATCATATAAATGCAATGGAATTTCATCAAAGGCTTGCTGAAATTGTAATTTGCAAATATACTGAATCTAAATTTTATAATTTACTTTACAATCATAAAATTTTAATTCAATAATTTCAAGTTTTTTTTTCAATAAATACCGTTATAAAAACTTAGTTTCCTTGAAAGTTTCCCAATACCTTTTTTTACATCACATCGAATGTAGTTTTGAAAGTTTATTTAATATTTGATTATAGGTAATACAATTCAATTTACGATAAAGGATTTCTCACAAATGCGATTCACTTAACATGACAAACCGCAAACGTTTTATAAGCACAAATCATTCGATATTTTTGATTTGGACTTTATAAAAATAAATCTAGATTAAAATGGATTATCAACCTCGATAAAAATCATAATGCTTATTTCATCAAGTATTAACAAAAATATAATAGTAACACTAAAATTAATTTATCAAAAAAAAATTAATCAGAATAATATCTTCGACAGTTTGATTAAAATAGATATATAGTGGTGTTATTGGCTTATAAAAAAATACATTGCCAGAAATTTTAATAATTTGCGTCTGAAGTGGTGCTGCCATCTGTATTTTGATTTGCACTACTATGGTTACGAAGGTTAGACATGTATTGACAGCAAAACATTGAATAAACTCATACAAATAAAAGTTTCCTGTGTTGTCATTAAGAAAAACCTCTCCTGCAAAGTAGTTATTAAATTTTTATTAAAATGCTATCTGCTTTAGTTAAAGATCATCAAACTAAACAAGCAATAAGGAAAGAAAAACAAGGTAACCAAACTTATTGTCATTATATTTTTTTTTATAAAAAGTAATTACAGATATATAATTAACTATCATTTAGAACAAAAACGAAAAGAAGCTGTACAAGCAGCCAACAATCTAACTCAAGCTTTAGTAGATCACTTAAATGTTGGGTAAGTTTTTTGAAACTAAAACATCAATGGTAATTAGTTCTACAAATTCTCACAATGAGTTCAAATAATAGTGTAGCGCAAGCTTACTTGAATCAAAAGAAACTTGATGCAGAAGCCAAACAATTGCAAATTAGTGCAACAAATTTTGCAAAACAAACACAACAATGGCTTCATCTGGTTGAATCATTCTCTAGTGCTCTTAAAGAGATTGGTGATGTTGAGAATTGGGCAAGAAGCATCGAAGGAGATATGAGAACCATAGCTACTGCCTTAGAATATTCTTACAAAGGTTCATAATTAAGAAAATTCATTATAGATAATCAATTATTTATAAACTAAACAGTTTCATTTTGTAATTCTAGCCACCCAAGAATCATCGTCGTCTTCATCTGCATAAGTGTCTAATGAAACTTTTTTGAGATCAAGATATACGTATTTGAAATTATTATTGATTTAAATACTTCTATTAGCTATACATGTAAAAAATTATGAATATTATAATTTTAGAAAAAGAGTAAATTTTGGGCAAATTTTTTAATAAAATAATTTCAAAAATAAGATTTCAGACTATTAGTATCAAAAGCCAATTAAATAGGATAACTTTACTTTATGATCTTCTAACAGGCAGACATATTGTACAATATCAAGTGCATCGAGCATTTAATTTTATAATATGTAGTGGAACTTTCAATAGGATAGCGTGGAAGCAAATTAATTGCCTGGAATGACCTTGCACCACATTGTGAATGAACGCACCATCAATATCACGTATGTTAACAAAGTAGCCACGGGATAACAAGGTCACGCGAATAAGATTATGATTTCGTATACATTTTATAATTTACTTCCGCTACATTTCTTCAAATCGTCTACGAATCAAGAACTTTATGAACTTTGAAGAAATTAACACGTTGGAAAGAATTAAAAAACTGCTGAATGTATAGTTAATTTAAGCAACATACAATATCTTCGTAACGTTCATTCGGATATTCGCGCGAAGTCCCGTGGGCATGATTACTATACGCAGGACTTGTGCGATTCATAAAACAATAATAGGCTATGACATCGCTCGGGACCCGGCTATAATAAGCTCGTTCCTTTCTTATTGTCTCTGGAGAGACAGCTAAAAAAGAAACATTTCTTTCGGTTTTTTCTTCTTTTCTTAAAAACAAGATCGAATCTGAACACCGTATTTTTCGAATTGTAATTTCCGTTGGTTTAATACGTTTTCCACTTCTTTAACATCAAACTGTAGGAAAATCATAACTGAATGTTTAATATTTTGGTTTTCAAATCAAATTGATAAAAATAGACAACTCAAATGACATTTAATTATAACTATGACCAGAGGGTGCAATGATAAAATAGGTGAGAAAATAAGCTAACTTACCATTAATTATAGGTAGCAACGTTTCGACAGCTATTTTCTCACCTCATTAGGCTTTATTGAAAACATAAAAAACAAAAACAGTAAATCACACAAAATATTACAAAAATGTTTTCTTGTTCCTATTTTTCTTATACTTTGTTAAATATTTTAATAAATAAATAAATATTTTGTTAAATTTCTTTTCGCTTTTTTACTGTTGCATTGTCAGCGACTAGGTAATTATAATTGTGCAATGATTGTTTTGATATAAGAAAAGATTTTTATAACATTTTGTGCGATTTGCTGTTTTCGTTTTCTTGTATTTTTAATAAAGCCTGATGAGGTTTGGCAAAGTAGCTGACGAAACGTTACTAACCAATTAATGGTGAGATAATTCTTTTCTCACGTATTTCTCCCTCTATAATCGTCATATTTATAATAAAATATCAATTATAGAGAGAAGTATACTATCTGTGGATAACTTAAATAACTGTACACACTGTGTTTTCAGTTCAGAAAGAAAGCCCTCACTCACTTGAATCGGAAACTGAAGAATTGTTTGTAAAACAAAAATACATACGTAGCGAGAAAAAGATCCACTTTTTACGTAAGCGAAAGTTAGGTTGTTTGGATCGAGGGTGCTGTCGATAGTGCTGGTCAAATGGCAAATATGTTTCTAATTGAAGCTGTCGTTACATGTGCGTCACGCAAATTCGCCCGTACGAGACGAAGTGCAAACATTTTACACCGCACTATCAGTCGACGTGCAATCAAAAAAATAACTGTCCTTGTTCGTGTTGTAAAGAATACAGTTGGGCTTTACTCGCTGCGAATTTTATCGACTTTGAAATTCGTGGATATATAACGATAATGTTAGAGCAGCTTTTAAATGCCACAGTAATAATCTTCAGCGATATTAAAAAATCGCCTTTTGAATGCCGTGCGGCGCAGATTACGTTCAGAAGACAAATATACCCACGACGAAAGATCCCCGGGCCGCGCGTTTTATAAAGTTCTTATTGTCGGACAATGAAGACCTCCCTCCTCTCTTTTAGGCTTTATTTCCAAGGTAAATGCGCCGCTCGCGAATCACAATTGAAATTAATCGTATTTCTTTTGGGAATTTCATTAAAGATTTTTCCATCGATCCATCGGATTATAAGGCCGTTACGAGCTTACCGAAATTATCGTCTTCGATGCGCTGCATATATCTACGATTGAGCATCTCGCGCGAGAGAAAAGGACGTGCGCGGCTCGTAAAGAAATTGAAAAGGGGAGAATTTTCTCGCCGAGCGGCAATTAAACGCTATTCGGCTTTCCCCGCGTCACTTTCCCCACTTTGATGGCGTTCTCGCGCGAATCGTAAACTCGCTAATTGAGCCGTAAACGACCAGGACACTCGCCCTTTTCCGCTCTCTGTAATTGAAATTTTTCATTTTTCAACGGAAGGTTGTATTCTGTCAATGAGCAACATTCGAGCGCTGAGCTGTATACAAGAACTTTTATTTGACACATCGCTTATGAGGCTAAGAGAAATTGACATGGGCCGAAGACAGCTAGATAGCTCGTTACGTTCTCTCGACGGAGGTGCACGCCACAGGAATCGACAGACCGATCATCTGCCAATTGGCTTGTAAGGATTGCGGCAAGGTCAGTTCTTCGAGATCCTTAACGCCCATCTCCTGTGCGTTGTTCAGTATCGAGTTCATCCCGCGATTCACCAATACGTGGAGCTGCAAGACAAACACACCTCGAGGTACATTATTCCGATTCGATTGTCGCCTTAATTTTGGTCTTTTGCTCACCCTGTAGTCGGTATGTCTACACTGGTAAAATCTGTTGGAGCAGGTCTTTGGTCTGCATTTGGCGATTGTGATGTATCTCGGATAGTGGCCTTCGCCCAGATTAATAACCCTGTGCTCTGCCACGCAACCGCAAATTGGCTTCCACTGAGTCAACAGATCTTGCGCGCTCATGGCCTGCAACTTCGCAAGGCATTCGTGACATAAGAAAATATACGCTTTTCTCTCGTGCCTAATGAAAGTGAAAAGCCAAAAGGTTTTGTCCATTTATCTTTATCGTTTCACGTCGCTTCGATCGCTTCTCCTGAACATGCTCTCTACAACCGAACTAAGGGAATAATCAAAACTGACGAACTTGCGCTAATTTTACTTATGAATTAGCGCAAGGATTTCTTAAGTTATTCTCTACTGTGGTCTAGTGAAAAACTGCTAATTGGATTAGAATTGGATTAGAAAATTTTGTTCATACTTATCCTAGTTGTTGAAATAATGACTTTCCAACAAATTGACGTAAGCTAATCAATTCGAATAAATAAAGTCTCCCATGTCTTTGTTATCCGAATTAATTATAGCACATCGAATTTCCAATCAGACAAGTATGTAGTCTTTGGCTCATTGGAAAAGCCATCCAAGTTTTTTTTATTTGTTTTCGCCCGTAAATATATCGATCCTCGAACTACGGCTCATCGCGACGTGGCTTGCGAACGCGAGTGAAAGAGCGAAGAAATTGTTTACTCTCGACACGGCAGGATGATGCTCGCGAAGTTTGCCCGGGACGACTAAGCGCTTCTCTGGGTAGGTGGAGCCATCCGCGCAGTCCTCGCGATCGAACGGGAACTCTGGTTCGCTGAAGTCGTCCGCGCCGCAGCGGCCGATCGACATTCTCCTTCCAGGTCCTGTCGCCAGAATCATCACCTGCGTATATCGTGTATATTCAACAAATCGCCTGATCGCAGCAAGATCAAAATAACCACCAACTTTGACTGTCAACTCACGAGCAAAACGAACAGCTTCATTCCTCTAGCGAGCGAGCATTCAATGCTGGTAGTTTGGCAATGGAACAACTAATGTGGATGCCGTACGGGACTGGCCCTTTTATAAGAGATCGGCCACAGGTATACTCTCCTGGCCGAATTCGTCTCTTAGACAACGCATCCATTAAGCGACAGACGACACCGCAGCTTTCATCAATAAGACTATTCGTGTCTCGGTTACACGGGAAAAAAATCTCTACGTCATCGACAGCGTGCTCCTCCCTTCAGGCGCGCACGGCGTAAAAAAAAGCGCATTGCTCCTATGTATCGGACACGCGTGCGTCGTGTCTTGGATCGATGCAGGATTCGCTCGATTAATTTGCGTATTGACATGTAGCGAGGGGCATCGGAGGCTCGGCCGATCGCGACAAAATAATACACGGCGAGACCGGGGGGAGAGATGATGCTGTGCAGCTATTTCCGTCGGCCAACGCAAGGAAAGCCACGGCGAAAGAATGCGCGCACCGGCGGCTCACCACCAGGACATGTCTGCATCGACGAGCGCGTTTCCTAGCGTGCAATGTGCCTCGTCAACGTTTCTCGCGCTTTCATTACATAGCTGTCGGTCTTTCCGTCGACAAGCAGTTTCCTCTCGCGCATCGGCCCATAACTCGTTACTTTATCCGTTAACTAACCGCGGACGATGTTGTTTCCATCAGTTTTCCCGTGGCTCGTGACAAATAAAATGAAATTTTCCGACTAACCGCTTAGGCAGAGATCGTTATCTCTATTTAATTTGTCAATGACAGTCGCGTGAGTCGCGCGTTATTTTGTTAAAAGATTTATTTCATTTCGCTTTTAGAAAATTGCCTTATGCCTTTGTAAAATATTTGACTTATCATGAACACAGCGCTATTTTCATTCCACAATACAGCACAGGCAAAAGGAAAATACGCGTGTGACGGGGGAGAGGGTACGTAAAGAGTGGCTATATATGTTAATACTTTGCGGGCTAGATATGTAAATAGTATGAAAATGGCATGTAAAATATCAGCTGGATTTTTTATATCAACAGCTACTGTGAATATATTCTTTTCTTTTCTCAAAATTACGATCTTAAACTTGATTAAAACATTTATAAAATGCTGAATACTTTTCACGGTGATAAGCTGGACCGTTCATTAAGAAATTTATAAAAAATATTTACATAGACAAGAAAATGCTTTCACAAACAATCTAAACCTGATAATATTCTAAATGATAGCGAAAAACCAACATAAAAAGTTCATGTATTTGACTAAATTAAAGAATTGAAGTCAATAACGTTTAACAATTTAATCTTTCCATTTTTGACAGTATAATCAGTCAATCATGTCTACCACTGCATCTGTTTTATTTATAATAATTTTGTTACAGTATACGTTTTGTATTTCAGTAGTTGTTTTTCTATGATTCAGAACAAACAATAATGTCTGCTTTACACTTCATTCTACTAAAAAATCTTTCCAGCTTATATAGATTAGCATTTAAGTTTCTAATATTTAGAACAAGGAAATATCTTGTCAAGTCTAAATCATCAATAAGTTTAGCTTTATACACTTTGCTTTCATCTTTTTGTACAAATTCTCGATTACCTTCTATTATTTTCACATCTTCCTTTCTACTATATGTATTATTTCCTCTTTGCCTGGTTTTTATCTACTTTTTTTAAGATGATATACTTTTGGCCTGTTACAGCTATTGAGTATTATACATATATTGACATTTTCCATTTTCTTAGTATTATTCATATTTATGATTTTCATAACTGTACTATTATAATAAAAAAATTTAGGTATATATATACAATTTAATCCGATAAGCCTTTCAATTAAATTACCTATTGTGTTCAAATTTATCAGTGTTCAATGCAATATAATCTATTAGTTTATTTCCTTCGAATTGATTATGTTTATAATTGCAACTTGCAAATTTTATTGAATTTTACCATCACGGTATTCGGTTAAATGAAAACCAGCACATCTCAAAGACACTGGATCATTTGTGACTAGCTCCACCATGCCCTACTCGGCAGCATTTGTAGCATGGTGTAATATTCAGGTCATCAAACACTTTGCAGCTCTGATATCCAATATACAGCTTACTCACTATTTTTTCTTACAAGCTTACCATTATTTTTTTATATAATTATAGGTCTTCAGTGATATTAATGATTGCATTTTGCGGATCATTTTAGTCTTTCCTATAGGTATGACAATCCAATATCGTCTTACGCTGATGATATACAATAGGAGTATTATGTGGATCATGTTGTAACGAAAAGTAGGTATATTATTTATGTAATGTCAAAACTGAGTAAATTTATAGATATAAAAGCTTTACCGACAATGTTTAGTAACCTTTTTCAGAATATTCCCACTTACGGCATTGTAGTAATAATAACCAATATCAAAAAAATACTTAATAAAATAGTTGAAATTTAACTCAAAAAAGAATTGAATTTATGATGTTTTTTCAAGGACTATTGTTTTACTTACTTCGAATATTAAATATTTTTAACAGTTAAGGATCGCCATTCAGTACTATAATAAACGTGTTCCAAAATTTAAAGGACTAAAATAATTAAAAATCATTCTTACGAAAAATTAGTAATACCAAATATGTAGGATCCTAATATTACGAGTTAAATGCTACAAATATACTACCATTATTGCTTTCTATAATATTTTTTACTAGAAGAATAGCTGCAAATAAAAAAGTTTTAATATACTAGATATAGCCTACTTTTAGTGCTATCAGTGTAGAAATTTGAGAAATAAAACTAGGCAGAGATAATCACGCCATATGTTAACAAAACTGTATCTCTGCAAAGAAATCAATACATTGCCATCAAAATCTTTAGGAAATGTGATAGCAAAATGAAACAAAGTAACAGTTCAAACATAATCAAAAAATTATTATAATCTAATACGAACATTCTTATGGATATAAATGTAATCAATAGGATCAAGTATAGGACTGAGCTGCTATAAAAATAATATAGTGGCATGAATTATACAAATTTTAGCTTTGAAGCTTTTTTTGTTAATTTTATGCTTATTTGTATCAGTTTGCGTATAAGTGACTGGTTTTTCTGTGCAGGAATATACTGCAAAGCTACTTTACTGTATTTTCTTGCCAACAAATGAAAATAAAAATTGAAAATTTAAATTTAAAGTGCATCTTTTTGTACGTTCAATGTTTTGTCTCCACATTTAACTTGCACACTATTCACGAGTATATAACGTTCCGAATTCCATAAGTCTAATGCAACGACCACGTCAATCCTATATTTACTCTTCCCAGACAATTATTAAACTTTTTCCACCGCTATTGTCGAATTAACGATCTCTCTCGGACGATATCGAGAGTTGCATAGAGTGTAGATAGATATAAGGGTAGTGATAGAGCAGGACCCGCTATTTTCACCACAAATCCGATCTTACATGCGGGTTCATTACGCGATGTAGTATCCATTTATTCGAGATTACTAACTTTTCATAAACACTATTGTTAGCCCTTTTAATTTTTGAACACGTTTGTTAAACAGTACTGGATGATGATCATTAATCGTCAAAGTTATCTAATATTCGAAGCACGTAAAAATAGGCCTTAAAACAGTATCATAAATACAAAAATGAGACTTATAAATAATCTGCCGACATTTAATTTGGTACTAAGACAAGGTGGTAGCAGTCACATACTCGAAGGGTGAGAAGAGGCATGTGTGAGGGTTAAATCACGGGTGTAGCATAAGGGCTCGTACACACACACATACACACACATACATACCATACACATACACATGAACGAAATCGCTTCCGTCACGAAGCTTTTACAGACTTCCAGAATGTGTTTTCCTTGTTACGCTTGCGTGTCTCTTATCCCCGCAAAACCGTGTGCGAGCATTTATTTGAAAGAGAAAAGGGAAACAAACGACATTATTCTGCTGATTTTTACGCTTGTATAATATTATTTTATAGTGTAGTATAATATAGTTTTAATTGGGAAGCAAAGTTTTTAAAATGTCTCACATAATAGAGTATTGTTGAGGCTTACCTTGTTATGATACATAGATATGGCGTCCGTGAATTGAGTTTATATTCTTTGAAAATACCTCTCGAATCTAATATGAATAGGACGAAGACATTCAAGAGAGGAGTCAGAGCGCGCGTGGGATTGTATTTTCTATCACTACTCAATCTTGCATAAGAATGTCTTCGCTTTACCGAAAAATGTACGGGGAGTTGAATCTTATCTTCTACATGCTCTATACTTTCTGCTTTTGCTCGATCAAATGTACAATCACATATAGCGCGTAAAATTAACTTTACGCAAGAATCTTGTTTCTACGTGATTTGTTAGATTGATATTTATTTTTGTCTGAAGTGTATTTATTTTAGCAATAATCCTGGTTCGCTATAAAGAAAAACGCAACGCAATCAAAAATAACGTGCGATCGAATCTAACAGTCATTGACAGTTCCAATTTGATAAACAATAAGTAGCCCATGACTGTACCGTGCAATCAAAGGAACAAAAGACTCGATCTAGCAGCAATATCAGCAACATTATTAATGCAATATGAGAGAGCAGAAGCCATATAATACGACGTTCCGACACAAATCGAGTGTCAAATATTAACCATTTACATCTACGTGCAATCAAAAAAATAACTGTCCTTGTTCGTGTTGTAAAGAATACAGTTGGGCTTTACTCGCTGCGAATTTTATCGACTTTGAAATTCGTGGATATATAACGATAATGTTAGAGCAGCTTTTAAATGCCACAGTAATAATCTTCAGCGATATTAAAAAATCGCCTTTTGAATGCCGTGCGGCGCAGATTACGTTCAGAAGACAAATATACCCACGACGAAAGATCCCCGGGCCGCGCGTTTTATAAAGTTCTTATTGTCGGACAATGAAGACCTCCCTCCTCTCTTTTAGGCTTTATTTCCAAGGTAAATGCGCCGCTCGCGAATCACAATTGAAATTAATCGTATTTCTTTTGGGAATTTCATTAAAGATTTTTCAAAGATTACCACCCGCAAATTTTCTATTAGATTACGCCCACCTCTCAAAATAAAATTGCATTGCTATATATATATTTCCTTATCTACTACGTCTTTCGTCTCATTATACTGACAGGTTAAAAAAAACGTCATACAAGGTCTGTAGCCATAACAAAGCGCGCGACGTTGTGTTCTATAATTTTTGAAAAATATGTTGACAGAGCTGTATCGAACAGAGTTAAATAGGCCCCACGTTTTCCACTCAAACGCTCGCGTAATCGGTTCGGTTTCATTATGAATGTCGCATAATAATGAGCGATTAGTGGATTCAGAAAAACTCGCCTACAGTTAGTGACGACAACTGAAAAGTTTCGATTAAAATCTAATTAAAAGCACAAACAAGATCGGCGAATGTTTGTCTAATACGCTGTTTCAGATTTATCTAATCGGGCGAAACGGTAGGGGAATCGAGAGCAGCAGGTGGGAAAAAGAAGGGGTGTTGCGCGCGCGCGGCGTTCACTTGTTTCACCCTCCCGGCAATATATATTCCAAGGGGCCACGCGCCTGCAGCACATTCGCGTGCTTCGCCATATACGACAACCACCATCGGATCGAAAAATTCTCTCTCTCTCTCTCTGTGGAATATATTTGGTTCATCTTCTGCTTCGAGATATATCCCGCCACGAATTATGAGCCAAATCATTCGGTATAACGCGCTGGTGCTTGCAGTTTTAGCAGCTATTTGCTTGCAAGATGCCATCGCCTCGCCGGTTCTGGTAAGTAAACTGTATTTCATTTATATTTTTTTTATTTCCCTTGTGTACTTACTTCGTTTTATCAGCCAGTTTCTCGCGCAATGATGTTCGTATACTAGCAATGCGTCTTTTAGCGCAGTTCCCTTAATCACCCGATAAGATTTTATTTTTTAAGAAGTAAAACTGGCTTTCGCTATTTTTTTCCTATGTTACACGCAAAAAGTTTGACTGCTTTATATAAAGAATAGTATTGGAAAATGGTAAAAAAATTTTAATTGGGCAAATGAATATTTCCAAAACTAAAAATGAAGCTTCGTTTTGAAATTCGTTAATGAATGCTTCTACAACATTCACGGCCAATCATAATTCCAATACCAATTCACAACTATACATTTATATAGCTATCAACATTTGAAATTCATCATCTGTCGCTATCTTACTCACCCATCATCTACAGATATACGTAAAAGAATTTGCCTAAATCAATATCAGAAAAAATATTTTACAGGTCTAAAACCACACACAACCGATCGGTTCGTATTAGTGATCTTTGGCCTTCGAATAATGTAAATTGGCACTCGAGTACACTCGCAAATAAAAAGCTTTCTTCGAATTGATCTTAACGAGGACGAAATTCGCTTCCGCGAAAGCGCTTTAATCGATGCACACGCGTACCTTGCAACGTACGCTCTTTCGGACTCTCGGCCTACGCCAACTTTTCTCATGCATACTAATACAAAGAGCCAGCGCAAGTTTAATTTTAAAAAAGCCCGCGCGCTTCGCATGCACGCGCTTCTGTACACATGCACCAACGCGGAATTCCCAAGGTACTCGCATGCCACCCCACCAATTTTTATTGCTTTACTGTGAAACTTGCTCGCCGGCGTTTTGCACAACGCATAAATCAACTGCGCAGAAGTGATGTATTCATGGGATACGATCTTCGTATGGAACTTGTATATTCTACCGAGCGTTTCTTACTCTTTGTCAAGAAAAAGTCAGGCAAGCTTTTCATCTTGCCACGTGAACAAAAAGCAGGAAAAGGTTGTCGCACGTCGATCGTAGCAGTCAGTCGAAGGTAACGAACAATCAACCGCCCGAAAGATTCAGAATTTGTGATAATAAATAATGGTAACTCGAGAGCAAATGTATTTGTTTCGATGGCGTGACTTGGCACAAGTATACTTGAAATGCTAGACATGGCCGGGTTCTCCGATTAATTAGAAATTTCTCGCTTGAGTTTGCTTTGTGAGACTTATTAGTTTGGAGTTAACGTGCTAATGAACCTTTTCATCTATACGCGCATTGCATTTACGATTATGTTTGTAAGAAGACGCTACTAGCCAATATTGTAACGGTTCCTCTTGTTAGCGTTTTCTTAATATAATCAACATATTCAGACCCAATCACAATCATTATAACGCCCACTTTACTAAAAAGATTTTTCTGGTCTTCTTTTCTTTACACATAAATTACGTTCATTCAATGTTCTATTAATAGACAATCTATTATTATAATACCCATGAATCTATTATTATGTAGTCTATTGTTTCTATAGAGAGGGAAATAAATAAAATGCAACTTCCTTTCTAAAGCATCTTAATGTTCTGCTTTCGATCGGTTATGCAAGTCAAACAAAAACAAATAATTAATTTTTCTGAAAAACTTTTGGCTTTGCATTTTATTTCACACGCGAACAACGTTGACCAAAGATCGTTATTTCTTTTTCTTACAAGTCGTGTTCATTGACATATTTAACTTAAAAAAACAATTGCTTTTCAAACGATTTATTTTTTAAACGTACATAGGAGGAAAAAACTAACGTAAGCATCAGCTTAAATGAGCTTCAACATTGCATTTATATCATGCGATTATTATTTAAAAAAATTTGAATAAACACAAGCCACGTTGCACTTTCAATTGATTAAAAAAATAGGAAGAAATAAGGTAGAAAGATACAGTCGAGCTATATTTAACGATCGCAACCTTAGCTCTCCTCCCACGTGTATTCTCCACGTGAGGTTTTTTCGTGTGCGAATCAATCGATCTTATCCCGAAAAGATCATGTCGAATTTCGGGCATGAATAAATTATACATGAATTTCAGAAAGTGGCATCAAGTAAATAAACAAATGAGCGCGAACAGAAATAATCGAATTTTGAAAGATGAAAAGCTCAAAGTGCAGTAACAAGTGTTAATCCGAATCCCATAAATATGTAGAAAAAACAATTTTTTTTAATCTATTTGTCACGTTGCTTTGATATAATAATGTTATATAAAATATTGATGTTGATATTTGCTCGTTTGCAGCCACGAGGTGAGAATATGTCACTAGCTATGAAAGTTTTCGCGCAACCCGAGTACGTGGAGGCATTGGCCAAAGAGCTCGAGAAAGAGAGTGAGTATCATTCATTCTTTTTATGAGACATTTTTACATATTAAAGTTTTCATGACAATACCATATCGTGTCCGTCTTAAAAAATCTACTGTTTGTCCAATACATCTGCGATCAAAAGGCTTATAAGTATCACCAAGTAAATCTTATAAAAGTAGAACTGCTTATCTTCATTGACATAAATGACGTAATATCCAAGCTTTAGTGAAGTGTTCATTAGCTGTCCACGTAAAAGTGAGCCTAGTTGAACAAAGTTTGACAACGCTATCGCAAACTCGTCACACATACTTTTCACTCTAGTGTTAATGCTCATTTTTTCTTTCGCCCGATTACGACTTTTTATCTTTACTCTACTGTCCAAGGATATATTGCAACATATGAATACTTAATATTTAAAACACATAAAAAGCTCTCCGTAGAATCTCCTTTTATCTTCGGGATTTCAGCCTTAAGTTTTTTTAACTATTCAAGAACAACAATGTTGGAACTATATGTTGCAAACATCGTTTTATTTGGATTTGAAAAAATATAAGTGTCAAAATTTTATTTCTACCAGAGCGTCATTAAACAATTTGCTTTAATCTAATTCTAAGTTTTATTTGTTGTGTAACTTTAAGAATGAAGAAAAGCTAGTAAAAAGGACGTAAAGAAATAAAATAAAAGTACAAAGTCATTAAATTGTAGGTAGTTGTAGTTCGAGTATGTATATAGTATTCTCACGTTATAACGGCAAGGTACGCGTATCGATAATACCATATCATTAGTAATCACGGATTCGTTCAAAAAAGAAATATACGCATACAGAAGGACACATTTCCCGATGTGCTCTAACAAAATAGGCCACGAACAAATAACAGAGCTGCGAGACAACAGCTTGTCGTGGCTAAACTGTTTTACCACTGATGTTTAACGATCTCATTGCTTGGACACAGCGTATGGCTTCGTGCTGAAATTCATTTCGCTGAGGCCAATAAAGTCGGGTTTGCATGCGAGTGAAGAGAGAAGCCTGGAAACATACCCATTATTGAACTAACTGACAAGCAACGTGGGCCAAGTACTCGCAGAGACCGTGCGTTCACTTTGCGTGTACGTGCTTCCATTGTGCGTCGTTTAACGTCATTTTCCACCTTTTATATTTTTTAGGAGAGAAAGAGAGAGAGAGAGAGAGGGGGAGAGCGTTGTAATTAATTGGCTTACGTACAATAAGTCGAGAGAATATATGTTTTTATCGTTCGAGAAGCTCCCTGCGAAACTTAATTCTATATTTATGAATTTAAATATAGTTTGGAAAATAGTAAGGGTTATTTTTATTCGTAGGGCTGTTTATATTTTTCAAGCTTAACTTACGTTTAGGTTATATACAGAGTGAATGTCTACGGTGATAAAATCAAATGTTTCGTGTACGATGCGAGAAGCAAATGATTCATTTTTCTCTGTAACTTGGGCGAAAATTTATCTTACGAGCACTTCTTTTTAAGAGAACACGAAGAAACAAGTTGGAAGTTTACAATCATCAATTGCAATTGCTATTTCGTTCCAAATGTTTTCAAATACTAACAATTTTTTTCGTTTCACGGGAAAAATTATTGCATGATGATGGCAAAAAACCGAATATCTGCCAGCCACAGTTTTTAATGCTGATTGAACTGTCAAGAACATTTTTCTTATGTATTTTAGTTTACTTTCTATAAAAAATGGGCACGATTAATACAACTTTTGCTTTACAGTACAGTCGAAAGTTGATAAAATAATTTAATAATCTTTCATAATTAATTATATTGAAGAAAATGATTGTAAGCTCTAACAATTGGTCATTAAAGTTATTACTAAACAATAAAAATCTACAATAAAGTCAGAAAAAAACGAAATATTTAAATAAATCAAAATTGTCTTATTTTGAAAAAGTAAATAATTCGTAAGAAAGATGAAATATGAAGTAAAATCACGCACACTTTTTTATTTACTGCTTAAAAATGTAAAACGACGGACAAATCGAAATAAATCGTGTACGAACAAAAACAGTTTTAATGTAGTCGCATTAGGGTTTAATATCGCAAAGATAATCAGGAAGTATCATTATGTTCGCCTAGCTGGCAAAACAAAGTTATCTGCTCTCAACCACGTACAATTAATCAAAAAACTTTCCCTCTGTTGTTGAGTTCAGAGTGTAATCGCGCGACGAATACCTATAATTCCGCAAATATGCATAGCGAAACATTTAATCGACAACGAATAATATTGCACCATGTTGACGGGCGACTAGTAACATTTATCCAAGCCATGAACGCGCGCGCATAATCCCACGGATATCGTGTTATTTTTAACATGGAGGAAAGAGAAATGTAATGAAAATTTAATCCGATGCAATTTGACGGTTAACGAGCAGATTTTGTTGATAGCACGAATTGAATTGAGTCGGCTTCCGACTGTAATAAAATTGTTTATATCTGAGCTAATTCCTATTGTTCTGTGCAAAACTGCAATTTTCATTATGACCGCGCAAGCACTACTGACTAAAACAATACCTACACACAGAATTTCAATGAGCCAACGCACGACTTGGTTTCCGCAGCGTCTTAAAAATTCATTCACCCCTGTACCAAAAGATTTTCATTCGGAAGATAAGCAGGCCAGTGGTGCCATAGATAATTTATATCTCGTATTAAGATAACATGCCGATAATTTCTGGATCCACAAATATTCCCGATACTTTGCTCCCTTTGTATATCCGATTAAGTTTTTATGCCGACGGCGGGAATCATTTTCTTTCCTGTCGTATTTCTTTCATGGGAAAAAAACTGAGCACACGTGGCAATTAGACCCACAGCAGAAGCCGCGCCCAAGAGCCGTCAATCACAACATTCGAATAGTCTACTATGATGCTGTGCGGTCCTCGATTTCACGCCACTGATACTAGCACACGTGTAAGAAGCGTCATATTGATTAAACTTGTCATATCCAATGCACAGACTGATTCGATCCAAATCTTCCTTACGCGCGCAGAAAAAACAAGTATATTTTTGCAATGGCCATTAAATATTGATAAGCCTGGTGATGTTGAAGTATGAAACTTAAGCTTTGAGCGACACACGCTTAAAGAAAGCACGAGCTTCGCACGCTTGAATTCTTCATTGCGCACGTACAGACTTTCCAATCCATCATTTCTTTTCGAGCTCATATTTCCTCTCTCTCTCTCTCTCTCTCTCTCTCTCTGGCCTCGCGGTTTATTATTCAATGCATTACACGACAATAGGTAAAATACATTAGACCGAGAAGCGCTATGGAGGAAACGGACGAACAATAATCATTTGAAGCAACGACGTAACGACGGTCTCAAACTGCGCATGCAGAATGGTCTGTTTGAGCTTGATGTTTCGGTTATGTTTGAGAAGGTGTTTTGTTTATCCTGTTGTACTTATTTATTCAAGAGCACCTGATCGGCCAGTACATAGAACAAAAAAGTTATAAAAGTAAGGTTTCCGAAATTTGATATTTTTACTAAACATTCAAAATCAAACCGTTCAATTTAATTAGTGTAAGTTATTTCAAGATTGTAACGATTGAAGTGTAATTTATTTTTGATAAACTCAAACATTATTTTATGGTTCCAAAAAGTTAACTCGATGCTCGGGTTAACTGGTAGTGGATAGATACTTAGCTTGGAATTGTTTAAAAACGTAACAGTCTGGTTCTATGACCTACAGACCTTCTTATACTGTACATTTATGGAGTTATTGATTTTAGTAAGCATTATTAAGTACACACCTATCTCATCCAATCTGCATATCCAATACGAGCGTTACATTACACTTTAATATTTCCAGAGCATGCGTAAGTGAAGTAGAGAAAGAAAAAAATCTAATTATCAAAGTAACGCGCGCGACCCAATGAAAATCGATGATTGAAATTAACAAGCTTGAATCAACTTTTTTCTACATCGCTAACGAACTGTTTTCACTATTTTCTATACGACAATTTTTAGTAGTAAAACATAAACCGTTAATTTTTCAACAACACATTTGACCCTTTCAAGAGTTTCCAGTACTGCAATGGAATTGTTTTGCTTCGAAACCGCTTGACTATTGATGGAGATATAAAAGCTTCAAACGCTTAGATACAAAAAAAAGTTCAATAATCGGTCACGGTCATCGCGATTGTATTTTGTAAAGTCCATTTGTGCATTCGTAAAAAACAAATACAATCGCTTCTACCACAATGTGAAATAACGTTCTAACGTTCTTTGTGAAGGGTCGTTTTCCCTTTACGCGTGTGTATGTCAATTGCATCTAATGGAATTTCAATTAAAGTTCACTTCGTTGTCTACGACATTTTTCATTTGCCAGAACAAACAAAAAAATAAAAAAGAAGAAGAAAGCGCGTGTGCATCCTCGAAAATTGCAGGTAAGCCAGTATAAAAAAAAGCGAGTGTATGTAATCGAGTTTTATACATGTATAGCAACGCTTCGCTTTAGATGTCAGCGTGCCCACCACCGCCACCATTAGCATTTTTAACCCATGAAATATACCTTTTCTGTTGAAGTTAAAATTCATGTTTTCAAAGTTATAAATTAGTTGCTATGGACACCTATACACCGAAACAACAATAAATCTTCGAGTTTATCAGCTTGGATTATCTAGATATAACTGAACGAAAAAGCGCTCTTCTTATGTGTACGAAACTTCCATATTTTCGGCCGATGCGTATACAAAGATACAGACGAAAAAGCATTTGCATAATTAGTCTCTCGTTATTAGAATCAAAAACCAAATGCTCCGTTATCAAACTCTCTCATCGCTTTTCCTTTTGTGCTCGGCACTCTGATTCACGCCCTCGCGCTTGTTTTGTAACGCCGGAACGTGCGGGAATTCGTAATTATTTCTAATCACAAATGGCTTTTCTTTCCTTTCCACGCTGATTTCCCAACTGCAATGAACATCGACTATTTGATGTATATGTTTGATTAAAGAATTAATTATTATTATCATGATGGGAATGATAAATATTGATAAATAATTCTTTTGCTGTCGCATTATAACTTCAATATATTTACGAAATAATTGCGTCACTAGTTATTTGCACGTCATTGTCAATACCTTATTTCATATTCGACAAAGTATATTTTTTATCAGAAGCTTTATCATATTTATATTATATTGTTACCATAATGAATAACATCCGTTAAAATTGTTTCCTTATTCAGATAATATATATAGCGCTCTATGAAATCTTTATTTCATAAAGCGCCTTTGTCTTTCATAAAATGTATTAGATTGCAGTCTGTATTTCAATGAACGCTTCTGCTTCCTTTTTTAAATTTTATTTGTATTAATTAATAAAAAAGAGTTTTATAGCAAATAAGTAATATCTGAAGAGGAATGATACTCGAAAATTAGCATGAAATAATTACATCGTTGATACATCAAAATAATTTAATGCGTTTCTGTCAAGTGAGTCAACGTATTAAATTATGAAGCATGCAATAGAAAATTATTCATAGTTTTGAGAATGAGACGCATCTAAGTTTTAGTAGAATAATATTTGCGTAATTATAATAAAATTAATCAGAAGAAATAACCACTAACCTATAATTATTTTTCCTATCGTTCAGACGTCAAAAATCCAGTAGCGGTAATGTGGTGGCAACGTATTCAGCGAACTTCACCAGAATACCCAATCTCATTCAAGAATGGCAACCTCAATCATATAGCTGGTGACAACTTGCTACACCGTCCCTTCGTTGACCAAATCGATGACGTCATCAAGCGAAATCTCGATAAAATCGGCGGTGGCAACCTCCTGCGCAACGTGCCCGACGATTATTAACAATTAACTGTATACCTTTTCTAAATTTTCTATTCTGTCGTAGTGAAATAAATATTATTACAACAGTAGAGAAAAACTTGTTATTTTACCATTTCATGCAAAAAAAAATATCAGTCGGACACACAAGACATCATTCATATTTGACTTTCAATAAGCGTCAGCAGTATCCGATCAATTATAAATTCCACCAATCAACAAGAAGAAAAAATTGTCTCTTTTATACGTAGATACCATAGATGTCAAGTCCCATGAGATTGATAGACATATCCCGCCGGCGACAACGAAAAAACGAACGAATGAAACTTTGTATACCCTTAGCCGGGCGCCCAGCTGCGGCTTATGATTTACTTTTTGCCAAGCACACCATACAAAACCAAAGCAAACCGCCTCTCTATTCACGTGTGTGACTTATCGACAGGTGCAGCATTGAAGGCCGAGGAAGTAGCGAGGCGAGAATTCGACCAGAGCAAGCCAAAGTTCGCCAGCCACAGGTGAGAGCCAGATTGAGTAGTAAGTGTCGAGATACGGTCAGCCACTGTGGCGATATGATAATAGCGTCGTTGTGTGCGCGTATTGGCCTAGTTTCTCTGGAAAAAGAGAGCGCGATAGAGTGGCAATTACGCGCTTGTGAAAGAAAAGTAACTTTGGCTGTTAGAACAAAGGGGAATTCCTTGTCGGGACGACGGTCCTTCGTACTCTCTTTTACTTTTATCGCGACTGCGTGTTGCAGGCTCTTCGCTGCCGCTACCACGCGCAAGTACGAGCCCCAATAAATACGATATGATCTTTCGGCGGCCATCAATTTCACCAAGTTGCTTCCGCTCGGCGTGATTTCTCAGCGGGCGTCCACATTTTTCACGCGTACGCGCGCCAGCACTTTTCTCGCTCGCACACTGTACTCCTACGTCGTTTATTGTATGACTTTTCGCGCGCGTCCTAATTTTCAATTTAATTGTAAGCTCGCGTTAACGCTTCATCTCGTATAGTATTGGCGAGTATTACCTAAACTCTGTCAAGGGACACTCGATGCACTTTTTTCATCACACTATCAAACTCACGACGGTTACATTAAAACTTGAGCCTCTCAGCGAGCCTATGACTTGCTAGTGCGATGAGATAATTTACTAGGGTCGCGTTCGTGATTAATAATAAATGAGCGTTACTTGATTTTTTGCCTCGTCCTTCGTATGCACGCGATATGACGTAACGGTTGCACTGAATGATTACTGGATCATATAACGATTATGCGTGGAATAGCAGTTTGACCTTGACAGCCTTGCGAGCTGCGTTAGAAAAATGATGGATTGCGAGGTAAGCCGCCTCGACTTTGGACTGTCCCTGAGGAAATTATAAACACCTTCACTTTTACACGGCTTACAACGGTTTGAACAATATGATGCGGTGTAAAAAATGCAAAGCTTTTATCAGAAAAGAAAGCACAATAGCGACTCGAGAAAACATGTAAAAAAGAAATTCGAAGAAAGCGCTAGAAACAATTACGTTACCCTTCTCGCTCAAATACCTGCTCATTGTCGACAACAATGCAACGCGAGGTTTTATTGAATTTTGAAGTGCGGTAAATTAAAAAAAAAATGCTTTTTTCAAGCAGATAACCAGTCCCGAAACAAACTTTCACTGAAAGTGGTTCAATTCTTGCTTCTTTGTAGTTTTTCTTCTGTGTCTGAAGGCACACTTATGCTTATACAGGTTGTATGAGGTCCACTGAGAGTTGTCGTTTGTGATGCGTGGGTCGATTCGTCAGGGGAGAAAACTTACTGCTCTCTCAATTTCCGCTAGAGCAAACGCGGCAGGCGAAAGATGATGTTACCCGACGTGCTCGATCTGTTTGTCCTCACTCTGTCGAACTCAAATCCTTTATCTCGTTCAATTTGCCTTGTATACACTTGCTAGAGCTTCCTACTATACAGATTGCTTTATCTTGTCACACTCAACTCGCGTTATTTTTTTTGTTTTACTTGTTGATCATAAAGTTTTTGTTGAGGATAAGTAAGAGCTTTCAATTGATGAGGTGATGCATTTATCGCTGAAAGTTCCTCTATTGAATATTTTCCAATGAAATTTCATCTCTTTACTTTCTATGAAAATACTTTGTTCTTTGTCAAGCCAACAGGCTAAGTAAGAATAAATTTAATTAAGCTACACTTGCAACGCATTAAATTATCGTTCATATCGACAGAACCTATGGACTGGCTTAGTCTATTGAAGAATTTTTTAATTTATCGCATAATTCAAGAGCTTTTCAGGATTTCAAGAGCACCAAGATAAAACAATTGATAAATATTTGCCACAATTAAATCAAACATATTTAATTCAGAGAAAATGTACAATCTATACACAACAAAGTTACACCTGAGCGCGTGCGCACATAAATCAATATTCGAACCGATGGAAACTTTGTAATAAGTATCCAGGTGCATTCAACAGAAAGCTGAGCTACTACTTATTATTTCAGGAAAGGCTACTCGGATCAAATAATCTTCCCGGCGGAGATGATCAGTTTGCAAGGCAACAGCAAGCGTAACTTCGATGAAATCGATCGAGTTGGTTTCTCCGACTTCAATAAGCGCAACTTCGACGAGATCGATCGCGCCGGTTTTTCCGACTTCAACAAACGCGACTTCAACGAGATTGATCACTTGGGCTTCTCAAACTTCGGTAAGCGCAATTTCGACGAGATCGATCGTAATGGATTTTCAACGTTCAACAAGCGTAACTTCGACGAGATCGATCGCAGTGGATTTGGCTTCAACAAGAAGAGAAACATCGACGAAATCGATCGAAATGCATTGTCAATTTTTAACAAGCGCAACATAGACGAGATCGACCGTAGCGGCTTCTCAGGATTCAACAAGAAGCGCAATTTCGACGAGATCGATCGCAACGGATTTTCAACATTCAATAAGCGTAACTTCGATGAGATCGATCGCAGTGGAATGCCAGGCTTCGCCAAGCGCTCGATCTCATCATCGAAGAACAAATCGGCGAATCAACGGAGTCGTTGAACTACCTAACGCAACGACAACGAAAGTGCATCGCTGACACGACACGAGAGGAAAAGGGACAGGCACAGACGCCTCATTCGAACTTATATTTGATGCTCGTCGTTACATTATCTCATGAATATTTATTGGAATTTCGTTCTGTTTCTATTTTCTCCGGAATACACACACGACCGTGCCAATTCGTTAAGCACATCAAATCTTTTTACTTTCTTTTTCCTTAAGACCAAGAATATTGATTCATGCTAATGATTAAGTTCTGTGTGTGACAAGCTTCTTATTTCAAATGAATGTTCAAGATATCTGTGTATTTTAAACTCTTTTTTTATATACATTTCAATTGTTATATCGTCCAACTTATCGGCTAACGCTGAAGCACAAATCTCATAGGATAGCTTAATTAATACAAGATTGATGTTTGCTTTTGACCTTCTTTCTGAAGATAGTTAAGTTAAATTGTATGATACACATTTTTTATCAGATATATGCATATATCGATGATTAACATGTATACTGTTTTATACTATACTTTTCTTTGAAAGACAAAAGGTATTTTCTTGTAAATTATTAAAATGTTTAAAAATTTAGATATAATAATCTTGATGTTAACTTAACAGTAATGTTGCAATTACGATAGTATCTATAGTTCTTAACAAAAATTTTCATTTCGTTGAATATTTGAAAGTATTGATTTTGGTAGCATTATGTATGTTTAAAGATAAGTCAATGTAATTTGTAAGCGATCCTATAATAAATCCACTACACCTTATTTATTATACATTGCAATTTTCACAACGAAGTAGATTATGGCTGAACAATTGTCGCTGGCTACTTGAAAAAAAAAAACATGTTTGGTTGAAATTGACATTTTCGACAAGTTTTTGACTGAAAACTTATTTTTATTGGTTTATGAAAAGAACTGGCAAATACATAATTGTGCATGATAGACGTGTAGCTTTTATTGTAGAATGGTTTTAAACAAATAAACTAACAAATGTTTTGACAAATTACAGTTTATAACAGTTCAATGCTTTGTACAAGAATTTTTACCAACTCAAAAGTATATTTCGGTGATACTCCCTCTCGCTCGCGTCAGTGAACGCATAAATGCCAAACAACAGAATACTCTTCATTTCAATCGTGCCAGATCATTTAAGACTAATATATTCGTAAATTGATTCATCGAATAAAAGAGGAAAGAAAAGAAAATGTATTTTTATCGTTACTTAGAAAAAAGAAAGATGCACTTGAACTAGGAAAATACATGTACAAAAAAGGAAAAAGAACTCATTCGGTTATTTCTCGAAACATCCATGTTGAAAATATATTTAATAACAAGACGAATTTAGCGATGTTGCATCTCAAAAATTCCGCAAAAAGTATGAATAAGAAACTTATTCGAAGTCATCAAGGTATACAAGCATAGCAATTAAGGGAAACGATTATACTTTAGAGATTTGCCGCGAGGGAAAAAGAAAATATGATAATAACACCGTCAAAGCATTTTATGTGTCTTCTTTGCGTGTATGCGCAATGGCCTGTCAAAAAAAACCAAAAAGATCAAATAAAATGGACTGTCTCAATTATTTTAAAAGGTGACTTAGTCTTTCGCAATTGATTTACCTCACGTGGGGCACATCCAAGGTGGTCGGAAACCAATAGGTTTATCGATCACCGGACTGTGTCGTTGCTCTACCAGCAAGGTGACTTCGGGTACGATAACAGGCGACTGGTTACGTCGGTTGCCCTTCGAGTATAGCGATAGGCTGGACTCGACTGGACTCTTCGACGAGGATATTCGGGCACTTCGTGGGCGTTGCGACGGCTGCTGATGTTCGATTGGCGACGAGCGCTGACTTTGCGGCTTACAACCACTCAGGATACGACGAACTTCCTCGTTTATGTCTGGCGGCGTCTCCACTGTCGCGTTCTCCATGTTGTAGTCTAACCGCGCTAACTGCAAGCATTCAAGCATTCGTTCTTAGTAAATGCACTCATTAATAGGGTTTTCGTGTTGCTTATCGCACTTACCTCTATGACTTCTTCTTCAAGCTCATGAAATCTTTTCGACGTTTCGGAAATGCTGGAGCTTAGCTTCGTCAGATTGTGTGTCACGTAGACTTCTTTACCAATGTCCGCTTCTATCTACGATTTATCAGAGCAATGAATACTCACGCGATTAAACATAAATTGCTTGGGAGGAACATAATTTACCTCCCTCATCGCTTCCATAACTTTCATGCCGACATAGTCAAGACTTGAACGAGACTGTTCAACCTGAAATAATTACATTGACTCGAATAAGCGCATCAATAGCAACAATTAACACTATACTTACTAATGAATTGTATTCTTCAACCTCATCTATAAGTTGATAATGAGATCTCATCACGCGGAAAAACTGCAAAATTATAACCTTCATTTATAATTGACACTAACCTTGAAATATGCATTTAAAAAAAATAACCGAGTAGCCGAATTGAAATGAACACTTTTCTTATTCGACCTGTACTTACTCGTTGCAAGGTGTAAAGTGCAATGGACAAATGTGCAAAGATGAAAAGAATGCTGTTAAAGAAGCGCAATATTAAAAACATCCCTTCTGTCAGCTATCTCATACAATAAGTTATCAAATGGCCCTTCCAAAAACTTCATAGCAAAACACAATCAAGTCTGCATCAAAGTGATATACGAGTCGCGTGATTTCTTCGGTCCGCAGAGAAAATTTGGTTATCAACTGTCATTTCACGCGTTACACCCGTGAAAAAAAAATCAAAACTTTTTTACTTATCAATAACAAATAGTCGTCAGCAGTGATGGGAATTGACAATCGACAACAGGCTGCAATGCAAAATTTAAAATTTTCACGCTTCCCCAGGAGAGACGTGCGCACGGCTCGCTGAAAGTCGAGCTTACGCGGTTCGCCGTTCAAGCGCAGCGCTAACCACACTGTGCGTCCACTTTGCCCCGTAGGACCGACAAAAAATATGCAAAAATATGAGAAACTCGAGAAAATAGGAGAAGGTGAGTACTCCAATTGTTATGACGAGTGTTTTACTCTATTGGTCCGCATGGTTTTCATCGTTTTGTCACTAAATTTAGCGTGAAACTCGACCCTGACAAGGTTGTGTTTTCTACATTCTGCTTGGCAATAACAATGTCGGTGGGCAAAGCAGTTCACCTTGTTGTTTTTTCTTAACTTTCCTCAGGTACTTATGGCACAGTATTCAAGGCGAAAAATCGCGAGACACACGAAATCGTTGCACTCAAGAGAGTCCGCCTCGACGATGATGACGAAGTGAGTTTGCTTTATTTCCAGCCACCATCCGACCTTCGATTCCAAAATTAGTTCAATATCGATTTTTCATTATTTACATTCAACTTGTGATACTGTATTTATTAATTGAATTTTAAAGCGTTTGGTCTCTTACTTAGTCTTTTACTTATTGTAAGTAAGAGGTTTAACTGTAAGTACTTGCTTTTAGGGTGTTCCTTCTTCGGCGCTCAGAGAAATCTGCTTGCTCAAAGAACTTAAACACAAAAATATTGTTCGATTGTACGATGTACTTCATAGTGATAAGAAACTTACTCTAGTCTTTGAACATTGCGATCAGGATCTCAAGAAATACTTTGATAGTCTTAATGGAGAAATTGATCTGGATGTTGTCAAATCATTCCTGTAAGCAAAAGCCTCTTCTATCACTGCTAAGTTACATTGATGGACAGTCGTTTGATTTTCCAAATTGATTTACAGTTACCAGTTACTTAGGGGTCTGGCATTTTGTCATAGTAGAAATGTCCTTCATAGGGATCTTAAACCTCAAAACTTACTCATCAACAAGGCAAATGCTTTAATATTATTGTTTAAAACTCTCTATTTTCAGTAACTAAATAATTGTTGTAATTGACTTTTTACAGAATGGTGAGTTAAAGCTTGCAGACTTTGGGCTAGCAAGAGCTTTTGGTATTCCAGTGAAATGTTATTCAGCCGAAGTAGTAACTCTTTGGTACCGTCCACCAGATGTCCTGTTTGGGGCAAAACTTTATACTACATCAATTGACATGTGGAGTGCAGGTTGTATATTTGCTGAGTTGGCCAATGCTGGTCGTCCTTTATTCCCTGGCTCAGATGTTGATGATCAATTAAAAAGAATATTCAAAATGTTGGGTACACCAACTGAAGAAACTTGGCCAGAAATGACTACTCTTCCAGATTATAGACCTTTCCCACAATATCATCCTACTCAAGGTTTAGCTCAAGTGACACCCAAACTTCCACCTAAAGGAAAAGATCTTCTCCAGGTATTTACTTATATTATCACTGTAAATATTAGAGAGGTTGAAGAAAAAAACAACTAAATTATAATAAAAGTTTCTTTTATTAAATAATGTAAACATATAATGTACATTCACTTTTTCAGAGATTATTAGTATGTAATCCAGCTCTTCGATTATCAGCAGAAGAAGCAATGGCTCACCCTTACTTTAATGACCTGAATCCTGCCATTCGAAATGACAGATGCCAATAACACGTTCCAATTCTAGATTAACACTGCTGACAATTCAACAGCACCAGACCAATTATGTGTGGTAATAATCATTTCATTTTATAAATATTGTTGCACATGAAAATACAATGAGGATTGTTAGGTCCTGTTTTATATACAAGTGTTATGAAAAGAACAAGTGAAAGTCAATTTGTTTTTTTAGAAATAGTATAATGTATTAAAACATTTTTATTATAAATGCATTCATACATTATATTATTTTTCTTTCAATAATATTAGTTCTTTGTAAACTATATACTAAAGTTATAAGAACGAATTAAATGAAATTACAGAATTATCACATTTTGTTTGTTCTGCTATGAGCTTCTACAATACTACGAGTTATACTGCAAACATTTTTTTATACCCGATAATTCGATAATTTTTTAACAAAATAACAAATGTAATTTTATAGAATAGCCTTTGAAAAATGTTCACATAAACCTTCGTAGTTTGTAATCGCTGAAAAGATATTAATAAATTTTAATACACTTACGTTAACTTTAATTAAAAAAATAAGTTAACGGTAATAGGGCGCAGAGTGCAACAACGTTCAATTTACATAGCATCAAAGTGAAATCTATGTGCCTCCTGCAACTTCTCGATTTTATCTTCTCGTCTTTCTTTCCAGTATAGAGCGGCAATGATCGCGATAATGAGTCCGCAGGTGGCAGTCAATGCGGCTGCACTCAACAAGATCAGTTTGCTTGGTGTTACAAAAAGCTGCGCCTTCCATCGCGAGGGGTCCGTCACAGGGTTCGGTATGACCACCATTTGTGAATTCGGAATGATTTGCGGCCATTCCCGTGATCTATTGGACAACTAAAATTTGAAAAAGACACGTGAAGATGAATGCTTAACCTTCGGTGTTCCTGTTAATATTATCTAGTTAGAGATATTATAATAATAATACATTTTTAGTTAATAATTTTTGGAACAGTTTTCTAGTTAAAAATATTATTTCGACGCATCAATTTATAATAGTGTTAACTACTACTAAATGTGAAAACAAATAAGTATTTTAATTAGGAGTGAATGTACATTTGCCCAAATGTAATTTTCCTGTTAACTGAAGACAATATTTTGATATAAAAAAACTCATTAATTTGGTCAAAAGTTGTGAAAGTTTAAAAGTTACAAAGTAATGCCAAAATCACGAAATAACGATATTTATACAATTTTACATATGTCGAGAATCAAAAAAAATAACGAAAAATACATGAATTGAGTATTGTAAAAAAACTCTATATCTATTGAAATTAAATTACTTCTGTACTTTCCGTTATACCCGTTAATAATTTTACAGTAATTTTATATAAAATTGGATTTGTGAAATACTATGGTGTATATTTTCAGATATTTAGGCTATAAACTCTTAAGCAATATTACATCATTTCACAAGTATTCAGTATTTATAAGAATGTTTCAAGATCTAATGAATAAAAAAATTGGACAAAAATCCTGTGATTCTTCAATCGTAGAAAATAACAAATCAAACTTACCCCAATCGTCAAGTAATCAATAAAATTAGGTGTCCTTCCAAGTCCAAACGTTGTATAGGGTAAATTCAATGAAAAATGAGCACTCTGAGGCAACTGTGCAGCAATGGCATTTCTTAATCTACTATCTTGGGTAGTAGTTTGGTATGAAATTGAAGGACCAGGTAAATTTGTTCCATATGTCCTTTTCTTTTTTCCCGAACTACCAGGTGAGATTGGATATTTACTGTTTGTTCTTCCAGTGAGTACCATTACTTTGAGAAAATTAGCATCATAGTCAAGGCTATTCTTAAAGGCTGCTGTTTTATAAATATTTTTGTCCTTAAGATCCTTGAGTACCAATATTACATCCAATACACCTAAAACATATTACAATTTCAAATTAAGTCATTACTTAATCTATTAGTGATCAATATTATGAAAAACTTGATAAAATAAAATTACCATCTTGATAAAAGTCATAAAATACTGCCATAACACTCTCATTAACAAATGGATTCAGTGCATTCCAACGCACAGTGAAAGTTCTATCAAAAGCCCCACAATTTTGATCGCACTGAACATTTTCGAGGAGGAATGAGCGCATTTTAGGTGGACTTGTATTCGATTGTAATGTAGCAAGTAGATCTGGGTACCCATCCATATTGAAATCTCCACCTCTGATTGTTATTGTATCTACATATCGCCGTCCACCATCAAAAGCAAAATTCCATTGTGTTTTTGAATTGTCCATGAAATTAATATTTATATCTTGCCATTTTCCATCTGAATATATCATAATAGAACTTTGTTCACAGCTATTATTAGAATTTAGTGAACAAACAGGTAAAATAAGATCAGTTTTTCCTTCCAATTCTACATCCAAGTGCAATGATTGGCCTATTGTTAATGTTTTTAATGTTGGAATAGTGGGTAATGGAATTGTCTCTTTGAATTCAAATCCATTTTCTTTACCATGCCATATTTCAAAATATTCATCTGTTGTTACAACTAGATCAGCATAATAGTCACTGTTTAAATTCAAAAAAGCATTAGCATGAGGCCGACGAATTGGCAACAGTTTTTCTGAAATTGCATAAGTAAAAGAAATTTAATTTTATTAAGGATTACAGTAACAATCAAAGACAAACTTTATAATAATTAGCAAGCATTTAATCGTTTTACCTAATTTCTTGGGTTTCTTCATGACTATTGGTGTTTGTTCTGTTCGATTGGTGCTAAAAATCCAGAAGGTTCTTATGCCATGTACATCAGAACCAAACAAATCAATAATCATATCTTGGTTATAATCAATGGCCAATGGTTGGCCTCGCATTTGAATCAATGGCACTTTTGCATCAGAACAATCAAGTCTTTCATTGCTACCCCATAAAATAAAAACATTAGTGGTTTTATTTACATGAGTAGTAACCAGAACATCCATGAAAACATCTCCATCAAAGTCTCCTGGGACAACACTGCTAACTTTTTCATCAAATGTGCAACTGTATTTTTTCCTTGCTTGCAGCAATGGCTCCTCATTGGATGCCAACATAATTTGTACGGTTCTTCCATCATTACGCAGTACAAATACATCTGTCAGTTCATCTGAATCGAAATCACCGAAAGCTGCTGGCATTCCATCCAATTCTTTTCCAAACACAGCACTAGTGATATCACTACATAAACCCAATCCCACTAGGGCATTGAACAGGACAAGGAGGATCCACAACTTCATGATTAGATGTTTGTATTACCTATTCAAAAGAAATTCACAGTAGGTGATTATTATTTAAAATTCACATCTTATGGTTGATGTAAAAAAAAATCGAAATATATGAGTCACCTGATAGATGATTTCATGTTATTATAACACCTCCAATGCCTCAAGCTATATAAAACTTTGATAACAAATTGCTATCGATATTGCTCCCTGAATATCAGATAAAACGAATATTGCGATCTTTCTCTTGTAAAACTTAAAGACAAATTGTTAAAGAAAACGTACAAAAATAATGTAATTACCAACCATTAATGACACTTCAATAATCCATACACATACGTTCTAATTCTGTTGGTAAATCCATATAGCTGTTTCTATTCTATATGACTACGTATGTGTGTAAGTATCTCATTAGAACGCAGGCGCAAAAAAATAACCTAAAATATAGCAGCAGTTATTACTGTTGCCATCTTTTATGGTAATCCTCGATCCCGTCTATTACTTAAATAGTTGAAAAATAAACGAATTATAACTAAACGGCATTTTATCAAAATAATCGACGTTGAAAATTGATTTTTGATAAAAATTATTGACCTTGATTATTACATAGACTATTACATTTCCAATAGATTATTTTATTTTGTTAATTTTGAAAGGCGCAACATTTACATAACGTATCGATCGATGCATAATATTCGCGAATAAAATAAAAATAAACAATGAAATACAGTAACCTGCTACTTTCATAATAATGAAGCTTTTAAAGTTCATTTTGTTAAATTATAACGTTTATTATATTGCAATCTAATTAAAATATTGAAATATAAGGAACAAATATTGTTTTAGACTTACGACTTTACTAATAAGAACAATGAATTTTGTGATTATAAAACAATTTTTTTATTTATAATAAAATATATACACAAATAATGAGACTAAATGTATTTATTAAACAAAATTTATTGTAAATTACTCAAAATTATTACAAAAATCAACTCTATATATTAGGCCAAACAGAATTCAGTCAAATGTGTTGAATTTTATTTTTAATTTTCCTATCTATTTTCAATTATTTCAAATTTTCGATGTACGCCAAGGAAAATTAATTATTCTTCTTTAATTATTTTTCAGAATATAATCGAATAAACTGTCGATTTTGAAATAAAATATTCGAGTGCTTTTTACTAATTGATTCTAATAAATATTCCTTAGACTGACGTTAAAAAGGCCACAATAATTGAGCATTTGGGGCTGGAAAGCTCCACTCTGACTGATACCCACGCTTTATACTACCATCATGCAGACAGGACTTTAAGCTACTCCAATCCAATAAATACTCTAGTTAGAGAAATTATATAGACGTTATATATAAATATGTAATTTATAATAAGTGTATCTATACTTTATACAACGCCAATTCTTGCTTGGATTTCGAACTATTCATGTTACATTGACACATCGCGTTGACATTACTTTCACAATAAAAACTAATATAAGTTACAAAGGTTTCATTCATTTCCGAAACAAAAATCTGTTTTCTATAGAAGTTGTTTTATGCTGACAAAACTCATATGCCATTCAATTTGTTCTTTGATAGTTTCTTTTTAGAGTATATATAAGTCAAATGCTGCTCTATCACTATTTTCATTAGAGTAACCTAGTAACGTCACCGAGAAAAATAGTAGAAAAACAGATACAAATTTCAATTACATTATTTTCTTCAAAGCTTTTCTTAGTTATACAAATTGTAAAACACGAATGTAAAGCATTTCAAATTTATGAAGAACAAAAATACAGAAAAAAGTTAAGACCAGCAGTTATCCTATATCTACCTCAATATATCAGAAACACAAGTGCTAATAATTTCACACAATAATTAGACTAGTTGCAAATATTTTATTCTAACTTGTAATTCAGATTGTACTGTGAGCGATTTTAAATATCACTTCAAGTAGATATTTTTGAAATGATTATATAAAAATTTCTAAAGAGCTGAAAAATAATGGGTAAAACTGGCTCTGTTCTGTATAAAAGTGGACGTCACTGATAATACGTCAGCGAGCTAATCTCTGAACACGTCTTAGGAATTGTCAACTTTTACAGCTGGGTGTTGAGGTGCAAATGAAACTACGTTGGTGTAAACAGTGCAGCGCCCGTTCTTTTGTCTCCAATGGTATAATCCACATGCGTTTCACTTTATACACCGACTTCATAATAAAAATTTTATCCGAATGCTTGTTAACACATAGTCACTGCAATGAATGATTAAGCGTAGACTTCTCGCAGTGATGAGTTGTAAATGCGTACTACGGCAGGAATAACGATATGGCCTTGACGCGCGTTTCGCGTCGATTCATGGTCAATTGGTCTATGCTGCTCAAGTACACGGTATCTCGCTAGTTTTCCGCTCAGTGCTCTAATACCACATTTCACGTTTGTGTCTGTATATTAGTGCATTACTAACTCCAACAAGCCCGCGAATCATTCGTTTAGTAGATATCTTACGCTTGCAACGGCAAGTCACGCTTGTAATAGAGATAATTCATTATCTATCTACATTCTACTCACGCAAGTTTTGTTACAATTATTACCCGATTCATTTTTAACGTAACTGCATGAAAATGTCATCTTCGAATGATGGAAAGCAATTGGATCATATTAAAAATATTCTGACGTTCGACGAGATCACCGAAATTGCCAAAAATATTACCAACGATAAATCTGTTCAAGTTTTGAACTGTAATTTAAATGATTTAACAAATGAGAAATTAGGTTTCACAGGAACTCATCACATTTTAACGATAATCGTGCAGGTGAATAATTTTTTGTATCTTATTAGAAACAAAATCATTGAGCTTCATTGAATAGAGAGAGATTACATATGAAAAAAGATTGCAGAATATGACAGAAAAGAAACTATTGTTCATTATATGTAAAATTTATATATATATATATATATATATATATATATATATATATATATATATATGTGTGTGTTTTCATACTTTAAATTTGTCAATAAAAAATTGGCTTTACTTTTCATTTTCCTTGCGCTCAAATACATACAATATTTTTGTTATCAAAGAAATGTCATTTTTAATGTTTAATTTTTTTATGATCTAGACGATTATATACATGAGAATATATAATTTTCAGAAGCCCAATGCAAAAAAACGTGAAACCATAAGCGCCTTTGTCAAGATTGCATCTTTAGATTTAGAAGGTTTTGATGAAAGTATTGATATCAATAGTTTCATTACAGGTAGAGAGTCTTTTCTTCTAAATACGCTAGTTTCTCAATTTGAAAAAGATTGCAAAAGTGAAAAGTGGTGTCCGATACATTACTATACATCGAAAAATGCAGTAATAATGGAAAATTTAAAGTGGCACGGGTACAGAATAATTGAAGAGTTTATTGATGATCAAAAAGTTTTAAAATCTGTTTTGGCTTCTCTTGCCCGATTTCATAGTTGCTCGATACTTACGGAGACCCGTATGAGCCAAGAGATGAAGGTAAATATCATTTTAGTTATAAATCTGAAACCAATTTCTGACGTTAATGTACTATTTTTCTGCATTAGCGGCCAATATCACTAAATGAACATTACAAGGACAAATTTCAAGAACTGGTGTTTATAAAAACTGGTGAAGCATCTTCTTGGTTTGAATCTGTTACCAAGTTGACATGCGCTCTAGCCGAACACTTTGGCTTCGATTCAGTCAAAGTTCGTGAACTTTTTGATCGTGCCTGTGACATTATTAAACCTTCAGAAATCCATCGCAACGTCGTATGTCACGGCGATATTCATTCAAAAAATTTGATGTTCGCTGATAACTCACCTCTACTCAAGTGCATTCTCATCGATTTCCAGACCTACAGATATGCACCCATGGTAACAGATATTTTGGAATTTTTACATAATAATACTACATCAAAATTTCGGGAAGAACATGAAGCAAGTTTGGTAGAATTTTATCACTCAATTTTGGTAGATACAATCAAAAGTAATGATTCTACAAATAATGTTAAAATACCAAGTTTGGAAGATATTTTTACTGGGATGAAAGATTTGAGACTCTTTGGTCTCGTTATTGCTTGTATTTATTATCCTATTTTGTTTTTAGATCCCGAACTTTTGAAAAAACATGCTCGGGATGCTGAATTCAATAAAAACCTTGTTAGTGGCGATAGAATAGAATTGACCTTTTCTCAAATGGAAGTTAATCCATTTTACAAAAGTAAAATAGAAGAAGCTATTCGCGAGCTAATCGAAAAGGGAGCATAAGAAAATAATATATATGTATAATTTTTTCTAAAACAAAACATTTTTATAATATCTACTTTTTCCAAAAAATTTTTAATTTTTTCTACATTCTAACAAAATATTTCACTATGATAATAAATACTCTGCTTGGATAAGTATCTAAGTAACGCAATTTTTGTTAATATTTTTTTTAATTTCTTCGTATGTTGGTGACTGCACAGAATTTTACTGATAAATAGTTCGTATTATCGTCACGTAAATGATATCATCGGTACCTGAAGAATTTGGTTTTTCTTAATCTTCGTTATCGAATACTGATAACTCAGAGCGTTATATAACAGTGTGTAAAAAGAGTTAGCACAAAGAGTATTGCACTTTTTGAAATTATAAACATGTCGATCAACGGCACCGAAAATCACGGAGTTAATGATGACAGTGAAAGTAAAGTTTTAACACCCGAAGAAGTGGTCAGTCTGGCGCAGAAAATCGCCAATGATCCGTCAGTTCGAGTGTTAGATTATTGCATTGATGATTACTCTAAGGAAAAAATAGGCTTCACTGGCACTCACAATAGTTTGAAATTAACCTTTCAGGTAATTTGAAAGAATAATCTTATAAGCACTCTAAGTTTGATTCAACAAACACATACTTTAATTTTTCGCAACTTATAAAACTAGTTTTTATGTATAAGTTTAACAGGCTGTATTAATAAATCACGTAAGCAGTTGCGCGATAACTTTTGTTAATGAAGGACAAAATGTGACTCTACATAGTAAACAATATTTACGAATGATTTTGCGAGACTGTGCTGTATTTCTGTTGGCATCTTTCAGGCGTATAACGATTACAAAGAAACAGTTTTAGTTTTTCGTTATCCACTATTCGTTATTTAACCATTGTAACATTTCTTTTATTAATCACTTCATTAATTTTTTATGAAACTAATTTTTTCAATACTTCTCTATATTTTTAAAATTTTTATAAAAAACATAAGAAATAAATATCAAGCATAAGATTACGAGTTTCTTCCGAATGTTTCAAACAGGTAAATTATGTAGACTAAAATAAACTTTTGTAATATGTAAAAAGATGGTCATGTTTTTACTGTAAATAATGTTTCTGAAAGAAATTTTTAAATTTATGTAAATCCGATAAAAATTAAAATGAAAATTATGGAAAAGCGTCATTTTTGTAATTAGTTCAATGTATCAATGATTATATATGCATATGTCTGCAAATTTTACAAATAAATTTGTCCAATATCTATGAGAGTATACATGTTTTTTTTAGTTTTTTTAACCAAAAGATATTTTATTTCAATTGAAAAAAAAAAGTTAGTTAAATTTTATATATTTTTAGAGATCTCAGACTGACAGTTCTGAAACTGTACATACCTTTATTAAAAGTATACCAGTATACAATGCTGATACCAGCGATAGTCTATTATACACACCAATACTTATGCAAGAGTCATTTTTTTTTGAAAAAATATTTCCAGAATTAACTCATAATTATAAAAGCGAGAAATGGTGTCCTACTTACTATTTGACAACAAAGAATGCATTAGTAATAGAAAATCTGAAGTTCAGTGGCTACCGCATGCTCGACGAATTGTACGATAATCCTGTGGTTTTGAAATCCGTTCTTGCATCGCTAGCTCGGTTTCACAGTGGTTCGATTCTCACAGAAGCTCGTTTGAGTCGACAATATAAGGTAAACAGTATTCTTCTTATACTTTTTATTTGATTTGATTTATTGTATAAGAAATAAATCAAAAACTTTCACACGTTCGCTAGAATATAAATTCAATTTTCCTATAGCATCCCGTAATGTTAAACGAACACTTCAAGGATTCTATTTCTGAACTAATGTTTAACCCCGAGGGCGATAAAGTTCATTGGTATAATTGTGGTGTAAACTTGGCCTGTTCTTTAGCAGAACGTCTGGGTTACGATCCAGAACAGATTCGTAATGTTTTCAACCGAGTTTACGATATGATCAAACCTTCAAACAATTACCGAAATGTTATCTGTCATGGTGATCTTCACATCTACAACGTCATGTTCGCCGATAATCCACCTTTATACAAGAGCATTCTCGTCGACTTTCAACTCATCAGATATGCTCCTATGGTGACGGATGTGCTACAGTTTTTACATCTTAACGCTTCGAGAAAGTTTCGCGAGGAACGCGAGCTTGAACTGATTGCGTATTATCATTCTATAATGGTTGAGACTATTAAAATTCACGATTCTACGATTGCACCACCGACGTTAGAAAGTATTCTCAAAGATTTTAAAGATTTAAGAGTGTTCGGACTCATTGTAGCTTGCATTTATATGCCTTTATCGTTTCTGCATTCCAAACATGCCATCGATTTAGTGGAGAATTCGAAATCTGTATTTAATTTTATATTTGGAGATAGGCTGGAGTTAGTATTAGCTCATATGAAAGTTGACGAATCTTATAGAAATTTAGTTGAGGCTGCTATTATTGAACTTGCTGAGAAAACGATCTGATAACTGGCTGAAGACAGATTTAATATAAAATATCAAATTAACTACTTTATATGAAGAAATGAAAGTATAATTAAAGAGTAAAATAACATAAATCTTACTGTATTATTCACGTTTTTAATTAATGATTAAATTATTAATTAAATAATAATAATCAAGTATTTGCGTGTATAGACTATTGGTTCCAATATATCAAAAATTAGAATCAAAATGTCTTCGCATAAATGGTGCTAGAGCTGGGAAAAAATAAAACAGGCAAAATCATACAAAGCATATTTTTTCACGACGTAAATATCGTTTTATTTTAAGATCACGTAGACAATGTTTTATCTACACGATGCACAAATATATTAAACAATCATCTAAAATTACATTATATCGCAGCTCCTATACAAATATTACAATAGTTTAAAATCATTCTTTTTTTCAGTAAAATTATTATTTATCGTACTTGCATCTGTTGTATCTTTAAAATAATAATAATAGCAATAATTATAATAATAATCATATCATCGCCACCTACTACCTGTACGTCATAACGTTTAATAATAATCATAATAATTATAATAATAATAATCTGTACATCACACATTGTCACGTGAAAATTACTTCATATATAGAAATTTCAACGTAATCTTTAGTGTTCGCAACTTTTACTTTTTTGGCACTGGTATATAATAATACGATGCAATTCGCTTACAAAATAGTCAACTTCGTAAACGTAACAGCATATAATGTATATTTTTTTAATGTATATTTTTTTATCCTCATTGTCAGGTTCATCTCGAAAGTTATTTCTTTTTAACAATTTTTCCAATTAAATTGAAAATTATTCTTTTATTCCTGCTGAAAATATTTTTCAAGACACGTAAGAGTAATCTTTTGAATTATCTGTGACGTAAAAATTCAAACATTTTGTATTCTTGTCTTCTCATGTGAGTCTAGCTCTTTTTTATATTTTTTATAATTTTGAGCATTTTTGAATGATTATAATTGATTCAAAACTGAGTATAGTTATTGAATTAAATAAGTTTAAAATCTATGAATACAACATGTTTAATGCTATTATGTTAATATGTAATAAAGAGGAATATCTTGATCCACTTATGCATACTTTTTCAGATCCGAAATACTAATGTACGTAAAAGAATAATAGTTTCTTTTACTACTATTGTATTAAATGAAACTCAATTATTGTAATCGTATTCATATATATGTTTATAATTGAGCAAAGATATATTTATTCATGCAGATGTAGTATAATGAAAAGCTATGTTCGTAACAAGTGTCCGTTTATTGTAAATAAACGCCTGTTCCAACGAGAAGCAACGACATTCATCAGGAACCGGTTACCATGTACTCGTTAGTTTAGTTTACGTCGTGTAAATTTTAGTTTTGCTTTTTCTGTTGGTGAGTTGTTTTACATCGAACCGTTCTGAAAGCCAATTTACAGTTTATTCTTTAGACTTTTTCATGAAGATACTTAACATCTCGATTGAATATTGACTCGTTGATGTTGAAGTGGTTTTCTTTTATAAATCTTTATTCTTTCTTAACGTACGATTGTTTTTCCAAATGAAACGAATTTGTTGACACAGCCATATGGACTTTATATATTTAGAACGTCGTATTAAAAATGGACATTTAATACCAGATTATTAAAACATCCTCTTCTAATTGTTCTTTATATTGCTAACATTTACATATGCCAAAATTATAATTTTGAAGAATAACATTCAAAAGTGTTATCGATATACAACCGAGACGAACGTTAGTCTTTTTTGTTATGTAATTGTTTATTATTATTTATTTATGGACGAGATATTTTGAATAAAAGTCATTCTATTTCACTATCTTTGTTAATCAATCGTAATTTTCATTTATTCGTTTTAAGGTACGTTTTATTGTACGTCGTACGACGTAACACAACAATTTTTTTCAACACGTAATTAAATGTCCATAGAGAAACCAGTTAATAGTTAACTATATCACGGGTGTGCGATGACAGGCAAAAACTTGTTGACTTTTCATAAATATTTTTCATTGTTTCTTTCAATGAGCCTCAATGACGCTAAAATCCATCGATACCAGAAAGTTTAATATTTAATAAAACATCGAATAATAAGCTGAATATTTTCTATCTAAACCATGAATGACGTATATGCGCGATATAATATCCAATTGTATCTAATTTTAATTTTTTGATATCGATAAACCATTTCTTCATCAATTTTTTCTTTGGAACGTAGAAAATACTTGCGCGATTGACGTGTAAAAAAATATAAAAGTCATCGCCTCAGAAAAATGTCAAATTATATCTATCCATCGCAAGTTATTAATGTTCGTCTGAATGTCTCAATTGCAAACGTTGGTAATATTTTTGCCGCTTGCCACAATCCATATTCAACAAACATTCTAGTCCAGCTAGAACGGCTAAACAAATATAGACACAGTTAAAATTTTATCACTTACAAGTTTATATAATGTCACACTGGAATAATATGTTTTCAGAACTGATTGATAGATATTAGTTTCACAAAGATACCAATTAAAATAATCAATATAATTTTATTACATTGGATGAATAAACTGAAATACTGTGTTGGATTATTTAAGGGGATGATTTCGTATAAAATTGTTACGTGCGCCTTTTGTTCGACAATATTTTACTAAAATGAGTATGATAATATTGGCTATTATTATGAGACATTCTGAAATGGTATGTTTTCAAACAAACAGATATTTTATATTTAAATTTTGAATAATTATCATTTTGAACATTCATATTAAAATTACTGATTTACGTTATAAATACTTTTATATATACTTTATTTCTACATCGACGAATTCATGGTATATATACTTGCTTATTAATGTTATTTTATATTTTTTTGTGGCAAAATAGTTACTCTGCTACACCGATTCTCGCACGATAGTTTCTATTAACTAAATTGAATAATTATAGATAAAATCTTCCATAATTCCGGACGAAATTTTTATTTTGTATATCTAAAATGTATTTAATGTTTAAAAACAGAAACATCGTTCCCTTAGCGTCGCTAATGATAGTCATATATATTTGTAAATACTTTATTAACTCCTATAACCGACGCAGCTATAATTATTAATAATAAAATTGATGATTAATCACTTTTGCGAAGATCAGTTGTTTATCCAATAAGAATTCGCGTATTTTAATTCTTCGATTAATTCACCCTCACACAAGTGGAATCTTTGAAAAATACAAAGTTCGCTTTTAAAAAAATATACGATGATAAAAGCCTTTATATGCGTGATTTGAAAAATAGTTTCTCGTATGTATTTACTCCTGTGCGGGTGCAAGCAGATGATGACGAAAAACAAAGCAAAGCTATAAAATGAACACGAACGAGTGTAATAATCATAGGAGAAAACGTTAATATAAATATGTACACAAACAGCGTCGCACAGCCACAGTCTTGAATAATAATGAGTTGTGTATGCATGTACACCAGTAACTCGCTCACATGTGCATCAGGCAGATTCGTTCGGTAATAGGAGCAGGAGCAGCAGCAGCAGCAGCAGCGCGTCCTCAGACGAGAGGTCGAGCTTTGGCGATAGTAGGCTCGAGTGTCCTTTGTAAGCTAACCCTCGTGACAGCCGGTGGCGATGAGTCGAGTCGTGTTATCGATGCCGCTCTGCTGCTACCCGGGGTGCAACTGCCCGTCGGTGGAATCAGTGACACCACTTCCGGACTCGATGGCTGTCCGTTGTCCTCGTACACTCGCTCCTATATTTATATATCATTTTCACATTCGTTTCCTATACAACTCATCATAGTTTTGCGTTTTTTTTTCTGCTTTCGCTCGAGTGCCCACACACAAAGTCGAACTTGCGGATTAGGAATCGTACATGAGATTTTCGTTTTTCATTCAGAATAGACAGGCCGATCAAATTACTCTAGCAATTCTAACACAGTCTCATTCGTCATCTATATATTTCTCTTTTCAATTACAAATTCAATGGTTTTATATCTGTACATTTATACTTGATTGTACTTTTTATTACATTTTTTTGTTTTTAAATCTTGGGAAAATTGCCTACGCAAATTTTCTGTAGTTCGTTTCTAAAAACCAAAAGTCTTTTATTCTCTAAACTTCAATTTCTGCGAAACTCACGATATTGTCGAACAACATATATTTTTATAATTAATCAATAGTCGCAATTGTTCTTTAGAGTTAACTTTTAGACCTCGCATACAGTTCAAAGTTTCTTAATTTTCGGCTACACGACAAAAGTGCACAAATCGACATCAGTCTTTTCTCTGTTAAAAATATATTATCTTTCCCGCCCCTTTCCCCTCCCCCTCCAAGTGCACATGACAGTCACCCAAACTTTAGCCAAAGAGAAATGAAAAAGTAATTCGCGTCTCAAATTTGCCAGATCACGTGAAAATTGCTTCGATCCATTGCTTGCAAACGCAGTTATCCTGGCAAATAATCGGCAGTGCATGGTTATAAATGTGTAATGTTATATGGTTTTCTCACTGTCGAAAATACATTTTCCCGTTTGTTGTGAGATTTACTTTTGATGTTAAGTTTACACGAGCTTACCGAATCAATCAACGATTAATTTCCTCGATCTATCAGCCTCATTTCTTGTATAAAAATATCGGCAGATCCATATATATCACAAAACGAAAAGAAACGAATAAGAAAAAAGTTAATTGGCACAACCATGCGTCGTGCTCTTTTATCGTGCAACACACAGGCGCGCGCACGCAGACATTCGTGTTAAATAAAATACACGCAGCACGCACACATAAAAACTTGTTTAAATCAAACGGCACTAGGATGAACGATGTTGAGGTGTTGGCGGCGCTGAGAGTAGATACTAAGTGGTCTCCGTCTCATTCATCTGGATGAAGTGCAGTGGCAGATGCTGCAGCTTGATCGGGCATTCGATCTTCGATACTCCGTCTTCAACCTCATGATTCTCGGCGTTGCTCGTGCTGGGCTTGGCCTTGCTTCGCTGCACTCGATCAACCGCGTTTTTTTTCGTGTAGTTTTGCAAGGTTTTTTTGGTGGTGGTAGTGGTGCAAAGGTTGGTGGATTGTGTGATGTGTGTCGTAGTAGTGCGTGGAGTTGCGAACGAAACCAAACAGAACAGAAAGAACACGATTCGCTATTAGATTTTTTGGTTTTTCATTTGGTCTCATATTTAATTGCTAGATAATATGACGCTTTATTGACGACCAAATTGATAGTAACACTCGCACACGATCTGTACATGCATATGCTTTGGACAATTAAGTATCCATAATTTCGATATTTTCATATTACTACCAATTTCACGAAAAATGTCTAAAGTATCAGTGTTGTAATGTGTGGTATGATTGTTAAGGATGTAGGAATTCTGATTGCATCGCATCTTCAGCAGATGATAAGGTACCGTTAAAACATCTGTTTTTTCTGTCCTTTCATTTGAAATATTTTTTGAGTCTGCGTATGCATATACAGATTGAGTTATAACGAACAACAGCCATGCAACACACAATTTTCAACTGTTTTTTTTTGTTCTGTAAATTAATTTTTTTGTCAACTTGTTTATTGAGCCTAACTCGAACGAAAGCATAAACGCATAGTAAGCTTGAACAGTACATTCGTGTTTTGTTCAAACTTGAAAATATGTAAACATTGCACACAAAAGCCATAAAAATTTGTTCTCTCTTTATTTGTATCAATAATATGATTTAATGCTACTCAAAAGTAAATAAAAGATAAAGCATCGAGTTTTGAGTCCCAGAGGAGCTTTTCATGCTGAAATAGGCTACTGAAAAATACTAGTTGAAGTGGCATTTTTGAAAAAAAAAAAAAAAAAGAAAAACAAATGTATGTTGTAAAAAGACTCGTGTTTTTCAATGCTCTATAAATACTTTCAAAAGAGACTAGTAATCGTAAAAGAAAAAAAAACTGTAAAAGTGAGTAAAAAAGTGTACTGTACACCTAGGTGACTATGTTTCTTTTATCAAAATCTTTTATAAGAAAAATAAAAAAATCTTTTTATTTAAGGCTTTTCTTCAAATTTTCTAAAAAACTGATTTAAAGTTATCTCAGTTCAACAACACCTATTCCTACAGTAAAGTGTCAAAAAATAATTTTAGAAAATGCTAACTAGAATAAAATCAAAACTAGGTATTAGCGTTTGATTCAACAACATCTCTATTAAAACAATAAAATTGCATTAAAAAAGAAAGAAGATTGAATCGAACACTTTAGAAGCAAAATTTTGAACAACAAAGAATAAACCTTATACTCCATAACATACCTGTGACTTATCGTATTTAAGTCTCTTCCAAATGAATCCCTTCTTATCCGAAGACTGCTGATTAGTCGGTGTCGTGAGATCGGTACTACCAGTCGCGCCAGCAGCTGAGGCATTGTAGTTCGGATTCGAGAATGTTAAAACATTACGTCGAGTGTTGTATGGATATTTTTCGCGTTTGTTTTTCCTCGGACATTGCATATAGATGGTGACGGCAATTATAACAACTGTGATAGCCAGTAAAACAACCGTCGTCGTGATCATCGAGTGCAAGCTGAAAGAGTCTTCTTGACCACCCGATTTGTCGTATTTACCATCACGACCACGATTTGTTTTTGGAGTTGGAGGAATATCTTCATCGTCGATGTCGTCGTAACTTGAGTCATTTTCCGTGCCGGGTTTACGTAGCGGCATCTGTCTGATTGGCACTAATGGATAAATAATTATTATAATTTACTAATTTTACTTCTCAAATTATATTCCAAGATTCAACTTCACTTACGAGTCGAACAAGGTTTGTTATCGGGCTGATCAGGACACCCGCAATGGTAGCTCTTTTTAATGAAAAAGCACAAGTGAGTACAGCCACCGTTGTCCATAACACAAGGCGTCCACCCGGTTTGTCTATCAGCCGAAACAGCTCTGATATCCGTTGTACCATCAAGTGCTGTTCGAATTTTACTACGATTTTTACCGGTTCGCTTATCCGCGCGTTCGATCATCTCTTTGAACCAGTCGCCCCAATAAATGTTGTTTCCATACTAAAAAAAAGTTGAATTATTCTTATAATTTTTATTATTAAATATTAATCATTAAGCCGTTTCTAAAATAATCACCTGAGTCAAACCAAATGCATTGATAGCTTCAGGAACTAAGGCAATCCGATATCTGCCATGCAGATCAGCTACTTCAATCCTATCCTTCAACGCGTCAGCCCAGTAAAGTTTTCTTGCTCCATAATCAATCGACAGTCCATTCGGTAAGCTCAGATCCGTCGATATGATACTCTTTTTATTACTACCATCCAAATTGGCTCTTTCGATTCTCGGATGATCTCCCCACTCAGCCCAATAAACGTATCCTTCACGTGGAAAGAGTGCAAGCGAACGTGGTTCTCTCAAATTTTCAACTATCCTTTTACGACAACTACCATCTAATCGTGCAACTTCAATAACCCGATGCTTCATGTCTGTCCAGTAAATATTATCCGCTAACCAGTCGACTGCCAAACGAAAGGGAGTCGAAGTATTTTGGCCACGCAACATCACTCGGACGTCCGTGAAGTCACGCATGTTTATACTTCTATACAAGAAATGTTAATTGACGCTGTAGAAATATTTGGTTATTTTCTTAAATAATACATATACCTTATAACTTTAGCATCAACGTCAATGTAGAAAATAAGCTGTTTTTCCCAATGGAAATCGACAGAAAAAGCGTTGTGCGTCTGTTTAAATGGCAGAGGTACCTCCCACATCTCCTGAGTATCCAATGACATCCTTACTAACGTCTTTTTCGTCGCCAACAATAAGAAATTCGTCGGCGTGGAATTGCATGTGCGTTTGTCTTCATTAATAACAATTCCTGTTGGACAGGCACAACTGTAACCACTTGGGTTGCGTAGACAAAGATGAGAACAACCGCCGTTGTTGTTTTCGCAGGCGTTGTCTGGACGAACTTGCTTTTTCTACAGGATATTCAATAACTTTTAGTAAAAGTTAACTGTCTTTAAATATTCCATTACTCACATCAACAAGTCGTATATCCATAATCCCTTCAAGGTTTCCAATAACAAGTTTTCTGGCTTTGCCATCGAGTTTCTTCGCTCTCAGCACCGCTTTCTCATGCCAGTCACTCCAGTAAACAAAATCTCCAACCACTGCCAAACCATATGGATGTTCCACTTTTTCAACGATTACTTTACGATTTTGCCCAAGTAGATCCGAACTCTCGATCACCTTTCTCTTGGCGTCATTCCAATAGATTCTGTCAGCAAACTGATCGACCGATAAACCATTTGGCCATGTGAGACCCTCGGTTACGACAGCTTGACGATGCCCACCATCCATGTCGGCACGTTCAATTCTTGCGTTATGTCCCCAGTCCGACCAGAAAAGTAAACCAGCTGGGTAATGTAAGGATATGGCTCGAGGGTTATCAAGTCCTGACCAAACTAGCACCTTGCGGTTTGTACCATCGAGTTCACTTACTTCTATACTATTCAGACTTGCGTCCGTCCAATAAAGCTGAAAATAAAGTTCAGGTAAGCAACTTATTTATGAGAAAAGTTTTTTAATGGAAAAATTTCGATCAAACTAACCTTTCTACCAACGGAATCTATAACCAAACTATCAATGGTATCAATACAACAGTCAATGATGGTTTCCTCAGATTTGCCTTTATAGGATATTCTCTTGATGACTTTAGTAAAAGATTGCCCAGGATCAGTCCAATAGATGAAACCGGTTTGTAGATCAACGTCTGCTCCACTGACGTTTTTCATGTGACCGAAGGGCATGACCGTATCTGCAGAGTAATTTGTGTCTAATGAAAGTACACGAACGTCGACACGATGAGACATTAGAAGGAATCTGCTTGGAGTTTCCGGGCATGTTTTACCATCCGGCTGAAGAGTAAATTAATTACATCGATAAAATATTTTTTTTGGCATATCATATAAAAGAAATTTCAATATTTACGTTCATCAAAAGTCCCGTTGGACAAGCACATCTATATCTTTTGACATTAGGCGACAATAAACACAAATGCGAACAGCCACCATTTCCATGAGCACAAGGATTGTCAGCGGTAGGTCGATCGTGATGGAAAATTCGCACGTCCATGAGAAGGCTCATGTCCGCGCGAACTGTTGTCACGTTTTTACCAGTGACTTTGTCAGCTCTATGAATACCTAATGTATCCCAATCTGTCCAGTAAAGTTTGTTCTTATGGACGTCGAGACCGAAAGGGTGTTTCAAATTGGCTATAAACAATCGAATTATATATTTATATGTGTGTGTATGTGTGTACGCACACACACACACAAACACATATATATACACTCACGAGCTGAGACGATAGTTGTCCTTTTCTGACCGTCAAATTCGGAAGATTCGATTTTACTTGTACCGCCGTCAGCCCAATACAACTTTTTACTTTCGAAGTCGATAGCCAAACCATTTGGCCATTTCAAGTCCGAACCCACGATAGTTCGTCTATCGGTACCATCCATACCTGCAACTTCGATTATTGCTCGGTCGCCCCAGTCACTCCAGTACATGTGGCCAGCTACGAAAAGACAAAAGATGTTACATTATCGTTGAATTCCAACTTTATAATATCATTATTCGTGAAACTCACTCGTTGGATTAAGAGCAATATCTCTAGGTTTATCAAGGCCTTCGTAAATTATCAAAGTTCTCATTGTTCCATCGAGGTTCGAGCATTCAATACGATTTGTACCAGCATCTGTCCAATAAAGCTTTTTCGTTATCCAATCCATGGCAACTCCAGCTGGAGTAACTGTAATTCAATTTCACCATATTGTACATAATCATAAAGATTAAGTTGATTTTGTTTATTTCAAAATACAATTCTTACCGAGATTGTGCGATATAATAGCTTGCTGATTAGTACCATCAAGCTTAGCTTTTGAAATAGTATTAGTCTCGACATCAGTCCAAAAGATAGTTTCATCATCAGAGTTCCAAGTTAACGCAATGGCACTCTGAACGTTATCAACTGGAATAACGACATCGAAAGCCTTTACTGATTGATCAAGGCTGACCAATCTCAAATCTTTTTTCCTCGCAAACAACAGTAAATTATCCGAACTGCTCGTGCAAGTTTTCCCATCGTGTTTGATCTTCGAACCAACAGGACAAACGCAACTGTAACCCATGCTATTTGGTAAACACATGTGCGAGCACTTTCCATTATCTTGCCCACAGTGATTGTCATATACGGGTTGTCTTTGAGGATGATAACTTCGTAAATCCATCGGGAAATGTAAACCCGAATGAATCTTTTTATAATCTCGTCCATTGTTCTTGTTCGCCAAAGCGATACTACGGAAGTGCCAGTCTGTCCAGAATACTGAATCTTCGAATACAGTTATCGCGAACGGATGATGTAAGCCACGAGACACAACTTTCTTGCGATCGGTGCCTTGGATATGTGCCGATTCAATCACCCGATGTTTCGCGTCTATCCAGAAAATTCGATCTGTCGTGTAGTCAATGGTCAAACCATTTGGCCAATGAAGAGATTCAGTTATTAAAGCTTTGCGATTGGAACCGTCCATGTCAGCTCGTTCGATTTTGGGGTTAGGACCTAATATACAAAAGGAAAAGTTATATTTATGCAATAAGTATACTATTAATGAAAGAAAAATAAGAAAAAGTATCTCACCCCAATCAGTCCAATAAACAAATCCATAATGTGGGTGAACAGCAATAGCTCGAGGTTTGTCCAAATCACTGGAGACAAGCACATGACGCACGCGCGTATTCAAAGTCATGACCTCGACTCTTCTTGTTCCCGAATCTGTCCAAAATAGTAGATCATGCACCCAATCGATTGCAATGCCTCCAGGACTTTCCAAACCCCAACGTACTAAATCTATTAGGAGTTATAATAAGGTTAATCTAGAGCTAGAATTAAATAATTTGTAATTAGAATATACATATATACATACCTTCTATGCCAGTTCCGTTAACGTAAACTTGTCGAATAACATCCATCGAAACGTCCGACCAGAAGATAAGACCTTTTTTATAATGATAATCTAGAGCGATAGCATTTTGTAATCCTTTGAGAATCGGTGAGTACTTCGGCCCGCTTATGCTCACCTGAAGTGTTACGAGTTTCAATCGAATTAATATCAGCTAAATAATGTTTTACAAAACGATATGTTTACCTGCCGGATATCAACTCTGTTGGCAAGAAGTAAAGTGGGATTTGCACCTATAGCTTTACATGAACGACCATCCGGTCGAAGTGTATATCCTTTTCCACAACTGCAAACGAAAGAACCTTTCGTATTTGTGCATATTTGACTGCATACCTGATCCTTGAGCAATTAAAAATGAAACATTAACTATCTGTTACACAATAAGACAATTTTTCAACTAGAAACTTACTTTCTTGAATTCACACTCGTTGATGTCCTCGCACGTAATATTATCCTTCGCGAGAATATACCCAAAATCACAAGAGCAAGCTTTCTGATTTTCACTAGTCATCACGCAGTACTGAGCGCATTTATCCGTCTCTGTGCATTGTATTTTTTTCGAACAATTCTCTTCGTCTGTGTAAAAACAAATAAAGTGTGAGCATAGATCAAAGAAATAATCGAAGTAAGTGTTTTCCTTTACCATCTTTTTCGGGACAGTCGATCTCGCCATCGCAAACGTGTTTGCGACTAATACAATCGGGTTGATATCCACGTGCGTTCATAGGCCAGTGAGCTGGATACACTGTACCAGGACCACGCGTGTCGTTATTGACATTCGCCGGCTGTCTACACATGTATTGAGTGAGCTCGCAATTTGTGTGGCAACCTTGCTCGTCCTCGCCATTTGAACAATCTGGCACTCCGTCGCAGGTCCATGTGCGCTGAAAAGCATTATAAAATGTTTATAATTAAACGCAGATAAGGCTGACTAAAAATAACGGTGTTAATGAGTTTAATAGTGCTTTGTAAATTGATGGCTAAGTATCTCAACGCCGTCAAATTTAATTAGAATTTTATCAAGGGCGGCTTAAGTCGAAGTAATTAATGGCCTTTCCATTAGAATGATATACTAATGCATTAATTACGGAAAACAGTACTTTTGTTACAGTAAAATCTTTATGATAGAAAATTTACCAATAGTTTTAGAAGCAAAAAGAGATACTTACAGGTATGCAAGTACCAGTTAAGCAAGCGTACTCTTCCTTAACGTCGCAACTTTTCACAGTCGCGGATGAGCAATTTTTCTCATCTTCGCCGTCCTTACAGTCTATCTCATGATCGCATACATACTTTTTACTTATGCAAGCGCCATCGCCGCATCTATAAGTGACATAGTAAAAAAATTAAGGAACTCAATGAGATGCTCAGCGTTGTAGCTAAAATGCAATCCTTACCTGTATTCATTCGTGCTACAAGTTGATTCTTTACTAGCTGGACAATCCACTTCGTCGCTACCATCGCCGCAATCGTCGTCTCCGTCGCATCGGTACTGCATGGATATACAAGTTGGATATGCACATTGAAATTGATGCTCGTTGCACTGGACTTGCACACCGTCTACACCAATAAAGACATAATTCAAGTTAAAGTTAGTATGAGTTCGACGGAAGTTTATAATTACCGCATTTCATCTCGTCGCTACCATCAGCGCAATCCCTCCGACCATCGCATCTCAAGAAATCGAATATGCAAGTTCCATCGAGGCATACAAAGTCAGTATCAAAGCATACTCTGAAAGTACAAAACGTAAAAATATTCATATTTTGTTGGAATACAATAAAAGTCTGTATTCTAAAACTGACGACCAATTTTAAAGAATATGAAATCTCTGCAGCCTCTACATATATCATCGATAACACACTCTATCCTTATAAGATTTATAGTCGTTGCAGTAGAAAAAGTGTCGTTCGTCATTGTATAAGACGATAAAGAAGAAATAATCCAATAGGCATGTAAATCAACGAATACCAGTGTACGTCACATGTGGAAAAAGAAGTATAAAGTTTCACCCTAACGATTATACTGCGCTCGCAGATGTCGGTCACGGGAAAAGCTGGGGGATCGGATGTTAAGCTTTTGTTTTGACGCATCGCCTGTATTGTACATAACAGGGGTTGCACATATGTACTCTTGAATGAGAGGTCGAGGGGTTCGTTAGAAGTGATATTTTCATTTTACCCTGGACATATTCTGTTCGTTGGTTGTGTGCATCGCAGGTCGCGTTGTAGAAAACGTAAGTGGAAATTACATGCATATATAATTATGTAGAAAACATAATTATATATGCATGTAATTGCTTTTAAGCTTTTATATTGATAGTGACTCCATTCGGACTGATTTATCTCGGATTGGTGCGTATATATGTTTTTTGACAATTGGACATATTTCGTGTAAAAATTTCTTCCATAAATCTTTCAACTTTTAAATATAAGTTACAATGTTACGAGCTTCTATCTCAATAAAAATTTGAATTAATGTAGCTAGAGTAACTTTTTTTTTAGTGGCTCTACAAATATCGGAGACACTTTTATACGAAAAATGCAGTTTTGATATGCTTTTATTTAATAGAGAGCAAATAGTATTGTAAAACTTTTATTTAGCGTCCAATAAATTTCCATGGTGTTCAATATTTTTCAAATATACGTACAGTACTTGTAACGCACGTATATTACTTTTCGGTATTAATGTCTACATTCCACCAATAAACAAAAAACGTATTCGAATGGGACACACGTACGAATTCGTTTTCATGAATATACATTACAGAGAAAAAAATGCCAAAATAAAAACAGTAAAAAATCTAACACGGTAGAACATTATTACATAGTTTCTCGAAATTAAAAAAAATGATATTTTGCCTGGAAGCGTTTTCTACAAAGACTGCCCCCTGCAGTGAGAAATATAAGACTTCGCAGCTTGCTGACGACAAAGAGCGACCCGTATCGTTGCGCACCCTCCCGTCACAGATGAAACGCTGAAAAGCTAACAGTTGCGGGGAAATTCACCAGAATTAAACTCCAACGGCAGCTGAGCCACACGATCTTTTGATTTGTACATACAATGCTCTTTTGAAATTTGTGTGAGCGTTTAATTAGTCGAGTGGCGCGCGACGAGGATTAGTTAACAAGCGAGAGCTAACGAGATAAATTCTCGGAAAGAATCGTCGAGCAAATTATGACTTTGATTCAGTACATTTCTAGAGAAAAACTCGTTAAATGCATTAATCTTTCACGCAAACTAATCCGCATCGGCGGAGCGAAAAAAGAAATAACTTTATTTCGATGAGAGAAAAACTGCAAGAAATAAAAATCGTATACTTGTGTAGTTCATTAAGCGTTAACGAGGCCTGCAGCATCGTCAATTTTTACGGTCTCTCTTGTACATACGAGCTCGTAGAAAATCATGGGAAATCGATTGTGACTAGGTCAATCGTGATAAGCTCTAGCGCAAGATCCTATAGGAGGCGTGTATGTAGTTATGACCTCGACTAATGCAAGCCTCCCTCGGTTTTTTCAGGTTTATTTAGGTTATATCTCGTATATCGTGCTTCTTATCTCTCTGACGTTTCACAAGTGAGTGAGTTTTATTTAATAACATTTCGTGAGAAATATGTTCTCACGCTATATATTCTCAAAAACAAAAGAAAAAATTGCTTAAAAAACTATTATTAGGTCACAAAATCAGGAATCACTCTATGCTATCAAATAAAAAATTTTCCGGTCCGATCATACGATTTAATCATTCACCTCAGATCAACAAATATAATGACTGGTACTTTATGCTGTATATATACAGCAACTTCCGAAATTCAGTAACAAGCTATATATTAATAGAGGGGACCCGGAAGATGGATACCGTATAGCACGCATCATATAACCGAATTTAAGGTTCGTTGGCCACGTTTTCTGTTCACAATTAACCATCTCATTATAACCTTCTTGTGCACTTGTCATCGATCCTGAAAGTCTTTCACTTTTTCTCTTTTTATTATAGTTATAATTAGTTCTTTTGAAGTTACTTTTATTCTGTATGTAACTTACACCGACTTTGCGGGAAATGAAGTGAAATCGAGCTTCACTTTGCGAAATACGAAGTTTAATGATGGATGAAGAGGAAAATGGTATACTAAATTTATGCGGTGAAGAAATAAAAATGTATTTTATTTTCATGTGATGCATAAATCAAATAGGAAGTTTTTATTTTTGAATGACGTTCATTTTAATTTTTCAAATAAACACCGATTGCTAAAAATTTAACTCAATTTCTTGTACGTAGGATGATGCAAATAACAATACATAATGCATAGAACAGTCAAGCTAACAAGCTACAAATAAATCCATTCAATGGCGCACCTATTAACAAATTTTCCGAGCACAGAGCTTTTTTCAAGTACGTAGCTGGATGGATGAGTAAAGAATCAAAAAGTATATTCATAAAACAAGTACTCATTTTTTTACAAACCAATCTCGCGAATAAACACGTTAAAAGCTGGTTATTTTTGAACTTTCGTCAAGGAGAAAAGCAACGAATCTCTCTTTCCCTCCGCCTTATTACCATTACGACCATGTTGATATAATATATAGGGCGTGTCTATGCGAAAAAATGAAAATGGAAATGATGAGTTGAACTATTTATATATAATGCGATTACTAGATTGACGAATGTATTCACGAGAATATAGTTTGAATGATGTATCGTGGATGTGAAGTTTGTACGTCTTCGATGATTGATCCTAAACGTATGTGTCCGAAAAGGATTTGAGTCGATTGGAATAAAACGTGTTGGTATTGTCATTCATTTCTTGTTAAAGCATAGCAATGGCTAACGCTCAAATTGAATTTCCGATAATTAAAGAAAAGCTTCCCTTTTACAAGCTTATAAACAAAACTTGCGAAACAATTGCATTTTAACGTACATTATACAACGAAACGATGGGAATCTGCCGTGCAAGCAAGAAATCTTACGATAATTCGCGAGAGCGAGAGAAAATGAAAACAATAGGACATCGACAATTGATCCAAAAGGAGGAGGGTGGTTGCGCGTGCGGAAGCTGTCTCCGCTTGGCAGGTGGTCGATAGGAGCTCGTATACGGGTTGCCCCGGCAACCCACCTCCGCGGCCTGGATCTCTCAGCACCATGGCGCGCTTCAACGTTGCTGATCATTTTCTTCCTTTTTCACTTTCTTATTATTCCTTGCATTATATATGCTCGACAGTTACCGATTTCGATGATTTGGTTGAAGATAAAATTTGTAAATGCAATGAAAAACAAACGCAATTTTCGGAATAACCGTCATTTTTAATGAACAGGATGATTGTTCGATTATTGAGCTACAAATATTGCGCGATTACAATAGAAACTGCGGCAAAACAAAGGACCCCGAGCGAATTTTCTTCTAATGCTTTAATTTGATTCCCTACTTGTAATGAAAATCTTTGAAAAATAAAAGAGCGCAGAGTCTATCAGACAAATTTTTCGTATAACGCCAAGGAATATCTGTTGAATGAAATAGATAAAACTGACGAATCCCTGTGGGAAAGACTATTTTCACCGAAAAAGTTACCAGTAACCCACGTAAGTATTTCCATTCGTCCTGTATGCGAACTTACATTCATCATCAAAACTTAATCTAGAAGCTCGAGCGTCGTTAATAAGCGAACTTGCTTACTGCATACAAAATAAACTTAACGACGGCTACAACAAGCAATGTTGAACTGTGAAACGTACGCCCTTTTATTGCCTCTATCATCTATATAGGCTGACAATACCAAGACACGTGAAGTCTTTCCACGTGTGTCGTTGACAATTACGATGCTTTTTTTTGCAAGCTCAACTCTCTTCATTTCGAGATTTCTCAGATTTACCTTCGAACTGAAACTCTGAAAATAGAGTTGAGCTTGTTTTTTCAATGGTACTTTTTCTTTAGCTCTGGTTCTTTTCAAAATAATGATGTACGTGCAGTCTACCTTTTACATTTAAGTTTTTGTTGAATTTTCGTTTGAAATGAAGCTGCCGTTTTTGTTCGACAAATTTATGTTCATGATTAGCTTTTAGCAGTTTAAATAAATTTTTGTAATTTTATATCAAAGTTTCTTGAAAATCAATCTAAAATACGATCCTACTATTGAATTTTAGAAACTCACTTATGATACACATCGATATCATCATTTGGCTTGCTGAACCATTGTATCTTACGTAAGTTTTGACAAAATCTAAATAAGGCTGCTTCTTAGCCACCCACGCGTGAAAACAGAGAGAGAGAGAGACGAAAGACCTTGCGTGGGCGAAGCTACGCCTCAAGCCCACCAAAATTATACAAATATATTTCTTCTCCTCTTGTCCATCTTTGAGTGAGTGAGAGAAGACTGTCAACAATTGTTTTATCGACTTGTAAGATTTCAATATGCGTACGTCTAAAGGAAAATTGAAGATGGATTATATAAAACAGATACTCTTTGTAATTGTTTTCTTTATCTTGGCCTGTACTTGATTTAGATAATCGGGGGGAATGAAATTGTACTTTTGCTTGATCGCCCAGTGGCTGAGTAATAATTATGTATATGGATGTTATAATGCTGCTACAAACCTGTTAAACTATTCGCTATCTGATAAAATCGATTTATATTTTGAAATCAACCAAAAGATTTTTTAAAGTCATAAATCAGTGGCTTCCCGGTAGAAATGCATTAATTTCCATTTTTATGAAAATTGAATTAACACTTCATTCTTACTGTTTAATTATCTTCTTCAAATGATATTATTAACAGAAGAAAGGAAATCCAATCTGAATCACTACAAAAAATCATAGTGTGTAATCGAATAAGTCATTTATCTTTTGTAAAAAGCGTTGTTGAAATAATTAGTTAAATCGAGTACAAGTCTAAATGTGTTTATTATAAAGTAATTATTGCCATGATATTACTACATGTCTTATCCTACTTCAGGTTCTTGCTATAACTATCTTACTCGAGAATGTCAAAAAAACTCGGATGTACACGATAAATTGATAATAATGTATAATTGGTTAAATGAGTATAGCCAGATAAATCCAAAGCAAAAACCTACATAACATTTTAAAAGGATCTCGAAGACGACCATTTTCACTCATATATTAAAAGAATTTTACCAGTCTTACATATTAGTATCAACTTAATATCGATTAGATTTGCACAAGCTTTTAGCATAATATATTTCCGAGAAAAAGCCTTATATTTGATAGTAAAACAATTTCAAAAGCATAGAAGTGAAAGATAGATCTCTCTTTTCCGTCGAATCTATGATCTATAATACTATTTTGAAGTTTACATCGACAAACTGAATGACACAAAATCTCGGAATAGTATACACGTGTGAGAGGACATAAAAATGAGTTTTGAGAAAACGACAAATACCGAGAATGTAGCTTCAGATTTAATAGCGCACAGCATACAACTTGTCAAAAACTGGCGAAGTGACTAAAAACAGATTACTTACTTTTTCTTGGAACAATTTTCTTCGTCCGAGTAGTCCTTGCAATCATTCTCACCGTCGCAAATCCAATTTTGCGGTAGACACAATCCGTTTCTGCACTCGAACTCCTTTTCCGTGCAATTCTTCTGAGGTCCTGTATTGTAACATTCGATCAAACGACGTACATCAAGTTCTTGGAAATCTCATTCTAGATAATTTTCTCTAATGCCAGATAATTTTCAAATGTTCAAGCAACTTCTCAGAAAACTTGGTTAGAATATATTAAAACTCATCAGGTATTTCCAAGAATTCGCTTTGAACGTAGTTGGCTAGTGAAGACATAGAAACTTCAGAGAATTAGGTGCAAAAGCTTTGGACTAGATAGGTAGCTAAAGCTATTCGGTAGCTCGACTCTATCAAGTTCTGAGAGTTTAAATATTACTTTCGGGCCTTTAAAACTTTGTAACTACTCGAGGATTCTGGTCGTTCGTGCAGTTTATGGTTATCAAGACTATTTTAAACTTATAAAACATTGGAAATGCATGCAACTTTTATCTAGATTATGATGATCTTACCACAATGAGACTCGTCGGAAAAGTCACCACAGTCATTGTCACCGTCACACAGCCACTCTTTGGCAATGCACTTGCCGGAAGTCGGACAACGAACTGACCTCTTACCCTGGCACGTCTCGTTGAAGTGATGACCCTCGAAGCCTTCGCAGTGCAGCTCGTCGTCCGCGTTTTCACAATCCATCTGTTTACAGACACCAAGCGTTCGGCTTCAATTGCAATTCAACGGCAACTTATGCCGTCGAGAATGTATTTTAATATAGTTATCGCGTCTAGCCAATTCGACTCTTTACTACTTATACGTTACAAAAAATTTTCTTTTTAGTGTTTTTCGATTGATATGGCATATAATATTTGCCATCGAATGAACGCTGGATCCGAAAAAAGTACATAAGAAAATTAAAATTACAATTAGGTTTACTATATAAATTCGTTAGTAGTCAAATCTAGAACCAAGTAATACATAATGCGTGCGATATAAAAATATAAATAGGAATCCTTTTTGAAATTGTCAAAAATACTTCTTTTCCTGAAAAGCTTTCCTATGAATTTAATTACTGGAAAATATATTGAATATGTATATTTCATGAAAAGATATCGCGATGTAAGCTTTTATATGATTTATTTTCCAAGAAATGTATAATCTCCGAGTATTTTCAATAAAGCACTAAAGAAAAATACCATTTTCCAAAAAAATAATTTTCATACTCCAAAAAGTAATATGATATTCGTAAAAGCTCAGTTAACTTGGTCTTCACATTTCCACGTGTTGAAATATAATAATCCACGTGAAATGTACTTTAGAAGCTCATTCGCTACTTGTAAATGAATTAATAATCCAGGAAAAATATATTACTCGAACGTGACCCAATTTAATATCCGCATCCGCCCATAGTTTCACGAGAAAAGCATAAGAGACGACGAAAAAGAACTCACAGTTCCATCGCAGCGATTGTCAATGGCGATGCACGTGCACGTGCTGGTGCAAAGAAATTGCTGGTAAGCGCAAGTGCACGGTTGCAACACTTTGCCCTCGTCCTCGAACTCTTGAACGAGTCCTTTGCGTACATCCTTGTCCAATTTACCATTTGCGTCGCCGTTTTGGCCTACGCCGTGGCCGTATTCCAAGTAGTCCAGGTCGCTACGCGTTCGCGAGCGATCGTCGTAGCCTGTGCGTCAGTTCGTACCTCTTTATTCCGTCGTTTGGGAAAGCTTGGCGCGTTCAATTATACACATGCGATTTTGGATCGTAAATATTTTTATTTGTCATTGGCGATTGTTATTTTTGTCCATTCATAACCTTCCTTTCGCGCATCAGCAAATCCTACAAACTGCACCGATCACGTAACGCTCTTTCATAAGAAATGTCCGGTAATATTGTCGTCCAAGTTAGAATGAATTCGAGTTACGCACGATGCGCTGCGCTCACTGCGCAGTAAATACAGTGAAAAGTTTCATACGATTGCACCTGCGCGGTTTATTTGCAGAGATATCGCACGCATGTACACACAGCCGCGACTAAATCATACGCGCTTACACGGGGGAGCGTTATGAACTCGACGCGCCTCTCTCTGGCACACGCTAAGTTTTAATAGCACTTTTCACGCGGCAGTTCCGCTTTATCGTTTCGACGCTCTCGTGACTTTACACGATGTACGAGCAGTAAGTCGAGGCGCTTAGTTTACATTAAACGGGAGCAATTTTCGTTTATCGCTTGCGCTGCAATTTGTGAGTAATGTAAAATGCACTTACCATGATCAAATTCACCATAGACGCTTTTATCGTTGGCGTTGCCGTTCTGCCTACTCCATCCTGCTTGTCCTCTCCAGCCATTATTGGACGGTCCTGAGTATCGAGATCTCGCGACATCGCTTGTATCTTCGGGATGGCGCGTTGGTATTGGATCTTCGCCATAGAAGTCGGGCGGTAACGAAGGTAATTTCTGTCCTCCATGGTTACCGTAGCCACCGTTGTAACCAAAACCACCCGCAGACTCATAGCCTAAAATGATCATGCAAAGCTTCTTAGTGCCCGAGTGATATCTTTAGATTGTCGACAGTTGGCAATGAATTATTCAGTGGATTAAAATTATCCGTGGTCTCAGAGGGAGCAGTCCAATTATACTGTTCTCATTCCATTTCGAATATCGTATATTGTCGATGTAGTCCGCGCGTTACCGAGCTTCTAATGGAGACTCTTTTCAATGAAGGAGTCCCGCGGATATTACGAATATTTGTTGACTCTCAATCAAACAATTTCCCGTATTTCAGACAAAACCTCGTTGCAACTTATATTAGATCGAAAGCAGTTGTTCAGCTCTTAGTTTTACTTACGTCACGTCTACGTATCTTTGTAGTGCGGATTTTTTAAAAAAAGGCGCTCTTACCGCGTTGTTGGCCATTGGAATAGTCAAAGCCTTTGACCGGATATTCAGAGAGTCTTGGGGGCGTTTCAGTGGTGCTAGCAGTAAGAGCGGCATGACGAAGACTACCACTGCCGTACATCTGTCTCGCTGCGCCCCTATTTGACGGTGACGATTGCATTGTCGACTCCGTTTGTGCATCACTTCCATCTGTTACCGTAATTGATTATTTAAAACATACGCCGTATACGCAAAGATCGTAGAATATTCATTGGGTGTTTTGCGGCTCTAAGAGAAATTAGCCAATTAACTTTGCTAGTTTTAGTTTGATTAGTCTGTGAAGGGGAAAAAGTTTTAGATTATAATTTTTTATTTTTTATATAATACAGATTGAGATCTTCGACGTAGCATCGTGATAATTTGTCTGATTTTTTTTCTCATTTCTAGATAATTACTTTTATGACACTGTTGAATTTATAACTAATTTTTACAGCATTTATTTTCTCAAAGATTTTTTCAATTAGAACTCAAAGAATATTTTAATAAAAAAATTTTTTTTTTCAATAAAAATAAATTGGATTTTTATTCATACAGCTCAATTTCCATAGAAAACGCAATTTTAAATAAACCTGTTCTCTCGAGAGAAGCCATTAATAATTGAAAAGTCAATCGCTTGATATATTCATCTACACGATATCTGGTCCAATCCACGCTCAAAAAACTATAGTGGTTGGAACTATAAACCCATAATTAGAAATAACAAAAAAAAGAATCAAATTCATTTCAATATTCAGCAAGTCCTTTCGAAAAAATAAAAGAATTCACAAATTCGCGTGGTAAAATTTTGACTTTACAGTCAATTTACTCTATCTGGCCTCCAAGAATCATCAGTGCATTCTAGATGGAAAACAACAAATATAGGTCGGTCGTATCTGTCTCTCTCTCTCTCTCTCTCTCTCGCGCGCGCGCGTACATGCGACAAAAACAAACTTTGCGCACAAATGTTTCGACTTGATTCATCCCCGCAGTGTTCATTCATTGAAAATGCAAAAAAAGATAGCGCAAGAAAAAATACAAATGTCTTTTCTCGCGGAGAGATTGCAGCTAACGAAAATAAATAAATAAATAAATGATTTATAGTCATGAATGACAAGTCAAACTATGCGTACATAGAATTTCTAACCCTCACCCCCTGTGCGGATTGCGCAAAGTATGTGACGCGAGGAAGCTGCGGAGGCGTTAAGAGCTTTCATTCAGCAGGCCAGCACGCTTGCGCTTTACCGACCAATCGATATTAGGCCAAGAGCGGCACAAACGTATGTACATATAAGGGTGTGAGTGCGAGTCCGCGGGTAGTTCAACGAGCATAATACATATCTATATACGTATTGATCTGCTCTGTAATCAATCACCAAACGCGCATTGAGCTCTATTTGCATTTCATGTCCAGTTTCCATTTTCACTTGCTTTGCTGTTGCATTTTCTTTGCTGTATGCTTTCTATCATTATTTACAAGTTTCTTTGCTTCAAAACAGCAGCTTCTTTGCGATGCCATTAAATACGGTATTGGAAAATAAATCGGTTATTTAAGAGATGCAAGTATTTTTGGATTCTTCAGCTGTTGAAATTGTATAATGAGATGTTTGATAGATGGATTATTAAACTGTTAAAGTTTGGATATTTCAATAGATAAAATAATACGTAGGTGGGCGTCACATTGATTGTAAAAAGATAGGTCAGTTTTATTTACCTTCGTAACTTTTGACGCGTAAATTTTGTAAGCTCTTCAAATATTTGTGTTTATTTTTGCCAGCACAGCGTTTCAATTTTCACGCTGAAATTGACATGAAACGAAGCTCATTCCATGACAAAAATATCATATACAACAGCCCTTGACTTTAGACCAGCAAGTTACTTTCTAGCTATAATACAAATATCAATGCGATAGATCTAATATCCGATCTAATAAACTGTTTAATGGCAATAAAAGATTTTCCATTGAACTTGGGGAAAATTAAATTTCCGTTTCTCTTCAACCTATAAGCTCTCTTTTTTCGATAAAAAAAGAAGAATACTCCCACAAAATGAAACAAAAAAACTATTGAATAATTTCAGGCGCTCATCTAAAAAATAAAATAAGAATTACAAGTGTGTGTAGTTTCCACGTGAACGTACATAGCGTTGCAGCTTGCCGATCAACCCTATGTGAGACATGTATCCAATCGAAAAGTTTTCCGCGAGTATGGGAAGAAATCATTGAATCTTGATCGTAAATTTGCGTGAGTAGAATAGGCTTTTTTCCCTCTCTCCTCAAAATTGGATAAATTACATTTTGTCGAGAGCGCGCGGCTATGTCCGAGGCTACCGCGAGTTTGGATTAGTTTTCAATCCAATTTTAGCCTTGTGTGTGAGTCTTGATTTCTGTGAGTATGCGCCGAGGTAGACAGAAAAAGAGAGAATATAGAAAGTTTTAATTCAACATCCGACGACCACTAGAGATTGAAATTGATTTAATATTACCGAGAATTACTTCAACTTTTTTAACGAATGACTCGATTTACCCAGAAACGGCTTGCATTTTTTACGCCATTGACAACATTTTAAATGATTCCAGTTATCAAGTATCTTAATAGTAGATAAATAGATAAACAACAAACATATCTCTAATAAGACATTGGAATTAAAAGGCTTATTTAAACCTACGTACAGATTGATTGATATAACATACTTTAGATTACTCAACCGCAAAACAAACTTCCTTGACGAGGCATTGCTGATGAAAATCATTGAACCGAAGGGAAAAAGGAGTAAAGGATGAAACTTCAGTATTTGGCGCGCACAGACGCATAAATCATCTCTCTGCGTGCAGTTATTGCAGTGCTGTGCTAGGACTAATCGATATTTAGTAGTTTTGGCGAAACGAGAACGCGCACGGATCTGTGCACGCGTTCTATTTCGCCTGCGTGTGACCAATTGCTTTTGATAAAACTTTTTATTGCGATGAATCATCTTCTTTTTTATTCATTTGCATTTGTGTAAAAGTTTCTTTGTTTACGTTCGGTGATTTGTATCTTTATTTTCATAGAGTTTTACTTGTGAGACATGGCGTTTAATTCAACTTTTATTTATCTTCTATATCTATATTCAAAATTTATTTGTTAAGCTAACTGAAAAATCTGGCTTTCCAACCAAATCTTTTCTTGCTCTGAAAGAAATGATCAGTTCTCCAGAAGCTTTTGCGACTAAAAAAAAGCAGCGTGAGAAAAAAAATCTCATCCCTTGCTGAATTTTTCATTCACGCTATATCAGACATACATCGTGTGAGCCAAAAAACCAAACGACGTTATACCCCATAAAAAGGTGATGTATCTGCGGGGTACAAAATCAATAAAGTACAACGAAATAAAAATAAAAGAAGAACAGCATCCCACGCAACAATTACCGAGCAGCAGCAGCAGCAGCAGCAGCAGCAGCAGTGGCGGCAGTAGAGCAATGCAGAGGAGTGCCGACCTCATTTTTTATCTCGCACAAAACACGCACTCTCTTTAAGAAAATTCTATCGTAGCACTACTCGCCTCATCTTCGCGCACACGCTTTTACTTCTGTTTGCTTCGCTGATCTCTTTTCTTTGACATGTCTCTCCGTCGACAGGCTACGCCTGCATAAACAAATCACACGCGAGTTTATCGTCTTCTGTGGTATTGGGGTGCGGCACGATAGTATGAAAAGCACGCGAACAACACGCGAGCTTCCAGCATCGACTGCTCGAGGGGTGTCGTCTACCATGGACAATCACTGAGAGAAAGAGAGAGAGAGAGTGAGAAAGAAAGCAACCCCCTCTACCCTCTTCATCCACGTTAGTCTCAAGCGCATGCGTGTAAAGTTGGTTGCCTGATGCTCTTACGCGCTTCTTTCGAGACTTAGGTGGGAATGATCTTATAGATGAATGATGAAAAAAATATTATTTTGTTCGAATAAAGTTCAACTTCAACGACTGACATCAGATGTGAGCTTACTAAATGTCATGGAAATGAATTTGAACAGCGAATGCAACAATCACTTTGTTATTACTGGAAATTAATGTATAACAATTACGCGCTAATTATCGTATACGCCATTACTTAAAATCTACATAAATGTCTTATGTGACTAGGTAGGAAATGTATCACTATGCACTTCTTTTATTTTAGGCGAAATCCCAAAATAAAATCTACTTCAACCATTTGTTCGTTACGTATCAGTCGTGTTCTTGAGGTAATTAATTAATGGTTTGTAGAGCAGATTCGGCGCATCTACAGCGAAGGTGAAACCGATGTGGTTGAATGCTTCATCGGGTATTTGGTACAGCACTGGATTATTTGGCAATCGTTTTGCTAAGTCTTGGATATCCTGCAATTTCGATAAGACGATAATTTTCGCAACGAAAATATTCCACGTTGCTCTACTTTTACCGGTTTCAGGAGAGATCTACGTAAACGACTATTGAAAATATCCATTACTTACTCTGTAATCAGTTAACAAGTCATTGTGGGCATAATAAATTGCAACAGGGACATAAGCATTTTCGATCGCGTACTCAGGCGGCTCAGTCTGATTATACATAATTGTGTTGATCTCCGCAGAGCCATAATCGAATTGTCGGAATTTCTCTGAAAAATAGAAATGTCGATATCAATATACATTTCCTACAGATGCAGTAAGAAGAAATGATAAGTCCATTTACTAGAATTGTGCCCTTGCGCGTAGTGGAAGAACTGCTTGATCGAGCTACCAGCTGGCGCGTGTCCTAAAATTATTGGTATGGTCGTCTGCGCAGGAAAGATTTATCAGTTTTCAATATTGAATAGAGAGTAAATTTATTTTTTTTTTATTCGTGGAGAAGTTTCTAGATTGAACTCATTCGTCGAAAAAAGTTGAATACGAACCTTATTGAGAAGTGAAGCATCGTAGCCGGTTATCATGAAGAGCACGTTACTGCAGACAACCTGATATGGTGAACGAGCCTCGCAAACCTCCCTTCCAATTTTCGTCAGTAGGGCATTTGTTGGTAGAAAATCATTCACTCCGAAGAATCTAATCACGTACTGCAACGATGTAACGCCTTTTTTGTATTTTTCAACGCAATATTTAGACAACTATACGTTTATAATTCTCGAGATTGTTTTAATTACATATGTGTGAACAGAGAATGGAATTTATTTCGCAACCGTTATTTTTCAGCGATAAAAATTTCTTTCGATTCACTGATATTCAAGAATTTTCTTCCACTTATCGGTGAAATTGACAATCGTTTATTGATCGCGTACGAAAACCAATTGGAAATTTGGCCGGGAGTAAACGCCATTCACTGTGCAACGACTGATAACTGTACTACGTCATTCGCAAAATTTAAATACTGTGTTTTCAGTTGAAAACGGTTATAGCCATCATGAAAAAACTGAATTATACATCATACCAATATTCTGATGAGTAATCGACAAAAAGAAAGAATGTAGATCATCATTGATGTATAATAAAGAAGATCATGTATTGGTTTTTTGGCTAGAAAAAAACTCACATATAAGGGCGTAGAGATTTTGGAAAAGACGCCGATGATGGGACTGCCTGAGTGTGTCGTATTGGCGACAGGCGCGAATAGAGCAGCCTTGTCAATCTTGCCATTGTACTGCGGCTTCTCCGAGAGCATGACAAAGAAGATACTTCCGCCCTGTGAGTGGCCGATATAATTCAACTTTTTCTGGCCTGTGACGTTGAGTATGTGGTCGATTGTAGCCGGCAGGTCGTGCGTACCCATTTCGTGCCACGAAAACTCCCAGAATTTCGAGTCACTTGACGTGAAGTTCACGTGGGCTTTTGAATAAGTGTTGCCGCGTGAGTTGCCTAGCCATACGTCGTAGCCAGCGTCGCATAGGAGGTAGGCTGCCAACAATTTATTTTCAAGTTTTAAACTTACGCATTGTTTATATGGATAGTCATCAATACGACGCGTGAAAATTCACGCAACAACAAACTAAAAGCCCTTACATATTACTAAAGCTGTAAGATTGACTTCTATGCATTGTAAGATTTTATACGCCTCTTTTTCATATTCATGTTTGTTTTCATTATTTTCTCGTTGTCTTCTCTGTTGTGAAAGATATAGTAAGGAACTCGTGTACAAAAAACCAACGAACTTTTAACGATTTTACACTCATTATTCGAAGCAAGACGAATTTGAGAAAAACACAATTCATTCTCAAATTATTTCGATAAGCAATCACAAAGGTGAATAATTGATAAATTCTACACGATAAATTCGTTAAACTCGTTGTACAGTTGCCATTTGTAATTGAAAATACCAATTTTCAAGGTCTAAAAGTTATCTGCATTCATCAAACACAGATGAATAAAGAAATTTTCTTACCCAAAGATTGATTTGGACCGAGTATAACCCAATCAGCAGAACTACCGAGAATCCCGTGTTGAAGGAAAGCTACTGGTTTTCCGTTGGTATTGTCCGTCTCGTTACCAGGTATCCTGTGTACCGTCAATAGATAACCATCCTCTGTTTCAACATGATGCGACTCCGCTTGGTAACCATATTTTCTTATTAGTTGGGGCTAATTCCAAAGCGATAAATTTTATGTTTATACATATGGTTATTCCATAAAATAGTACGTAATGATTTATATAATAATAGAGGATCAAAAAAATTCAAAAATAAAAATGATACGTAACATTACAATCGTATTGTTGTCGATCCTTTTACTAAAAATTGTTATGTCTGTGTATTTAATTTTTTTAATCTCTTACTGTAGTATTTGACATATGCGTTTAGTTTATTGCAGTATGAATAAATTAACTTATTAAAAAGTCAAGCAAAATTGCTAAACCTTCAAACTTGCATCATAAATCGAGTTACTTTTGCAAGTTGAGTCGTATCGTTGAGTAATCTGACCAGTCTTTTTAAAAAATAGATTCATCACTTTTTAAGCCAAAATAAAACCAATACTGATAAATTTGATCTTACAGTATCCAAAAACACATCAGGATGATCCATCATATCCGAGAAGTTTTTGATTGACAATGTCGGCAGCACCATATTCATCATAAATCCCCAGGCTTTCATCACTGTATTCTGCAATCAAACCAATTGAAATTGCCGCTGTAAATTACCTCGTTTTATGTGTTGATAAAAACACTCCGTGTATTTTATGGCATTTGACTCTCGATACCCCTAGTTATTTCATAACCGGCAGCCTTTATCATGCTCGTTAATTAATATTCGTATCGTAATATACGATAACCGCCAACGAATATTCAGATTAGTATTTTGCTTTAACCTTAAACTAAATTAATTTTGTTAATAAATTGTGTCATCACAACTCCCACATTCATCAAGATCAAAATAGTCAAGGAACTGTTTACATACGACGGTGTACAAACAACAAGTTCATTTGACACGGAGGTTTTTTTCTTTTTTTTTTTGCAAAAACGTCATTTTTACACACTTCTATGTATACACATCTGTTTATGAACAATACAAACGATGGACCCATTCACGCGCACATTGCTTTCTATAACAAATGTTAGTTTTGCACGTTTCTCGTGTGTTTGCACACCTGTCGCGCCACGACTGAGATTGAGCCAAGGCCGCATTAAGAAATCTCCCGTGCTAGGCGAAAGGTTTTTGCGTTCACGCGAAAAGTAAAGAGGCAAACAAGAGCGCGTTTAGGATTATGTGTATACCGGTTACTTTAGCCTTGACGCTTTTCGGGGTTGTGGTTATTTTTGTTCTCGTTTGAGATCGCATTCAGAAAAATGGTCTTGCAAGGTGAAATGTCGAAATTGATACATCGAAAATTAATAATTTTGAGATGGAAAAATCGTATATTGCAAAATGTTTAGTAAATAAAAGTTTTGTCGTCTCCACGTATTTATGCAATACATAATTTTTAAGATAGTTGGCACGTGACAGGAAAATATAATAAATATAATATAATATAATATAATATAATATAATATAATATAATATAATATAATATAATATAATACCTTTAAATCACGTATATTTGTGTCGTCGGCGATGTAATTGATTTTGCGCCCGAGATGATCAAATTTCTCGACAACGTTATTGTAACCTCCTGTAAGAATAGTCAGTTCGATGTTGAGTGATTAAATCAATCATAAAAGTTCAATAATTATTAATAATATTCAATTATTTATTTCTTTCAAAAGCAATATAGAATGATAAAGCATCACAATGTTTATACTAATGTATATATTTATACTACCGCAAGAAAAATGTTGTATTAACACGTATATAATTGTTACTTATTTATATGAAGCGAAAATAATTTAGGCCATGCAATGAGTTTTACTAAATTACTTGAAATCAATCCAGTTCCCTTTTTGTACCATGTCTTGATAGCCCTTACACCAGGGATGTTCTCCAACCATTTAGAAAATTTTGACTGCAAAAAATAACAATCCATTTCTCAGCTTATTTCCATATCTCATAAAACAGGAGCACATTGCATCAACGTGCGCATAATTTTTCCCTTGCAATTATAAAAATTGCATCAGCTGCAGTCACATAAATCAAATACAATAAAATAAACAAGGTAAAAAAACAAACGCAGGTGCACACCTGGGGCTTTTCCTCGATAATACGCGGTGCGGTCATGCCAAAAAACTGTACCGAGCCATTGAAATGACCCATAACCGTGAGTTCTTCCGCTTGAGTTGAAGCCAGTATGTATTGAGCAACTTGTTCCAATCGCTTCCTTTCATTTTCCTCGCTCCTTGAAAAGAAAAAAAAACAAACATTTACTTGTACATTGACATTTCACTTATAAAACGCCTTGAATCACGTACGATGTTGGATTTTCAGCGATACTTGTGTTGCCAATACCAAGCCATACGTCGTAACCACGATCCACGAGTATGTAAGCTGCAAATATACCGTTTTTCTGTTTTTAATTTCTTTTTTTTTTCGCGCTAGCTTGAAAAATGTACGCACCAACAGCAATTTTCGGTTTATTCACTTCGCAGGGATCGTTGTCACAGAGTATACCATTCTCGATGAACACTGGTTTCTTGTCAACTCGTTTTGGTGACTTTGGTCCTGATGAGATTCTATACAGTATCGTTTCGCCACGAAAATCGGTCAGCTTGTCGATCTCCATTTCCGAGTGCGGCAGTACCGGTGGGAATGCATAACGCTCAAGTTCGTACTCCGAAAGTACATTCAGCTGATACTGCAATGGCAAATTGCACGTTATTTCTAGTGTGAAATGGTGTTCGCTGTGTGGTTTCAGTCATAGATATTTTTAATATGCAAATCAAACTAGTTTTAGCGCTAATTCTCGGTCGATTTTTTGTTCATTTATTCACTGAGAAACGTTCGATCAAGTCGGCAACAACAAACATTAATGATAGGCGAACTTTGTACGTCAAGTTGATCGATTTGCATTTCAACTGAAATCAGCGTTCGCGCTGCGATAATCCAAGGCTGTCAACTTATATACGCACGATATATCGATAGACGGAGAAACTTGCAGATCTCTTTACAGTGTAAACCTTTGACTCGGTTTTCATGTAATTTCTGAGCACGTCATTTTTTAGCAGTGACTCAATTTATTCGATAACACATTTTTCATTGTTATTAGTAACTATAATAACAACTCTTTGTTTCGAATTCGAATGAAGTTAACCTAGAGGAAAATTTTTATTTTATCGTACAACGACAAAAACTCGTGCCCTAATTTTCCCGTGATCCAATCGAAAAGAAACGAGAAGATTGAAAACAAACCGAAATGATGATCGATTGAAACATAACTCAACGATGCATTTGGCCCGCGCGTGCGACACAATTGCAAATGAAACGGATCACAATGGAAAATTTATAACGAATTCAATGCAATCGTCACTTGTTTTACATACCGAAGCTAGAATTTTTCCATACACTCTGTGTCACAACAAGCAAGCCCATTGTGACCATTCGTACGAAAAGAGAAAATAAAACAATTTCATACCAAATTTCTGCCACTAGTGTCGAAGTAAGCATCGCTGCTGACAACAACTGCCACGCTTGCAAGTATCAGCAAAGCCGTAAAAGACATTGCAAATGAGAGGTAGGTCTTCTTCTTGGTGGTCCAATGGTCGTAGCCGATACACCTTTTCATCGAGAACATATTAAGCTTCGCATTTGAATATGTTTTTTCGTTTGTTTGTTTGCCATACGTTCTACGGTTTCCGCAAGCCATCATTGTCTAACAACTGTATTACTAATCGATTCTCTTTGAGCATCTTCACAAACAGCGAATAAATATTCGTTCATTCGAGTGTCTTACGAACATTTTCACTTGCCGACTGCTTCGCTTGAGCACGGGTATAAATAAATAGAAATCAATTTGCATCCGGCAAAGTGAATTATCGACAAGCGATGTGTCACACAAAGAGACGAAAAAAAAACGAAAGAAAAAGAGTAAGAAAGCGTCTCGTCACGTCCTCGCCTCGCGCGGAGCTAAGTGACACTTGCGTGCGCTTCTCGCGGTATTCTTTTATAAAATCGCGCGAGCTTTCGTGTTTGAACGGATGCAAAGCCAGTGACGCAAAAACTATATTTCCACAACTATTTTAGCACTCGCGGAAACCTAAGACGCAGACAAAAAAAAAAGAAAAAAGAGAGAAGAAAGTATCGGTGTGAGTCATGAGTGTGTGTACCTAGGAGTTGAGCGCGCGACTACAGGGCAGAGACGGCGCGACCGATCGACTGAGCTTGCGTGTAATGTTCTGTGTTGACCCCACGGCGTGAACCGTGTACACGCTAGCGCATTAACGATGCCGAATGCTATGTAGATGTCTATCAAGAAAAAGAAAAATACTAGAGACTGAACGTATAAAGGGCTTGTGTAACGTGATAACAACTTAACATGAGTTTTAGATCGGTTATTCCGATTGTTGATCGCAATATCGTGATCCTTTTTTGTTGAATTTTTCGCCTATACTATCCTTCTACAAATTTTGGCGAAAACGTACGTCTCGCGCGTGCGGCGATCAAGGTTATAACAGCAGTGTACTCTCATTAGTATATTCAGATTCGATACTTACTTAATTTTTTGTTGTTGAAGACCTGCACTTTTTATAGAAGTCAAGCTCCCAACGATCAACACTTCGAAATCGTACTGGATAAGCCGCTTACTTGAAAGTTCAATTTATATGCGCGCCTATCGAGTTTGTTTACGAAACTTCTTTATGGAACTAGCGTCTAAGTCACATAGATGACAACACTTTAGACATAACTAATTTACGCAAAATTCGATGACAGATCAATTGTTATTTTTCATGGGAATATAATAAGTCATCAAGTGAAAAGTAAATAACAACGTTTCATTGTGTAAACAAATATATTTACAAATAAATAAAATCATCACGTCTTTTGCACATTTTCATCACATTGTAACACAACAAAATAATTTTTGAAAACAAATTAACAATTTAGCTAGTTCTAAACTCGTTCCAAGAGTGAAAAATTCATTTATCTATCAATCTTAGTAGCGCTTCATCAAGCTCATCACCTTATCATATAGAAGCTTTTTAACATCCTTCGCCCATAAGTGATCGAGGTGGTTGAACTTGTCGTTTGGAACGCGGAGTTTGACAATGGGATTTGGTAGTTGTGAGTATAGCAGGTCTACGTCCTATTAAAAATAATTGTTTTCTTCAAAAAACTTTCTAAGAATTAATTTCCGACAATCTGATTGAACTTACGCTTGGATGTGACAGCCAGTCGTTAACAGTGTAGTGGAGAGATACTGGAGCCGTAACTTTAGTGATATTATAATCAGGTGGTATCCTCGATTTGTACTGCTCCATATTCATCGACCTTCCATGGTCAAATTGTCGAAAAGATCCTGAAAATAATCACATTCGTTTATGATGCTCATAAATCACATGTTTACCAATTGAAAATGTAATAACTCTTACGTGTCTTGATCAGTTGACCGTAGTGTATAAATTGCTTAACGGCAGCGCCAGCTGGTACGTGAGCTAGAATTGCCGGAAGTAACTCCTAACGAACCACAATCAAGCGTAATTAATTCAAAAGAATTAATAATTTTATAATGGAAAATCAGTTTAAGAAAATTACCGTATCAAGCTGCTCAGGATTAAATCCGGCGATCATGAAAATCACATTTGAGCAGATAGGTTGCAGGAATGAACCGCAAATAAAAGACGTAAATCGTTTGACGAACTGGTTTGTCGGCTTGAACTCGTATGCACCCATTATATTAGTCAGGAACTATAAATAAAATAGAAAATGTCAATTTCCGAAAAAATAATAACAAACCAGACAAGAAATGACATTCACACTGAGAGGTTTCAATATTCTTGAGAGTGCTTGGAAAATCGGACTCTTCATTCTGCCACAGTGAGCCACAGGTGCAAGTGCAAACATGGCGTTAATTTTATCGTTGTATTCTGGAAGTTCGCTGGCCATCACGAAGAATGCCGTACTTCCTTGACTGTGACCAATGTAGAAGAGCTTCTCACGTTTGGTTACATTCAGCACGTGATCGATCATCGCGGGAAGATCTCGAGATCCAATTTCATGCCAGCTGAATGACCAAATGCACAGTTAGATAAAAATATGCGATTTAAAACTCGGCTATTTGCTTTTTCTGCATATTCTTACTCGAATTGCCAGTATTCTGGATCTTTGATAGACAAAAATTTATGACTACGTGAGTATCGATTTCCTCTGGCATTTCCCATCCACACATCGTAACCAGCATCAGCCAAGAGGAAAGCTGAAATCATCAGATGTCAAGTTAACTAGACTCGGATTTAATTCAATTACGAATTAAAATAATCAAATATACCTAAGCCTCTCCGTGGACCAGCAATAACCCAATCCATCGAACTAGACAAAAGTCCATGTTGAAGAAAAACAACGCGTTTTCCCTCAGGATTTGGATTCTTACTATTACCAGTTATTCTGTGAACTGTTAAAAAGTAATTATCCTCTGTCTTAATCATGTGACTTTCTATTCCGTAATTGTACAATGCAACAACTTCTGGCTGAAATTAGAAAAACCAATATTTTTAAATTAATGTTTTGAAATCATTTTTTGAGTAAACTACTCTAATCTAATTTATTTATTATTTTTCCAAAATTTTCATATTTTTGAATTGCATCATATATCAAATTCCCATTGTTTTTTATCATTGCAATAGAATTAATAAATATTTAGCATTATTTATCAATCATGTATATCTTTTAAACGTTAATATATTACTGTTTACAGTATTTATCGATAGCGAGGTTGCTTTTTATATAAAAATATCTACTTACAGCACTGAGATGTGCATGAGGATGATCAGAACTCCTAGTACGCACAACATCCGTAGCATTCGCACTAGCCACTCCCACTGAGAATGTACTCTTCAACAAAGCAATCTCTTCATCAGTCATCACTGAGAACAGATCAGACTCTCCGGAATACACTTCAGCTCCATTGGAAAAGGTAGCCACAAGGCACAAACTTGAAAAGAGTGCAAATCGCTGCATTGTGCGATTAAAATAATTAATCTGAGTAAATTTTTTCGCCGCCACGCTTTTTATACTCAATATCAGTGTTCACCATCTGTTGACAAAAGAACGTCGTAGAAGGTTCTTATCAACCTATCACCATGCATCATTGCAGCTTGTTTATCAATCACATATCTCCAGCAGCTATATGATTGTTTAAAAGTGCACAAGCGTGTTGCTACTATATGATATTTACACTTTATTAGCATACATAACTAAACAACGTCGCTTCTTTTCATCGCTAATGCCTTCTTTACATCGCTGTTGGATATCTCATTTTTACGTAAAAGGTTCACTTGGTTTACTACTCCTTCTTTACTGATATTTTTAAGGTTATCCTAAGGAATTATTTTTGACATTTTTGGCACTTTTACATCGAATACCTGAAATACTGTATTAATTTTGGCTTCGTATTTTATTTTCAATAAGCACAGATTAGTATTTTGATTTCCTGCTGGATTAGTTTTCTTATCATTTTACAGTATGCAAGAAATCAAGATATCCACTTAAACGAGCTGCAACATGCAGAGAGATAAGCATACATTAATACATCTGATAATTAAATACAATGTTCCTGTCTACTTCATTTTATTGATTAGTTGTAACTGTAACAAAGATACGAGAATTAAATGGAATTTACGAATTTTAAATTTATACTTACCAAAGATTTCCATTTATTTAATTTGGATTAAATTAATTTTTAGGATAAACGTGTCACTTAACTTCATAAACTTAAAAATAGCTTCGTTTTTAATCTATTTAATTACAAATCTCCAATTTTATTATACTTTTAATGAATAACATGGAAGAAAACTTCATTTTGATATAATCGAAAATCTGTATAGTAAGAGGTTGATAAACAAGATATAAGCGCCAGCCAAGGCTTCTTCATCACATTCAGAAGCTAATCAGGCGTTACAAAATAAATGTACAGTCATTAATTGCGATATACCAAAAAAAGGATGCATCAATTCAAAAAAACTGTACCAATGATTGACATGATTCGAAAGCAATTAAAACGCACCTGTTCAAATCTCAGAATTAGTCATGTGAGAAATTGATTTGTTATGTTATATGCAAAATATTATTATTAAACAGCATTAATCGCGTTTTTTAGAATAATTGACATTGAGCTTTTATTCATTCAATGTCAATTATTCCCTTTCATGGAACCTTTAAGAATGATTAAATATCATTCTTAAAGGTATCGCTTATTTTTCCTATTATAAATAAAATATCAGCGTTTTTCATGAGAATAAATAACTGCATTATAAAATTATTAAATATAAGTGGAATGAAATTAAAGTAATTATATTTGTACAATTTTATTTGAAATAATTATGGAAAAACATTATCAAAAATATGTTATGTTCTATGAAATTTGAAGTATCTAACACAGACAGACTTATTGTTTACGCTAGTTCCAGAAGTTAACAATTTTAATGTGTTAATTACTAACAAATATATCACATACAACTAATATACATCTAAACTTGAAAATGTTAAATAACGGTTCGGTTTTTTATATTTTCATCTTTGATGGTCTCATTAATCTTTATAACGTAGCATTATACTCATTATCTGATCATATAGCAAAGTCTTTACATCTTTGGCCCATAAGTAATCAAGATGAGAGAATTTCCTATCAGAAACTTGAAATTTTCCGATAGGGTTTGGTAATTTTGAGAGTAATTTCTCCACATCCTAAAATAATATTATCCATAAAGTCTAAAGAAAATGTGTGTAATACTAAATACAAAATTTAAATTTTGTAGGTTCTTACTATTGAAGAAGATATTAAATCGTTTCCACTATAATGTAAAGCTATTGGAACTTTAACGTTCGTTAGACTATAAGATGGAGGTGTCAAACTGCCGTATTTCATTAAATTACTGTACCAACCAAAATCCATTTGTTGGAACTTGCCTATTTATTAAATAGTTTACGAATTAATATTTGATGAGCGGAAAATTAACCTATTATATCATATTATAACTTATATATCTTTATTACCTGATTTTATAATTTGACTATAATGTATAAATTGATTAACACTAGCTCCAGCTGGTACATGAGCTAAAATTGCTGGAAGTAATTCCTAAAATAAAATATTTCTAAACTGAGTATAATAATTTTAGAGAATAGCAAAGTGATTTAAATATAATAAACTCATACCAAATCCATTTGCGCTTCATTGAAACCTGCAATCATGAATAAAACATTTTCACAGATTGGTTGTGTGATAACTCTTTCTTGACATAAGGCGGTAGTGAACGTAGTGAAGAACTCGTCGGTAGGTTTAAACTCATTGATACCAATCAAAGCCGTCAGTATCTGCAGTCAGATACAGATATTTTAAAATAAAATTTCTTTCGAAAATAATTGCACTTACCTTGATCGGTTGATCGAAAAGTGCCATGAATTGAAAAATCGGACTTCTCATATGCGAGCAATAAGCTACAGGAGCGAGTGAGAACATGGCATGAATTTTGTCATTGTACTCTGGATGTTCACTCAGCATAACGAAAAATGACGTACTACCCTGACTGTGACCAATGTAATATAATTTTTGCTGCTCGCTAATCTTTAGAATGTGACTGATCACAGCTGGTAAATCGTGCACACCCATTTCGTGCCAGCTGAAGATAAACATTCCAGTTTCAATATTTCCGCAAGTATTTGAAGAAAACGTAAATTACATACCTGAAACTCCAATATTGCGAATCGCGGTCGGTTAATTTTTTATGTTTGCGAGAATAAATGTTTCCTCTGGCATTTCCCATCCACACATCATAGCCAGCGTCCGCAAGTAAGAATGCTAAAAATTAATAAAACATATGACATACAAATTTCAAATTGAGTTATTAAATTATCGCAAATCCAATGTCGAACCGAATCCTCTTTCTGGTCCAGCCATAACCCAATCTACAGAACTAGAAAGGATACCGTGCTGTAAGAATACAACCGGCTTTCCTGCTGCTTTCGGACTTTTCTTACAATCTGGTATTCTGTGCAATTGAAGGATGTAGCCATCATCCGTTTCAACTTCATGGACTTCGGCATCATATTTGTGTAGTCGAATAATTTCAATCTGTATAGCGTCAATTTATCAGTGTAATCATAAATTCAATAGTAAAAACATTTTACAAATCAAAATTACACTTACAGCAGTGAGATAAGTATGTGGATGAACATTACGGAGAACTAACGACCATTTCGTGAGGTTGAAATTTTCCGGCACAATGTTAAGCAAAGGCGCAATCACTGATTGATTTGACAAATTGGGTGGTAAGATATCCTCGTCGTAAACCACGCTATTTGCTATCGTAATCAGCGTGGTACTCAAAATAGCCAGCACTAGTGTGTTGTATCTCTCCATATCTGTATCTTGTGTTCTACTACTAGATAGTCTGTTGTAACAAAGTTTATATATACTGAAACTGTAGAGACATCTGGATTGATTTGTAAGGTAGGATAAATTTATATCGAAACGCATGTGTACTCTATCGGATACTTGTGTAAGAGCTTCTGTCAACGTAGATTAATATGGAATATTTTATCTGATTGAGTACTTTCATTGTTGATTCTGAATGTCTAAGCGATAAATATTCTCATTACCTAATATGCATGTTTATTATTTTAGGGGATTAGAGTTCAGTGTTAGATTAAAAAATGATACGGCACAAAATATTTTCGTCTTATAAAAATTATTTTATTATAAATATATTTTAAAAAATACAGGTAAAAAATAAAAATACTCCCACTTTTATCCTGCAGTCACGATAATATAACTTTATAGCATTTAAAGGAGCTTCAGTCTTTGTAACGCTTCATAAGGCTCATGATTTTCAAGTATAACAGTGTATTGGCATCTTTACCCCAAATGTAATCTAAGTGGGTAAATTTATCATCAGGTACACGGAATTTGCCGATGGGATTTGGAAGACCGGAGTATAGTTTCTCGACGTCCTTCAAATCAAATACCATGTGAACAACGACAATGGAAAGAGGAATAAATATGTAGAATTAAATTTTGTTAGACTTACTTTAGCGTGAGATAGCCAATCATTAAGACTGTAATGCAAAGCAATTGGGGCTCTCAAATTATTTAGATTGTACGATGGAGGGCTTATTTTACCATATTGTTTTAAGTTGCCAAATAATCCGTAATCATATTTTCTAAAGTAACCTGCTTAAAGCAGAAATTTTGTACATTTGATGGATATACTTTATAATGTTTTATTAAAGCTTTAAAAAAATTAACGTAGTTACCTGATTTAATAAGTTGAGCGTAATGAACGAATTGTCGAACTCCGGCCCCAGCTGGTACGTGAGCCAAAACTGCCGGGAGTAATTTCTGTGAATGAAAATTACATTACATAAGTTTTTACATGTACATCTTCTAGCAGTAGTATTTGTATAATATTTACCATATCAAACTGCTGTTTATTAAAACCACCAATCATGAACAAAACATTCCTACAAATTGGTGCTAGTATGGAGTTCTCTTCACATGCTTTCACGGAGAATTTTGTGAAGAATTCATTAGTCGGTTTAAACTCATTGACACCAATCCACTTTGCTATGACCTACAATTTAAATAAGGGATGCTTTCACTGTACGACCGGACGTACTTGTCAAATTATTAACTGAACACATTAATAACTTACATCTAGCTGATTTACAAATTTCGAAAGAACTTGGCAAATGGGTGAAAACATGTGGGATGAATAACTGACTGGAGCGAGTGCAAACATAGCATGGATTTTGTCATTATACTCCGGATGTTCGCTTGCCATAACGAAAAACATGGTCGTCCCTTGACTGTGGCCAGCGTAGTAGATCTTTTTCTGTCCTGTCTTGTACAAGATGTAATCAATCATGTCTCGTAAATCAAAAGTGCCAAGTTCGTGCCAACTAACAAATAATATCGTCAATTATTTATTTGCAACTACTTAGTATTAATGATACGCAATAAAGAATGATTACCTGAACTTCCAGTATTCGGCTTGATTGGTTGTCATGTGTTTGTGTTCTCGAGAATGCAAGTTGCCGCGGACATTTCCCATCCACACATCGTAGCCAGCATCAGCGAGCATAAATCCTGTTTGACAAAAATCGGCAAACTTTACATTTTCTCTCAATTGTATTGCATGAACTATAGTTTTCAATGAAATACTTACCGAATCCTCGTCCTGGACCAGCGATAACCCAATCGTATGAGCTCGAAAGCAGTCCATGTTGGAGAAGTACAACAGGTTTTCCATCGGGCATCGGACTTTTTGAATTTCCAGTTATTCTGTGTAATTCTAAAATGTATTTGTCGGACGTTTCAACTTTATAAACTTCTGATCTGTAGCCGTAGAGTTCTATGATTTGAGGCTGTGCATCCAAGGTAAATTTCGACAAAATAATTTCTTAAGTTGACCAATTATTTTCGGTGAAATTAAATATAAAACGTTGACTTACAACTGATAGTTTAGCATGCGGATGGCCTTGACGAAGAACATGTTCTAACTCTGTTAAGTTTAAATCTTTCCAAATATTTTCCAATGCTGAACCATCAAAAACAAAATCGTCATTTTCGTCGATTGGACTTGCTGTTACAACAGCAAGATAGAATGCCACGATCACAATAAACTTTACCATGTTTTCATAACCGACTTAAACCTGGCAATATTTTCCTACCTACTATGCAATCTTATATACTCTAGATATCCTCGCGAGGCATGGTACTTAAAGGTAGAGACGCACGATTTTTTAATCTGCAAATGCCGTATAATACGTCGTGGATTTAGTCTGTACTTTAGACTGGATCACAATGTGATGGATTTCGTTGACGATGTATGCTGTTTGAAAGGTCGATGGTTGTACGGATCACCGGTTGTGATATCATTTCTTTGGCGAATTTCAGTCAAATAATAAGACATTTGAAGGATAAAGACAGAGTGCAGGTTTTTATATATTTTTGAAAGATGATTGTTGTTTCCTCTAAAAATTATGAATATTTCGATATTTTTTAATTATGGTTCTTAAATTTCAATTCTTAAAAATCACTTTCGATGTTTCGCTTTATGTGAGAAATTATACGAGTTATGCTACTTTAGATATATGTTATTTTCGATATCTTGTTGAACCAATAAACTTATTTATAAACGGTACATATATGTTTCACTGAAAGCAAAATAATAATACAACTAACTCATTATAAAAAGAAATGATATCATCCGTCAGAATAAAAAAATAATAATCTTATCGTTAATATTTGCTAGTTATATGTCATGCGAAGGCATTGAACTGTAATATTTGGATCTATTTATCATTCACTATGTCCTCAACGTTCTTTCAGCTACGTTAATGTCTAAATAACTTAAAATGACATTTTTTCTTGTTTAGTATTTTTGTTTTTTGTAAATTTGCTAGTTTTTATTCATTAAAGTTCATATTCTATTATTATTTCATTAATACAAAAATTTGAAAATGGTTTGAAAATTTTATATTTGAAAATGATAAAATTGTAAATATAAAACTGAATGAAGAAATTTCATAAATAATTCTTTAAAATTAAAAAATACTGGATAATAGTTTTTTTTTGTTAATAATTAATATTTTCTAACTTTTCGAAAATTTTCACTTCTCACAATCAGTGAGCACAAATGAATTAACATTTTCCAATAGGATGCATTAGAGCTTCATTGAAGCTCTAATTTTCTAAATACCGGCTAGTATGGAATCAAAATTAGTAACAATTACGCTATGTAAAGAAATGCTCATGAAGTTATAAATAAACAAATGACAAGGTTATACAAACGATCAATCACCAAAATTATTTTTTATCGACCCGTGAAATCGAGTAAATTCGTATTGCAGGATTTTCTCTAAAGTCCAAAGTAAAAGTCTTGGAAAAGCTTTAATCGAAATGTAATATAAATTGATACACTTACAGATAAAGCCAAACAATTGAAATCAATTGTATTTCTTCTACATATTTAATTCCATTATCTACTGTTTATAAGTGAAAAAGATAAATGTACATGATTTGTGTATAATTTTTATTTATAAATAACAAACTATTAGTTAATATACACCTAATGCAGTGAAATAAAAATTAGTATTTTGTTAATATAATGACTAGAATCATAGAATTGCTTAAGTACAACAATAAATCCAATGAACACATTGTGGTAGAGATAAAACAAAATATCAAACGCAAAAAGAACAATTACGGTTATCGTGTATGATGACGATATTTTTCCATCAAACGCATTAGTGGTTCGAATACAATTCGTGGCGCCGTCCTTCCCCATAGAAAGTCGTAATGATTGAATGGATTTGCCGTGATTTTTTGATGATAAATAATACTTCGTAGCTTGTTAGTTAGCAATTCAACGTCCTGAAATCATAATTAATTATACTAAATATTGAAATTGGTTAAATCAATCGAAATAAAAAATGCTGTTGTACTAGTCACTTTGGTTTTATTAAGTCTTTGATGACGTTTTGACAATTGCGTCACTGTCATAATCGGATATATGGTCTCTAGACATAATAAAACTTGAAATGAAATGACAAAATATATCGCTTCTAGTGCTGAAATTAAGAATAGACTATAAATTTGATAAAATAAAAAAAAAATGAAAATTAAATATTTGGTGATTTTTATCAGCTTTAAAGAGTATGTTCACACTGATTCTCAGTACGTGTTTGTACTGATTTTTATTTCGATTTATGTATTCATATGCTAATGATTCTGACTATTATTGATTCAATTGTTTTATTGAAAATTATGAATACCTTAGGCGTAGCAAGCCAATCGTTAGTACTACTAAAAAGTGCAATCGGTGCAGTTATAGCTTCTAACTTATATTCCGGCGGTACTGGCGATCCATACTCTTGGTAATTCCTCTTGCCGTCTCCATAATCGTATAACCTGAAGTAACCTGCGATGAAAAAAAAGAAATTTTCCCATCTTAATTTTCCTTTTGTAATCTAATCGACAAATCTTGATCAGTTACCAGGATTAATGTATCCTTGACCATAATGAATAAGCTGCTTCCACGATGCTCCTGCAGGTATATGACCAACAATGACAGTGAACTTATCCTGAAACCCAAGTAGATAAAACGAACGAGTCATCAACCGCAAATGAACTGTTGTCAAATATAGCAACAAGTGTCTCTAAGTAGTCGTATTTGCGGTTGTAATTCACGCTTCCATGAGCACGTGCGAGCAACTTTCCATTCGCTTTAATCATTATCATGTTTAAAACGCAATAACGATCGAACGATGTAAATTATTGTAAACATATCTAACTGGTATTTGGAATAGCAATTATAATTGGATTATAATCTGTGTCATCTCGTATTTTGATTTGCGTAGACACTATCATGCGTTAAGACTATTTCTTGGAAAGCATTTGATTGATCGAATGTTTAATTTATATAATCAACTTGTCAACGATGTATAAGATTATTATTTTGATAGCGAATTTCTATATTCGTAACTACTTATATTATACACTTACCAAATCGATGTCAGGACTGAAACCAGCGAGCAAATAAAATTTAGTACTGCAGAATATCTGCGTAGGCGCAGCACTTTGACAGAAAAGCCTCGAGACGAATTTTCCCCAACGTGATCGCGAGCCAAATTCGGGATAACCAAAATTTTCACCTACCCACTGAAAGGAAAAATAGATGTCGATGAATGTTGGGAAAAAGCATTTCAAGGTCAGCTAAATAAGGAAATCGCAACGTGTATTGCGAGATGTTACCGCGTGGAAATTCACTATTCAATGCTAATGATTTGTTTCCCTCTCGAGAGAGGCAAACGAATAATACCAATTCTACATGGCTCGATTTGCGTAAGCTCGATCAATCGACATCCTGCTTCGCTATACTCCGTGAGAATTCTTAGCCAATTTTTACTTACAAATTTTAAGTACGAGTTGATCTCTGTAAGATTGGCACTTTTGCATGAAATTTTTGAATTTTTTCAATCATTTCATTGGAACCAAGACGAACGTGAGTCAATAATTAAAATTGAACAAAACAGGGACAATGATGTACTCACAACGCCGAAATATGTCAACTTGGTAAGTTGCGCAACCGGACCGCGAAGATAGCCGGTGAAGGCCGCGGGCGCGAGGCCAGCGGCAAGAGCGATCTTGTCGTTGTATTGGGGTCTTTGCGAGGCCATCACCAACAACTGGGTCGTGCCCTGCGAATGGCCCACGTATAGCACGCGACGATGGCCCGTTGCACCGATTATGTAGTCAATACTCGATGGCAAGTCGTACATACCCAACTCGTGGTAGCTGAATGTTTGAGAAACGTGTAAACTTTGTTTTCTTTGTTTGGCTTAATGATATCTCATGTTTGTGTAGAATTGGAATGAAGTGCAATTTGGGAAAAATGGAAGTACAGTGACGATAATGTTCTCCTGGGTAAAAATGTTTCTTTAATTACTGGTTTCATCAGAGACTCAATTCTATCCGTATGATTTGCAAAAATGGATTAACATCCAAGCATCGATCAAGCTCAGTAATTCAAATCACGAGAACGTTTGAACGTCAAAGAAAGGTAGGCTTTTAGCATTAATAGCATGTAAAGTTTACCTGTGATTGACATGATGTGCGAAAATGTTAAAATGAAAAACTAAAAATAAACTAAATCGTTCTAAATAGTTAATGTAATTGCCTAAAATCCCAAAAGTAACGATCGGTTGGTTCCATTGACGTATGGTTGCGAGAATAGATATTGCCACGGTTATTCCCCAGCCAAACGTCATATCCTGTGTCCGCAAGAAAATATGCTGAAAAAAGAGTTTGAAATTGAGTATTAGCAAAATCCACATAAGTAACTGCATGTATTAATTTTTTAGTGTAATGATTTTCTGAAGATTTTAAACCTCGACAATTTTTACTCAATGTCAATTTACAAGAATATAATTTACCATGGTTATGGGCGCAGAATCAACGAAACGTTTTTTACGGATAACAAAATAAATTATTACAAAAAATTCATTTTGTAAAAGTTAAACAATTCAACCCACAATAATGAAAGGCCGTTTGAAATATCTACTATGCAGAAAAGGTAATCAAACTGTTACACGAACAGAGAGCGAGCGCTCGAAGCCTGTATAATAAATGTAGGTCTGTATAATAAAATGCAATCGCGACAACTGTACCACGCTGGCATGCTAAGTGATTTCGTTTCGGATTTTTAGTATGCAAGTTAGCATGTGAATTGAAGGCGCCGGAAGAATCCAACACATGCCGATGCATCGGATTTGCCATGCGTGTTTGCGAGACGCGGAAGAAAAAGAATATTTGTAATGTATGCAGCTTTTTTATGTAAGTGAAATTGCGAAAAAAAAACCGTGGTGCTAACGCATTGTACTTGGTATTCTTATTCAATAAGGCAATTACACGCCGGCGGCTCGAATAGTCTGGCTGTTCTTTCGTTTTTTCCTGGGATGACTATAAAGGCGTGTGAGATGCGTTTTCCATGGTTATGGTAAGACCAAATGTGTTTTGTTTGATGTGCATGTCAAGTGCTTATGGGAGACTTGATTATGCATTGGAAAGTTTGTTTGTTATTATTTTTTTAAGTTCGTTTTTAGTTCGAGATCAGCATTTAATATATGTAATTAATTACATAGCCTAATTAATTGTTTGGAAATTCGGTAATGACCGTTTTAGTTTCACGTGCAAGACGTTCTATAATAATTTTATCGATTTTTAATCAGGAATAGTAATCACCTTGAAATATGTTTTTAGTGCTTCTCAAGCTACGACTTAATCTGTTTATATCTTTAGAGATCGCGTACATCTGTAAGATTATCTTGATGCGAATAATTCACGAACAACTCATATGACATTTCTTTTTAGAGTGAGTTACTTACTATGCTAACGTAAATATGCAAAATGTAAAAATAAGATTTTTCTTGCTCTTTATTTATGCAAAATTATGGTAGCATTGACTTCAGTCTTCATTTATTTATTTTAAAATAATTCAAAAATACATTACTGCTTGAACATATTGAAAAATTGCAAATGGTTTTAAGAAATTTCGTAATTTGTTTATGCAGATTCCCAGTGCGAACTACGAACTTCCGCAGATTCATTACAATTAATCTACTTGACACAAGTAGCAGCCGACTTTCTCCCTTAACAAGCGTGTCATATTATCTAACCGTTCACCAAGATCTCTCATCATCGCTTGCTCGCTGTATACAGCCTTATCAACTGTCGCAAGCAAGTTAGTTCTGTACAAGGCAACCGTAATTAATCTCTATAGTTTCCTCGCTCTCGTACATTTCGCTACGGTCACAAATTTCGCAAGTGCGCCGTATGTAACCGATCGAAATTCTTTCTTTTTACGGCTCATCTTTGCGGTTCAGATTTAGTGGTAAAAAGTGCGTCCCGGTGTTTATTTCATTTTTGTCTTTTTCAGGAAACGAGCGTTCGTTAAACGCCACGTGCGAAACGTGTACACGCGCGCATTAACGAGCGCCTCGTAAAGGAGTGTTTTGAAATCTCGCCTTTACAAAGCAAGGAGGACAAGTATTATACTTAATTGTTCGCGCGGGGCCTAATTATCGTGCGTAAATTCGTTGCACCAGTATTTTTTGACAGTCGCGCAAGCGCACGCACGGAGAGAGCACAATTTCCACTCTCACGAACGTCGTAAAAATTCGGGATGTGATTTGCGAAATGGAAAATTATCATAATAAATTGCTAGGAATTCCAAAAATGTCCGTCGACAAATCGACTCGAGTATTGTATCGATGATCGATAGAAAGTGTCAAGGCCAGGAAAAGAAAAAAAAAAGTTGACAAGCAAGATATTTCATAATTCGTTGCATTCAATGTCGTTTCCTGACCCTGACTAATACGAATCAGACACAATCACTTGTGAATTCACAAGTTGTTGCGGACTGACCTCTTGCTCATCAGTTGATCCGCGCGATTGGGATTTTTCCTTCGCGCACGTTTTTGGCACACGAATAAAGGCAAACAAGCGAAAGACGATATGCTTGAATGTTTGGATAATTTTCTTGTTACAAGGATTCGCATTTCGTTGAGCGATAATCAAACGCATTGCGCAAGGTGTACCTAAAGAATTGCCAGGTCCCATGAGTATCCAGTCGGCTGAGCTACCACCAAGACCATGCATCAGCAGAACTGCTGGTCGACCCGACGCTGTAGAATAGTCGTCGTAATTGTAACGGCCAAACGGGATTCTGTGCAGCCCCAAAATGTAACCGTCGTCCGTGATTATCCCATGCTCCTCGAATGGATAGCCGTACTTCGTTGCCAGTTCATTCTTCGTAACAGAAAATTATGGATTTGCTTTTTACAAATGAATTACAATCACAACAAAATCATCGTCCTGGATGAAGAATGACTGGAAAGCGAAAAGCAGGCGCGGAAAGTAAAAAGCTAGACGCGTTGCTTTCTTGTTTAAAATTATGCGCTCTTACGTAAAAAAAAGCCCGTGCAAATATGTATTTTCTCCCAAAGAGGAAGAGGAGGCTTAGCTCGTTTTGTTCTGCGAGAGCAAGGCGTTGAAACATTGCTAAACGGGCGTCTCTGCGAAACGAGCTATACGTTTATTTTTTTTCCGCGCATACTCGAAACACTTGAATTCTCTCTCACACTCTCGCACTTGAACGGAATAATCACCGCAGACACACGCGCGCTCCAGAACACTTACGGTCTTGAGCTCGATATCCGGATTGGGATCCAACTTGGCTCGAGCGACGTAGCTACTGATGAGTAGCAGCGCGGCAACGCACAAAACAGACATTCTCGGAACGGAAATGAAGAACCGCGCGTTTCACTTGAGTAAGATGCAATGCGCATCAGAGGCTCGGAGAGCGCGGCACGTGCGTGCGCTCTTATACGAGACTCGCGGCGCGCGCGATATCAAGCCGCTTTGCTCACTTGCCGAGTCGTTGCACCGACTCTTATATATACACTTACAGACTTGGAAAAGAGCGCTCCGCTCTCGCGTCCTTACTGCACCACTGCACTATTCCTTTTTTTCTCTTTCCTTCTTCTTGCTCGTTCTCTTTCTATCGTCTCGATGTTACCTCCTCCCAGTTTCCGGCTTAGATTCGCGTTTCTTTTCAAGTCAGACTGAGCAATGTGTAAATACGTTTCATTCGTGACAACGAATTACTTTGAAGTAACCCGATGATAATTTTCAATAGATAAAGCGTGAAGATGTATATTATAAATTTATAACCAACCTTGTTGCAAAGCAACAACTAATTATAAGCATCAGTTATCAATACCAATTCATCCATTTATAAAAATCGTTGATCAAGAATATTTTTTAAGTGAAATCGCTAGTTTACACTTTAAGAAAAATGTATACGACATGTATAAGACATTATTTTTAATCCGTTTTTGCGTATTTTTTCGAACATTAATTTCGTCAACAACTTCATCCAACGTTAAACTAAAACGTCAAAAAAAAATTATGCCACAGCAATTAACCAAAAGTTTACCTCCACTTATCTATAAAACTTGTTATACAAAAAAACCAACTACGAAACCATGCATGTATGATTTCCGTTCGACCACGCGTTGAACAGAAATTTTTGAATAATTGCACCACCGTGTTGAACTAATTATTCAAAAAATACAACATATTTTGTCGCCTCTACCACTTTACGAACAAAAAAGAACAGCAAATCTACTCTGTAGTACGCGTACGTAAAATTACAGTGATCAAAAATTTCAGCACCTCGCGTTATACCGATACACACATTCGTTACGAAACGAAAGGCGCACAATGTCGAATAACTTATTCGCTATAAAAAATACCGCACAGTAGCCATGCAAGCACATTTTCCACGTCTTCATTTCTGCGTACGATTATGTATGTTTCTTTTCGACGATAATTGCGCAGATTTTAAAAGCGGCACAGATTAAAGTCGCATGTGTGCACATGGGAATAATCATTACAATATACTTTCGTAATTGATGAGCGGCGCGGCGCTCACTTTTGTAACATCCCTTGCAACGACTTATCAGTTTGTATATAGCTCCGGGTATATATCATTTTTCGAGATGTATATATGCAGTTTTTCCATAGGCTTCACTGTATTTATTACACTGGAAATATGCGTTGGACAATAATTGCGATGTTTAGAAATGTTCAAGCTGATAATAAATAGCTGTTTTCTAGGTCGACGATGATAATTTGTTGATGCGCTTCGCTGCTTAGTCATTATCAATGTAATACATCAATAATTTACTGGAATGTTCGGATGTATGCAGGTAGATCGACGTTACTGAAATTAAATTAAGAAATCTACGCTCACAATTGATCCGTATATTATCGACACTGTTCGTGTAGAATTCTCGGCGCAAAACTGCACTTTCGACTACAATCTATTTAGTCGATCGATACGACCACGCGCACAGCATTTTACTTCTGATTTGAATGCAATCCAGTACACGCGTTGGCTAATCTCGCGAATTATATTACACGTTCGATTAAAAGCCGCTTCGATATGATGAGGGAGAGGAAAAAACTTTCAGTTACCGGCCACATCAAGGACTCTGTACAATTTCTTTCCGCCGGTGGTAGAGAGAGAAAGAGAAAGAGAAAGAGATGGACGACCGTAGACTTTGTTTTAGGAACATATACGCAAAAGCACGCGTTAGGAAACACGTGCGAAAATCTTTTAATTGCCGCACGTACGTTGCTTGAAAATTTACTGTGCACTTTTTGCGCGAGATTTCTTGAAAGGATCGTAAATCTTTTGCTCTTGCAAGGAGTGCGAGGTGTTGAGGAGATTATGAAAACTATCGTTTCGTTGACAGCAGATGTTTGTCACTGCTGTTTTTCTTTTATTTTGTCGAGAACGCTTCCGTTGTTTAGCATTTGCGAAAGATAATTGCATTAAAAATCAAATTGGTGTTTATCAAGGCATATTTTTTATCAAATCCGTTCCCAATAAGTATGATTTACGAACAATATACGTATGCTGAAAATGAACGAAGCAGTCTCAATTCAATCATATCGTATTGAAAATTTATGCACTATCAAGTGAGGTTAAATTTTATTGAGAGGTACATGACGCATATATGCATGCATATTATTTTTCATTTATTGTTCTTATTTGTCATTTCAACAATAAGTTGTTTTGGAATGAAAAATTCAAAGAATGATTCGTCCGTGAGTTTTTTCTATAAATTAAATATTCATGAATTAAAAAGTTACTAACTTTTAGAAATAGAATAAGTACGTTGTCACTCTGAAATTGATCAGAATAAATTGTGACGAACAACTTTACAGCGTTCAATGAACTTAGCTCTTGAAGTAACAATAACGATAATAATTAACATAAGATATTGCACGTGCATGAGTTAAAATTAAACTTGAGATAAACGTTCTGTACCTACATAATAAAATGAAAATAATAGTTAAAAGGAATAATAAAGATTATTTTAACTGTAATGAGCGATGCATTGGCGGTACTAACTAAGCTAATTGTTGATTGTTGTACCTATTTTTCTCAATTTTTCGCAAAAGTATTTGATATATTTAGATAAAGTGTATTGATAATATGAGAAATCTCGTAAATCTAAATCGTACGACTTGAAACGAGCACTAAATAAGTTATCAATAATTTCAATATCGGAGACCACCCACGTTAGTTGGGAATGTGGCGATATCTGATAATCTAATAAGTAATAAATGTACGTCATTTCAAACCTTATTTTTTTTGACGTCTTTTGTGAAAGTTTAATTGATATTTTAGATGATATTTAAACTGTAAATCACACGTGTGCGATTTAATCTTCTTCTAATTAAATTTAATTTTTACTGAAAAATAAGTTTCATAATGACTGTTTTGAAAATAATTTTAGCTAATGATAATATTATCTTTCCCTCCTACCCACCACACTTTTCTTAAAAAGTAAACTTAGTAAAAAGTTTTATTTAACAAATTTTATTATAATTACAAAGCGACAATTCTAAACTTGATTAGACCACATGTGAAAATTGTCGCTTCGTAATTATAATAAAATTTGTTAAATTACAAGTTTTACTTTTTTTTTAAGAATTAAAAATGTGGCAGGCAGGGTGAAGGAGATTTCATTAACCGTACCAGGATCATATAAAATGAAATCCATAGACAGGAAGGCTTAAAATTGAGTACCTGGTAAATCACCAATCGTCGTCTCTGATAAATTTTCAAATTATATCAATAATTACAAATTGACAGATCTTTGATACGAACAGATGATAGAATCTGCATCTCAAGACACATGTAGGTTGAACCTTACATGCACCTATGTTACCAGCATCGGTATATGACTGATATTTTATTATATATATACTGACATTTTTAGTTTAGTAATTCAAATCATTTTTACAAACCAAACAATCAACATGCAGGTTATATACACTGCGTAACTCCAGCATATTATGTGTAGTACTGTGCGTAGAGTGTGTATAATACTCAATCTAAGACAAAACCTATAACGAAAAATCTTGTTTTCAAATAACTTTCTCAAAATTGCATCAATTGAAATAAAACTTTCTTGAATAAAAGATGGTAATCTAAACATTTGATTTTACTATATGATACATCGGTATATCACTCGTGAAGATTATAAAGACGAAGAAACTCTTTTGGGGGAGCCCTGATTAGCCAACTTATTATATATAATAAAAAATATAAATAATGTGTTAAATGCGATCAGGTTTCATAGTTATTTCATGCCTACTCGCATGCGATCTGCCACCGCAACACTTGATACATTGGATAAAGGAGTTTTCTTACATCTTTGTGCGCATTCTAACTGCATCTGCTATATTGTGTCTATAAGAGTATAAAACGTATTCGAAATTATTCTTTAGTGCTAATAACGTCATAAATAAAAGATACAAAGCTCCATTATAATTGAACAAAAATATCGTAAACCGCACTGGAAAAATAAAACGACATTGAACGCTGATAAAATCATTGCCGTAATATGAGCCAACTTACAAAATCAAATACCACCATTGAACAAGTGTGATTTTTTTCTGATCGCAATACAGGGCAATTATATGTTATATTTCACAAGTGGCAGACGTTGCATCCCGCATCAGTGAGAAACCAAGGTTGACGCCGTAAAAACTCGTAATTTATGTGCGTAACGCTTTATTTGGAGTTAACATTTTCATGCTACTAAGTTTCCTAATAGAATTCTTCTGGTAATTGCTATTGAATCTAGCTTATTAAAGGTATATAATAGGATATAATGAAAAAGATGACAACTCGGGTACAGTAATTATTATTTCTGTAACTCCTGAAATGTACATGCAGATGTCATTGTAGATTTTACGCATGTTATTCATTTACAAAAATATTATCTCGATTTATTTTTAGTTACAAAAGTTGGTTGAATTTACTTGTCGCAGGAACATTTATGATATTTCTTTAATGACATACCCGTAAAGTACGCAAGGTTCGGCTGCCAAATTTTCAACCACTGAAAAATAGGAACGTTCATATTTATCCCATTAAAAAATAACAAATTAATAAATTCTTATGAAGAATTTTTCAATTCCGGTCGTCGATAAAGACATTCGAGTAATAACATATTTACAGCAGCAATCAAATTGATCAAATAATATTACGCAAGCCTATAAAGCTAATACTTCTACACACTTATAATAATATCAAAGATATCTACATAGAAAGCACGAACACTAGGCAACGCAGCTGTGGCGGCGCACACAAGAAATTGCTCTTCTCGCATAATGTTACGGTATTCAGTGTATTTTGTATGGCAGTTGTGTGCCGTCGGAGCCCGATGAAAAAGAAAACACAGATATATTGTATAAAAGTTTAGTGCAGACGCGTGACTAGTGTAGGTAATCCTGGTATTCCATTTTTTTAATCGTACTTTACTCTATATGCGCATATTTGGTTTGATTCCATAGCTAAAGTTTTACGCTTTGAAAGTATGCTGTCCTGAAATGAAAACAAAGTTGCCTTAAGATCGATTGTGTTCACAGATTACTATAACTTGAAATGCCTAGATAAGTTTTGAAAGTTGAACGATTTCATTGAAACGATTGTCGATTGGAATCTTGAAAAATTGGCGTGAATCGTTGTGGTTTCATCTTGATTTCTAATAGGTATTCTAATGGGTACGTAAAGACAAAAGCTTATTCCAGTTCTGTCACCATAAAAATTCACGCGCACTTGTAAAAACAAAATGAAAAAGAACGACTAGATTCGTGCCGCTATGCAGGCACGTACATCTAGCCCTTTGATTGCTGATTGTTTTGAGTAGCTTGCTTTTCTTATAAAACTGTAGTTACTTGGCACACATATTCTTTTTGAAGTTTCAAAGCTCGTGCAACGTCGCACTATTTGTTCTGTGCAGGAAAATCGCTCGCTACCATTGTCGAAATACGTATGACTCCATTTTAGAATTTCGACCGCTAGAACCGTGCAAATCATTCTATAACAAGTTTGTAGAAAATTCTACGAGCTGCAAATATTTCAAAATACAAAGACACGTTTTTACTGATAATTCTATGAACTAGAGATCGTTAATGCGAACTTGATTATATCATTTTGTAAACGTTATCGCCATCATCCAAGATGATCGCAGATATTTTTCAGAACTTACATCAACTTCAAGTTTAATCAACTTGGTAACCAGTAATGTTTGTAACGTCATCTTTCTTAGAAGTAGAACTGCGACTGGAAGAGTTCCATTTTTTACTTGAAGCATTTGTAATATAACGAATCTCTATCTATACAATCTACGTAGATTCGGAGAATATAATAAAAATTTAATCGTTTACGATTCAATCGGGCAGCATGTATTTGATCTGTTACTTAAAATTCGTTTTAAGAAAATGATTATCTTTATAAAATACTATTAAGTTTAGTTTTCTCATCAAATGCTGGTATCATAAAGATATAAATTTTACGGATGATTAGATTTATCACGGGTTATATTTCCCCCAAACCTTCGACTAGTATCAGCGCATTACGGCACCAACACTCTTATACACGAGGGTAGAGCAACACCTCTTTCACCGAGACAAACAATCGCAGTAGCGAGACGCAGCGCTCCCGATCGACACTTTTGGCGACGGAAGCGCAAGCCGTATGCCGAAACTTCGGGTAAACTTTTGGCTAGACCGTGAAATGTATTTGCCTGCCTCCAAATTGACGCCACGGGCGAGGATCCACCAGGACTGACCAAGAGCTACTTCGGATTCCAATTGCGATCGGACTACCAATCCGCACGACTAGCCTTATTTGCACGTAGACTGACGATTTTTTTGTGTCACTGCTCGAGCAAAAGCAAACCACGCGACGCTTTGATATATAACTTTACCCGGCACGAGTATTAGCCAGTGGCTATGATTACGATAAGTAAAGCCCGATCTCTCTCACCGTTTTTTAGAGCAATAATAAATCTACTTTTACCCGATATCCGCTTAGTTTATTTTATTCCCGTCCTCACGATTATCTCTATTGCGGAACGAATTAGATACTAATGATGCCCCAGCTCGAGACAGATTCTAAATACTATGAGAATCAGAAAAAAAGATGTCGATTCCAACCATTATGTACAAAAGAAATTTGAAACGGATTAAAATTGTTTAACACATACTAAAATCCAACATTTACTAATATGCCTCAAACTTAACGGCTTAATAATTGCCATTAGCGTGAAAAGAAAATAATAAGCAACGTAAAATTGTAAAATCTTTGTTACAGCTGTTTTTCTGTGCTTCCTTAACTATAAAAATTTAAATACTAATTGTTATAATTTTCAGATCTATCTACTTTCCATCGCATCTTAAAACTAATTGTCCTATTCTCAATGGCGCTCTACATACAAAGAGAAATACAAAGTTTACTAATCATGAACCACCGCACACGAGATTTTCCGTACTGTCCGTAACGCTACCAAAGTTTTATCAAACAGTGACGGTTGTTGGCGCATGTTTGGCGAATTCAATAGCTTGCTGAAGCGTTGGTTGGCGATCTTCGCGATATTTTTCGAGAATTCGCATAGTATCCTCGTAAAGCACCTCACGGCTGTAATTCGAGAAAAGGAAATCCAGATGACTGAAACGCGAGTGCGTCACTTCGCGGCCCTCGGCATTCGGCAGCCTTGCCAGTAACGCTAGCACGTCCTGAAAAAAATCATAATCTGAGTTAAATTGTTTGATCATCAGGATATAATATATTAAAAAGCATGTATGTGTATATTTTCAATGCGTTCAGTACACAGATTTAATCACATGTTAAGTGAATGTTAAAAGCCAAATTTAAAGTTATTCTACTATTAGTCAATACTCGATGGAATGGAAAATTTCGAACAAAATTGACGTTTCAAACTCCGTTAACAGTTGGCGTACACATCAGATACAACAAGACTTATCACGTTCTAACAAGACTACGTTATTTTAAGTTGAAATATTTCTTTTTGCGGCACATATTACGAATGTTTTTTTGTGACGATTTATAAAACAATAACAAAAATTACATATGTACGTAAAAATGAGAAAAGAAACTTGTCACCTAATTTTAAGTAACAATATATTAATTAGTTTGAATTTGGCTAAGAAGAAACCGGTTTTTCATACCTCTTTTGTCGTATAAGCATCGTTCATGCCATAATAAAGAACGACGGGAACCGTTATCCTTTCCAAAGGATATTCGGGAGGTGTTACATTTTTGTACCGGAGGTAATTTTCATCTGATCCGAAATCATACTGTCGGAATTTTCCTACAAGTTAAACACACTTCATCAATTGAAAATGGGGAAATATTTTATACAAAATATTCTAATAATTATGGCTATTAAAAGTATCAAATAAATACTCTTTTGAGAACACTGATTTTAAAATGGCTACGCGTAATAAAAACTCTTCAACACGTTTTGTTGCCCGTAAAAATATAAATTTGAATTTAAATACAGGCTTTCAGAAAGACGAAAGTCGATGCCATAATAGATCACAAAAACAAAATATGAAACTTATTTATATTACATAAAGATAATATTTAAATTAATAATATACTACTCACCACTAATCATAATTTGCCTATAATGTAAAAGAGTTTCAAGTGAAGATCCTTGAGGATAATGATTTAATACTTTAGGCATCATGTCCTGTAGATAAAATAATTGCCAATTATTTATATTATCTTTCGTGCTATAAATATATTTGAATATCTCAAATACACTGTACTTACAACATCAATTGCATCAAACTGACTATATTTTAGTAATCCAGCAATGTTCATGATTAATTTTTGGCATAATAACTCAATACGTGGTGTTTGACAGAACGCCGTATATATTCCTACCAAATTTGGATTGCGAGGAAATACTTCGTAGACTCCAAGTGATCTAAATGTTTTCTGCAAAATATAAATTGTTGTTACGAAAATAGTGAATTAATATTCAACATCGAAAGATGAAAACTAATAGGGAAAACAGTATTCTTAGATAACTGCTTCAGCAATATTTTTAGACAGTGAAAATGCAAAATTTCAAATTTCAATAATTTTCAAATTAAATTTTGCAAACTAATTTACATATTAAACACTGATAATTAATGGTTAAGTTCTTAGTATGTAAATATATGAACTATTTCACGTCGGTTATGACCGATTTTTATCATCACAGGTACAATTTACGCAATTGCACTCATGTATAATTCAAAATAACTAAAATAAAAAGAAATAAAGAAAACTATAACCCGAATTTGAGGAACGTAACCCACTTGTTTGCCGTGATCTCAAAAAAAAAGAAAGAAAAGAAGAACAAGTTGTCGTACCTGCAATTGTTTGCCATATCTGACAGCAATGGTACTAGCTGGCCCTGGCAGTAGGTGAGTGAAAATAGCAATAGGCGCATAAGAGATAATAGCGTTGACCTTGGCATTGTATTCCGGACGTAACGAGAGCAATACGAGAGTGCATGTGGTTCCCATCGAGTGACCAATAATTGACACTCGCTCCTGGCCCGTCATCTTTAAAATATGATCGATTGCGGTTGCTGTGTCATACACTCCCGACTCGTGCCAGCTGTCAAATCAAAACATACTTAGCATGCTTTTTATTTCTCTGACTTGGCGACTTTATTGCCTTGACGGCTATGCTTTATTCTCTTTTGTGAAATAGTTTCGAATGGTCGTGATTAATTGTGAAAACGACCAACGCATATCATTTCGTTCCAGTAATTTTTTAAATGTTTTTTTATTTTTATTAACTAAATAATGCTCTTAATATTTCAATCAAATTTTAGTAACAATGACTCATTAAATATTGCTATAAAAATCTGTTTCCGAAATTTGTTTATATGACCAGTACGATTATCAAATAATTTTTTCTTTAAAGTAAAAACACTAAATAGTCGTACTTGATTGTTAAAAGTACTACATTTACATAAGTAATAGAAGCAACAGGTAGTATTATAAATTGAAACGGCAATATGAACATTGAAAAAGTAGTTCCACGTATATTCTCTTGCAATCACTCGCTGTGTAGGCATACGCTATATGCGGCATTGGCGCTTACTATTAAGTAAATATTAATTAAAAGATTAAAAATAATGATGTTACAAAACCGATAAATCCGTGCGTTACGAACGGCGCAACGATCTGTCGTAATTTACAACGGCAGGTTTGTGACAAATGACAATATTTCTTCTATGGAAATTGATATCGAAGCAAGTGCTTATTCTGTCGGTGATTGCGCGGCATCGACAATCTATTATATTACAGCCGTTCTATTCGTAATGACAATTGAAATGGTTACCTAAACCTCCAAAACTTTTCTTCTTTTGGCTGCATCCTTTTATGTCGCCGGGCGTAAAAATTTCCCCGAGTGTTGAGCAGCCAAACGTCGTATCCAACATCTACCATCATGTAAGCTTAAACAATGTACCGAAGGCAAGAATGAAGATAAGTAAAGGGATGTAAGAGGGATTTTATGGAATTCGGAGAATTTCGAGATACCAAGATCTTTTTCAGGCCCCCTAAGTACCCATACATCGGACGCAGCGAGCAAGCCATGGATAAAGAGTACCGTGGGTTTATTTAGACTGGCCGGTGACTTCGGACTGCCCGGTATTCGATGGACTGTCAATATGTAGCCGTCATCTGTCGTTACATCGTGCTCCTCAGCATAATAGCCCGTTGATCTCACGAGATCAACCTGTAAATGACCTTTTTTTCCATTGAATACTTCTTATGTAAAATGGCGAATATATATCGTTAAGAACCCAGAGTTGTAGAATGAAAAAACAAGACTATTCCATTAATAATTGAAAAATAGAACGACGACACTGTTAAATAGATATCCGCGATGTTTCCTCTTTGAAAGTATAACATCATCATTGGCATAGATTATCAATTCAATAACTTCCGCACTATTTGTATAATTAGCAGAACAACAAGAATGATTGACTATGGTTTTTATGTGAGTCATCAGTGGTATTTACCAGTCATAGGACGGATCAATTACGAAACATTCTTTTTATGCAAATCAACAAATATAATATCGACTATTATTCAGGAAGAATCATTAGTTGTGGAATATTGCCGTTCTTTGACTTGGTGAAAAGAAAAAAATATACATAACGACTTTCCAGCATTCTATAATAATAGTCATCGATCATTGAGTTGAAAAAAGTTTCTACTTTATATTGTACGATTTCCGTCGAATAGAAAAAGACATTAATCATTAAGTGCAAGCGCGGAAGTTTATTTACAATGGCAACCATCAGTTCGCGTGGTAAAATGTGCTGGAAACGAAAACACGCGGGCGAATGACACTTCTTAGAAATCTCATAGGCAATATACGCAAATTAGATAACGCAGCTCATATCTGAGAGCTGCAGCCAGTTTGTTTGTGCCTCGCATTACTTTCAATTTCACAACGGTTGTAACCTAATTTTAATTGCTCCACGTCGAGTGTGTTTTTCATAGTTGCATCGTGAAACCGTTCACGCGACGACAAGTTCGCCCAAAACTTTTCCAATTGCCGTTTGTCGCGCGCGCGTATGAAGACGCAGTCGAAAGTGAGTTTGGCGCTGAGTTGGTTCCGGAATTCCACTCTCGGCGTGCGTCAAACGCTCCTCCTCTTAATTTATTAGCGAAAAAGGAAGACTGAAAAAATACTTTTCATTTTTTTTTTCTTCTGGACGCCTGGGATGCGACGCGATATTTGGTATTTTCACTCTTAGCTCGGTCTTCGTCTCATCGCATTTCACTTTCGCTAGGAACTGTACGAAGTCGAAAGTTGGAGTTCCACTTTTAAAAGTTGTGTATTTTTGAAAACATTAGCTTCCAAAGTGATAGTTCTGCTAGCGGTACGGTATTGTACATACCAATATGCGCGAAATTTCTTACTTCGTGCAGTTTGACATTGCGTAAGAGCAGCCGAGTAATAGGACAGCTCTTTTTTTTCGAGAGTGTCCATGCGTGCTGTTACAACATTGCAGTCCTATCAATCTTAGAAAAAAATTGTCATCTGCATACGAGTTCGTTTTCAAAGTTCAAGAGTTGTTGTGCTCGGAACACGTGTGTCGTGAGAATAACGTTGCATTTCACAATTCCATGTACAGCGAGCAAAAATGAACGAGATATACTACTAAAAAAAACACAATATTACGCTATTTATCATTCCATTTCATTTGAACTATAGATAACAATGCAATGACAATAAAGAAGAGTGAGTGACAAGTTGGAATAAATCCCAGTGAGAAATGTATTAAACATCGAGGCGATATCCGTTAGTGTAACACATCTATGTCAACAAGTTAAAATCAAGAAAAGTTCGAATATTTACCGTTTTTACTAGACCTAATGTAAATTTTTAGATTAAAAGTCGATGCTTATAACGGTGCCGCAGTGTTTTGCAGATTCTTCAAAAGCACGCGAGCGCTTGCATGAAATCCGTGCTGGTATTTTGCCTTTTTTGTATTTCTTTTTCACTGCGTCGTTTGCTTGATTGGCCAAAGTGTTACACACATGAATCGCTTGACTCACGCTCACTTGATCTCTTATATTATTCATATGCGATACATGCGTCAACGAGAGTGGTGAAACTTTTCTCCCGCTGAATACAACCTTTTGTTTGATCGCTCCAACTTTCGATTGGCATTGTGCGGTGAGCTTTCAATGTATTCGAACTTTCGTCAAGCATCTTTTTCCATGAAGGTTGTAGTCATTAAAAAATTATCAAATTTCAGTTAATAAGCAGTGGTACTTTATTTTTACTTTCTGATAACTAACACCGAGGAGATTTCTTTCAATAATTTTTGTCGATAAAAATTTGACTAAACTATCACATAAAACATCACACTTGAAATTCTTTAAAATTTACCGCAATTATAAAAAAAAATTAATTTAATGGTACAATCAAGATGGAAGAACCCATAAAGAGAAAAAAAGAAGTACAATAGCAGCGAAAAACTCACGAAAGTTTCAACGTTTTCTTGACTCTGGATAGCCTCTTGAACTTCGATCAATTGTCTCGAAAAATTCTGTTGATCCCTTCTGTTAGAGAAACCACCCGTGTCACTATCCGCTCTAGGTCTACGAGCATTAACACCAACAGTAGCTACAGAAAGTAGCAGTAATAACACAGTGAATCGCATCTCTTCCCCCAGTTATACGAAAAATAATTAAAAAATGAACTCGAGCGTAGAGTCGAGCGGCTGCAGGCGTACTACTAAAAATTACTTCCCGGTGTCCGACGAATCTGTTCTGCGTCTGGTGGCGGTGGCGGCGCGGCGCTTTACAACGGCTCTCCTTCCCATAGCCGCTGCAGTAGAAAACTTGTTGTCGTCACATCGCCTCGACTCGCTCGGGGTCCTTCATTTATGTATATCAGAGTGCACAAGGCGTTCCGATTTGAAACTCGACTGAAAACAAAATGCGCAGCTCGCTGATCGAACACACAGGATGTGCACTCGGGCCAATGCACCCGAGACAATGCACTATGCCGTTTGCTCCGATTTCCACAGTAGGCTTCTCTGCCTCTTCTTTTAATTTTTTTGTTTTTCTGCTCTCGCTGCCAACGTAATATGATTATCGTTGCTTTGTGTCCCGGCCGGTTCCTTTCCGTTTTTCGATCGAAGCACGAATTTGGCTAGTTGTTCACTTTACCATGATCTATTGAATTTGAATAAAAGGAGCTTGAAATTCAGCGCGACGTAGCACGCAACAGTCACGCGAGTGTAGTCGTTCTAAGCTGCCATAACTTTCTCTGCTGAGTCGCCGGTCGGTCGGTGAAGGCATGAATTATAATACCTATAGATAATCACGCCTCGGATCATATTATTCCAATGTGAATCCGAGGTGTCGAGGCGTTTTCGAACGTAGTTGCGACATTTCGGCGAAAAAAATCAATAAAATCCTCCACTGTCGCCTCTCTCGTGAATGTCGCAATTGCGTATCGAGAGTCTGAATGAAATCTGTTTGTGGCACGTGTAGTGCGTCAGTTTCATTCATCGGTCTCTCCGCTGCCGTCGCTGCCGACAGCTTCAGCTGAGAATCCGGGTCGGGATCGTCGAATTGGGCTAACGGTGCGGCATTCCTCCGCACGGATTTTTCGCGCTTCACTATCACCTTTGTAGTGTCATCCGAACAAACTCCGGCAAGATTCACTTTTGTCCGAGGCCTTGATTTCTTTATACGAAGCCTTTGGCGGGCAAATTTGAAAGCATGTCCACGCACTTGCGCAAAAGCGAGACGCGCACACTATCGAACGAAGGTCAATGTCGTACTGTGCGAAAATTGGACTGCGCGGCGTGCGCCTCTATACGAAGGAGTCGAGGTGCTGCTGCTGCTGTTGACCGACTATAGCAAGCGCCAGTAGGAAGAAAGAGAGAAAGAAAGAAAGAGACCTTAAAGTTAGCGGTCCGTCGCTACTTGGTGTGTGCCCCTCCCTCGCTGCTCCACCACCTCCTTATCTTTGTCCGGATCGCATTTGCGTAATTCCTTTTTGGACCGTCGCAGCACAATGCCCTGCTACAATTGCTCCTTCTACCTGTGAAGGGTGATGAGCACCATTTGGTAAACAGCTCACGTGCTGTATCAACGACCCGACACTGACCGGCCTTCAATTTTTGCGACTTTTCATCACAGACCGCAGTACATTTTTCTTTTCTTGAATATCTGATTTACACGTCCGTTAACTATATTTTTAGAAGTAAGGATTTAGAAGTAAGAACGTTCTGGAAAAAATCTGATTTCATGGCGTTTGTGGGAAACAGTGTTTTGTAATTGTTGACTACTGATATCAACAGCATGATAAATTAAGCCTATCATTCGCGAAATATTCCATAGGTTAAGGTAACTTAATGTTATAAGATGTGTCTATACTTTTTTAGTTGACCAGTTCTACATGCGAAAATTACACGACCAACGAAGGCTGATCGTAAATGTCAAGGTTGGAAATATGCTAATGATTGTTTCCTTGCGGTGGCAAAACTAACTAAAAATTCGCATTTAAACGCTGACTTCGTTACCGAATCGGAATACGTAATCTGTGTACGAGAACTCCATTCATTCCTTGAAGTAACATACTTTATACAGAATTCAAATTCCATTTGTAGATTCACTATTGTTCAAAGCATTTTCTTTGTGAAATTCTTTTAGACAAATCGTGAAAACTGAAATTTTAGGATAATAATATAACTTTGTTATAAACATTCATTTGTAGAACGTTTTGTTTGATACACAAATATTTTATTTCCATGTCCCAAATGTAAAAACAAAAAGCAGAAATATAACCGTATGTAATAATATTTTTAAAGAAATAATTCTTATTATGTGCACATTAAATTAATAAATATTTTCATCGTATACATAAAAACTCAATACATGTTTTATTATTGTTCTCGAATTAAATTGTAAACTTCAAAGTATTTGAGAGAGTCGTCAATTCGAAAATGGCAATAAAAATAGTCCTATTAATACGCCCATAGGGAAAAAAATCTATTTATACAAGGCTTCTAGGAATATGAGGTTAAGGGCATACATACCGAAATAAAAAAGAGCTTATTTTTGATAAATCGGTCAACATGTCAGGTAAGACGTTTCAAATATTACCTTGGAAATCCGTGCGTGTCTCGTAAAATATTTGATTTTTTGAAAAAAAATTCACGCTACAGTAATTAAGATTATATTTTGAGATTATAAATGTTCGTTTCATTTATATTACAATTGAAATGCGGATGCCTGTGAATTGTTTTAACTTTACACTTGTATATGCCCAGCTGCTAAAGCAATACATCAAACGTAAATTTACCTTATTATTTTTTTGCCTTTTTTGAAATAATGCAATCTTGTGCTATAAAATTTTTTTCATTTAGCCAATCGATTGATCAATTTACTAACAACATATTGTAGAATATTATATATATTATTAAATTTGACACTTGCAATGAACATTTTTGTGCATGTCCGATAAAAATTAATATACATTTTACTAATCAGTTTGCGATTAACATTCTTTTGATCATTTGTATTTGATAATTTTTAGCCTCCGGTAGATTACTTTATTTCGATGTAACAAATATTTTTAAAATAATTTGAAGATTCGTTTTGAAGTTTATAAAGTAGAGACGAAGGTGATCGCGTTCAAAAAATTAGACGTGCGAACAATTGTGCACGATTTTGTTGTACGTACAATTGTCCGCACGTTAAAAATGATTAGAAAACATCAATTTTTTTCCTGTGGATCTGTAATTGTACCGTTCAGTTTCAATTACTATACAAATAAGACTATGCTTCAGTTTCAATACATTAGTTCATGAAATCTAGTGTATTAACAAATAGTATTGTGAATTAAATTAAAAATGTAAATAAGAATATTAAAACAAGTATGTTGTTAAGAATTACAAAGTAAAAACTTGATGAGGACTAATACATACAAAAATTTCAATACAATCAGTAAGATAGTATATCTTACAATGATGCATCTGATAATTCGGGTATCATTCAATACAAAGGTTGAAGATATAAATAACGACAAAGACAAATCCGACTTCTGAATTCTGAACAAGGTTGAGGGCAGATCGAGTCATTAACCGTTTGATTTAAAACAGTATAGCATTGTATTTTATTGTATTTTTATTTCGAGAATTAATGCGACTTCAGAGTAGCTATTTTGTGAAATTATAAGTTAAAACCTCATTTTCAGAGTTTAAATTGCTATTTCCTTTTTCAATTGTTTCTTTTAATTTTAGTAATATGGCTTTTAACTTTCAAGTGAAATGAAACTAAATTCAAATTTAAAATTAGTCATCGGATAAACCATTTTTTAAATAAAAAATTTTTAATTTATGCAATTGGAATAGTTTTTCCCCAGCATAACATTTTTTAGCAAATCATGTAATTTGAATCGAAACTTCTATTCGTGAAGAAAAACATTCCAAGCGTTTAAATTTAAAAAATGTTATAGGGGACGTAGATAAAAGCAATCATGCAAGTCAATATTCATGTTTAGAAAAACACACGTCTGTTTTAAAAGTACAATTATAACAAACAGTCTGTAACGACGAGATCGATTACTTGATTACATATCTAGCATCACACAAAAGTTGCCATCTGTTTTTTTTTCATTCTGTCAACTTTTTTTTATTTATTATGGTATTATATTATTTTTAGTCCAATGGTCATAGAAAAAAAAATTAGTATATTTTAAAATAAATTGCTTAAAAACAAATTAAACCATACAGAGCTTGACACATGCAACTAAATTAGGGTTCCTGATTAAAAATTTATAGATTTAGTGACATGGTTTGAATTTAGACTATTCAACGTTACACTTAACATTATAGTCGATATAATATAGTTTACTGATTGTCTATTACCGTCGAAATTGGTATCACTATGGCTTTATTAGCTGTGATATATAACCCAGTATCTACTAATGCATATTAAATATTGCTCTGACAAAATATTTTATTGAAATAGTTCCAATATTGTATGTATATATGTGTGTGGGTGCGCGCGCGCATTTGTGGGTGTATTGCTTTTCTACTCTTTTGTTGAAATACCGTTCATTACCTGCAAAAATGTAATTCAGCATCACGCGAGAAACGGTAAAACATAACAAAAAAATATTGGAAATATTATATGTAATACGTTTTGTATACATTAGCATCTACTTTAAAATAAATTGTAACTGTATAATTATCTGTTGATTTTTGTATATGAGATTGATAGAATGAGGAAACGAGTCAAGCCATGCTTGTATACGTATATCATGAAATTTGAGGACTGATGTACCAAAATGTTACATCAAAACGAGTCAAACGTCCTCACTTTTTATTCACTGCTTTTTTCTAGTCGTCCTTAACAAAAAGAACTTCGATACGTAGATATTAGATAAAAACTATGACTGTAGAATAATATTCATAATATAAATTACTATCATTATACCTGCAAAGTAAAGTAGTTAACAATATAATACGTGAAATTTCCTCATGTGTTTTAAAATATTAAAAACTCAATATAATCAATTTGAATTACATTTATACGGTCTTTAATAAAGCTTGAATAGTCATCTTGAAAATAAATTATTTTTTCAAACGCTGAGTAAGTAGTTCTAGTATCTGATTATAGACATCTCTTCGAGCATATCGATGCCATAAATAATCTAAGTGGTTATAATGACCAAGTGTTTTTTTAAAAGCGACTACATTTTTTAATTTACCTCTTAATGTGTCTGTATCCTAAAATAGAAATTTAATATTGCTTAATAAAATCTTCCATATTATTATACATTTAAAAAATTCTACCTTGATGTTAGCATAGACGTCATCCCCAGAGTAAAACAATGCTTGAGGTGCAATTACTTTAGTTAAATTGTATTCTGGTGGGACTGGTCTACCATATTTAATTTTATTGATATTCGTACCAAAGTCAAAATATCTGAATTTACCTATGAAGAAAATGAAATGTTATATATAAATTAAATATTTTATATAACCATAGATAAGTTGTAAATTTGTCAAAAAATGAGGCGCTCTTCTGAAGATGGTATAACAATGAATCTTACCAGAACGCATTAGTTGAAAATAATGTTCTACTGTATTGACTGACGTGCCAGCTGGCATATGAGCAAGAATTGTTGGAATCGCTTTCTGTAAATGTATATTTTTAATAAATTAATGATTGTTATACCTTCATATCTAATGCCGATTAACAACTTTACCGTGTCTAAATAGTTTGTATCAACCAATGTATTCAAGAAACGATCACATAATGTTTTTCCTAATTCATCAGTACAAACGTCTTTTCCGAAAACTTGGATAAACTGACTGCGGGAGCATTTGATAATTCTTTGAACTGATAAAGATTGACTAAAAAAGAAAAAAGTTAACATATCGTTTGAATATACAACATATTTGTAAAAAATACAATAAACAAATCGATAAATAACTTTATACGAGTAAATAAAATTCTAATAATCAAATGACCTTTATAACTGGTTGTAACAACAAAAGTCCATTAAGAACACCACTGAAGGGAGGTGTAAATATGGCCACTGGAGCGATGTTCACAACTAAATTCATTTTATAATTATATTTTGGCTTCGTTGATAGAAGAATGAAAACAATCGTCGTTCCCATTGAATATCCTATGTACGATAGCTTTTTCTTATTTGTTTTTTGCAAAACAGTGTCTATGAACAGAGGCAAATCTATTAAAGCCATCTCATCCATACTAAAATAATTTGTTTAAGTTACCATTAGTTAAAATACGTAAGGAACAAAATTCTTTATATGTAATTCTAAGTAATTAGATGTTTTTATTGTGAATCATTACCTGAAATTCCAAAACTCAAAGCTATCAGATTTCGTTGAATAATATTTATGTCTTTTAGAGTAGGTATTACCTCTGAAATTACCGATCCAGACATCATAACCAGCATCCGCTAATTGAAAAGCTGAAACCGTTTGATTGATTATAAATTTAAAATAATAAAACTTTCCAAAACATTTAGTGTGGAATAAATGTGATTTGATTTCCAAATACCTAGTGCATGTTTTGATCCCATGACAACGTATAAATCTGAAGAGCCAAAAAGAGAGTGAGCCATAAATACTACTGGTTTTCCAAGTTTTGCAGGACTAGAAGGACTACCGCTTATTCGATGTAATTTCAATATATAGCCATCTTTCGTCGTAACATCATACTCTTCAGCAGTGTATCCAGGGAATTGTTGAACTAGTCCTATCTATAATATAAAATATTTACCGCGTTTCAAGCTATTTTTGCATAAGACTCTTTCGTGCGTCCTTCAAAGTAGAAAAATTCCTACTATTTGATATGGGTTTGTGATGTTGTAATCAATATTATTTCCCTTGCATAAAACGTTTTAACAAATTATAAGTAGATAACTAACTATTTTACTTACGAAATCAAGTACAACAAATTCTTTCCATCGCCGGTCACGTTCTTGAGGTGTCCTAACTCTAGTAATATTTGTATCTATGCTATCAATAAATTCTTCTATAAATTGACCTGTCGCAATAGTTACTTGTGAATAAACATTCAAACAAATACAAATTATTAAGAATTTTATCATATTCAAAATATGATTCCACGTAAGTAAAGTTTGAAGAGTAAAAAACAATGTTTGCTGATGAAAGCAAAATAACACTATTCATCCTTGATATTACTTCATAAGTATTATCATTGATTAAATAATTGGCTAATATTTCAAGAACCATATTTTAAGAACAATGAAACATCTGTTAAGATATTTTATGTCTTGGTGATCTAAAACTTTTATTTGCCCATTTTAGATAACAAGAGAATGAGTATCATTTTTCATTACATTAATCATAAATAAAAGAATGTTCCATAGGACAGACTACAGGTCAAATAATGTATTATTACATAAACTATGGAATATCTGGAAATTATTTTATAAACCTAATATTACTTTTTTTAAATCAGTATATTTTATATTAAAATCTATTATGTTCAGAAATAAAAATTAAATTTTATAGAATGTATAATTGAATAAGTACTGTATATAAAAAATTTGATGATAGTATATTGATAATAAATTTATGTACGTCATATTCATAATCATTCGTAAATTCTGACTCATGAATTACATCTATTTAATAACTACGCAGCATGTAGTAAAGTAAATAGTAGCACAGATCACTTTTCTACTTTTCACAGTCATAAATCAAAGGAACCTAATAAGCTTCTTAAGCTTCTTACTCGGTCAACTTTCCGCTTTTGCTTTTTTTTGCCTGACTTTTTATTTCTTTTGATTATTAAAAAATGTTTCTCAGCCAAAATTATACCTCGTAGCTTACATGAAATAGTAGCGGTGGTAACAATGTAAAATTCTTCATTGTGCCTACATAAAACATTGCCAAACTATTATTAGACTTTTTGAACTTCGAATGTTTCTATACGTGTTATTATACTTATTCTTTTTTAAACAGCCAAATTAGAAAAATCCGCAAGCTCATATCGGAAAAATCTTGTTTCGAAAAGTAAATGACAAAAATAAGATGGTGAATATCGGGGTACCAGGTTGTGTACATAAAAGTTCATTGAAAAATATACCGTATGTCGATGCTTAGCGTTTCTTTTTTCGTAATATTCATTCTTATCAAGAACTCGATAATCAGATACTCGATCAAGAACTCATTTTTTTCAAATTTGATCTAAATATGAAAGCAAAGTAAATAAAGTGTTAGAGTTCATCTTTATTTTTTATATTCAATTCTTTTTTAACGCCTTCAGATATATTACCTCAGATATACTCGCAACGCTAAGTGGTTATCTAACATAAGGCGCGGAAGATATGAGAGAGAAAAAATATAATAAATCAATAAAAATGCCATAAAAGCATATAAATTAGCCAATAAAAATGTCAATTGTTTTCGAGAAAGTAAGTTAATAAAGTAAGTTATCAATAACCATTACAACATAAAACCTACTAAGGATGAATAGGCAAAGCACGGTATTTAAAAAGAGTTTGCAAAACCTTTACTAAAAAGTACTTCGCTCAAATATTTAAAACCGAAAATGGTTCTGTTTTTATTGCCATTCAAAAATTGCTTCGGTATAGAAAAATTGCCGGACTAATTGAGTATCCAAAAAAACAATGGATTGCTTACGTTCAAAAGGATAAAGAGGTATGTTAGTATCTCATTTAATGTATCTGACACACATTTTACTATGTATAACGTTTATGTGAATAAATCTTGTAGAAAAGTAATTTAGCAAAATCAATGTTAAATACGAGTGACTGAAATAATCCTGATATTATTTGTTACATAAAAATTAATGCTTCACAGAAAAAATCATGTTAATATCAAATGTCGCCCCCTCGTATCCTGTCAAAAACCATATTTTTCTATTTAAATCTTTCGACCACTTATTACCTATTATTATTATCGAATACTAACTAAGAAACGAACAAAATTAATACGAATCGATTAGAAGGGATCTTAATATATAATCCATGATTAAGCTGCGAGTTAGCGATCATTAATGGAAACATTTCATAAAGTTGCATACTTTTTACCAGTTAAGTAGAAGTTAAGTAGTAGTTAAGTTTAAATAGAAGTAAAACATGTTCACCATTTTTATTAACTGTACATCATCAAATAATTTTAGAGTGAATCATCAAATAATTTTATGCGAACCTATTACCGGTATCATGCTAGTCATTAGCTCGACGTGTCAAAAGTCGCTGACGGAAAAGTCGAGAATTTTAAATCGATAATCTTGAATGTGCACAATAAAAGCATCAGAGCAATAAGAATATAGAGACAGTGGCGATAAACTGTATTTTAGCTCGAATTTGCAATCGACGAACGACGAACTTGCATTACACTGTCATGTGAAGTTGTTCAGTAGAAGCTTGTATCGTCTTCTTAATGCAATATTTGTATCGGGATAACTCACCAACATTCTTCTTCATCAATAAAAAATCAAAACTACTAGAACTTTAAGTTTAAATAAGTACATTTTAATTATAGGTAGCTAATTCAAAACTAATTTTCATGACACGTAATCACTTGAAACATTATTCAATTTTATTTTCCGTATGAAATGTATAAATAAATCACATATATAGCCTACTGTACAACAGAAACAGCAACACTAACGAGTGTCCTCTTTTTACAAAAGCAAAATATCACTGAACTATTTACACTCATAAAGTCTTTTCATTCTTATTGGATTATTACTTATGTACTATTTTTATGTTTTAGCGTACTACTTATGATTGCCATCAATCGATCGAGTAATAAAGTCTTCAAATGATTTCCAAATATAAAATCAAAGTGGGTAAAATTATCATCTGACACAGCTTCACAAGTAATAACGTTTGGTAGCTTTTCCGCTAATTCTAATGGATCCTGTAAGACATTAAGTAACCATCTAAAACTTTTTGCTATGAAAATTGAAAATAAAATTAAGATCTCGTACCCCGTTTGCGACTATATTGTCTCCTTTGCCGTAAAATAGAGCCACAGGTGCTACGATATTACTTAAATTATAAAGTGGCGGTCTTTGCGATCCATAGACCATAAAGTTATTGATATATCCACCGTCATACATTTGAAATTGTCCTGTAACTCAAGTAAAACATAAAATATGACGTACGAAAGATTCACTTATAAAGATAATTATGATACTTATAATATTGATAATAATGCTTATTAATCAAACGCTTGCTATCACTGACAAACTTATGAGATTGAATAGTTGCCTAGTATAAGGCGATAAGTTAAGACTGGATTTCAGTAGAAGTAAATAAAAAATCCACGACTGAATAAGAATATAAATTTCATATTTTTTATCCGCTTGAAAATCATTTTTTCCAAAATTATAAAATTATTATCGTCGTTAGTGCTGTTATGGTATGACTATATGTACTATAGCTAACATTACGTATATAAATAATCATAGAGATTCAGTTTATTTGATAATTGTTATCGTTAATCTACCTGTCTGCATATTTTGACTGAAGTGGATAAGAGTTCTTGTCGATGCACCAGCCGGATAATATGACAATATATAAGGAACTAAAGTCTGAAATACAAACCCAGGTACATTAAAATATCATGTTTACTTATTTATTAATAAAATATACAAAATCTCGCCTTGTTTAATCCATTTGGATTATAGCCTGACATGAAGAAAAGAAGGTCCAAACAAAATGGTTGTAGGGGACTTTCATCCGTACAACTCGCCTTGGCGATTCGTGGATTAGCCTTCGTCAGTGGAAAAATTTCGTGGATTCGTGCTCTCAAGACGAAAGTCTGAAGATGGAAAGCATTTATTACGCGTAGTTCGTTTCAGTGACTTTTTTGAAATATAATCGCAAACGAATATACACATAATTTGTATGCAATCGAAATGATTTTACGTTTTGTTTTCATTGAAAGCGAAAACTGAATGAGTTTGCCTATTCGTCACACATGCATATTTATTTATGTATATTGATATTTGTATAGAAAAAACATATACGTCACTTTGATCATCTGTGTATTATCGATAAGCGTCCTGATAAATGGGCTGGGACGGTCATGCCAAAATGCAACCGGTGCCAGACTGATAACAAGTTCAATACGCTTGTTATATTCCGGCTTCATGGATAATAGTACGTAACTCATAGTTGTACCCATTGAATGGCCAATGTAAATTAGTCTCTGTCTGCCAGTTTCCGCCAAGATGTAGTCTATTATCATGCTCACATCGTACATCGCCATCTCGTGCCAGCTGTCAATTACGGCAAATGTATTTGTGCCATTTCCAAGTAAACATTTGGTAATAATCTGAATTGTATATGCAATGATAGCTTAATATTTGTTGTCGTAAATCATTGCATATAATTCTGTTGGTAATTGTAATGATCTAGTTCATGATAGGTAAAAACTATACGAAAATAAGTATTAAAAAATTGTACATTGTTCGAATGATATTTCCGTAGATGATATCTACAATGGAAAAATTGGTAGACCGATAAAAATTAAATGGCAATAGGCAAAAACTCTGACGACGTTTCTTGTTAATCTAAAGAAATTTCCGCTAAGTGCTTGAACTCTTGTCCAAGCGTGATTATTGATTGCTTAAACAAAATTAACAAAGCTAGAATCATTGATGCACATCGTTAGACGTAAAAATGAGTCTGCTTAAAAAAATCTTGAGTTTGCATTGGTTTTTTTTTTGCAGCTAAACGTTAATCGGTAAATAAACACAGCGATTCCGTCATCGTGCACACACACACGACACGTAAACAGACTGCCTGCGAATTCATTTATGCGCGGTTAACTTTGCGACGATCGATAAACTTCCTTTTTTTGTTACTTGACATGCAGCTGATCACCTGAATTCCCAAAACTGAGCATCGTAATCCGGCGACAGTAAGACGTGCGAGCGTGAATAGGTGTTGCCGCGTATATTGCCAAACCACACGTCATATCCTGCGTCGGCCAGGATGTATGCTGTAAATCATATATTTTTTCATTAAATTTTAAGAGTTTGTCGTAGTGTGTTAAAAATTATTAATTTTCGAAGGACAGAGAAGCCGTAAGATGCAAAAAATGATTGAAAGTATGAATAAGTTTGAAGCACACACGACATTTTTTTGCCAAACAATATGAAAGAAAATTACTTATTTATTGGCGATTAAAAAAAAAACAATATTATTTTCATGACTAACTAAAAATATCCGCTAGAATAAAACAGATAAGAACGTATGCGCATTTTCAGAATTAACGATATTATAAAATCCTTTTGCTACAAAACATTATAATTAAAATACTGTAAACGTCGGTTACAATATAGTAATGTTTAGTAACTGATTACTTTGAATACTTTTACAGCTATTCTAACGATGTTAAACTAGTGCATTTCCATGAAAATTTTATTGTACCTGTTTTATTTTCATTTTTCAAAGGCATAGGCAGCAAGATATATAAAAAAATGGTAAGAAAAATGTGCATGGAAAATTCCATCCAAAAAGCATAGAATCATATTTTTTCTCTTCGTGTAATCACTTTTTAAACAAAATTCACGAAATAAGAGAAATAAAAGTCAATTTGAGTTCTATTTTCAATGTGACACAATGATGCTCATAATCATTTTTGAAAGCAGTGCAACTATATTTATAGAAACCATATTTTCATAATAGAACTAACACAACTACGGTCAAATAAATTGCCGTCAATTTGATTTCTAGTGGAAATACTTGTAACACTCACTATCTTTGATACTAAAATACGCATTGAATAATTTTGCAGATTCTACAAACTATGAAATTTTAAAATGTATAAAAATTTTAATTATTCACAATAGTTAAAAAATATTTTAAATAAAATTCTCAATGTTTTTTCTGACATTCTCTATTTAAAAATCGTTGTTAGTGAATTTCTTCTGACTATGCAAGCCACGTGTAGATTATAATACTTTATTCTGTCAATAAGGAAAATGTAAGACCGGTTGAAGGTTAAATGCTTCTGTTTTTTTTCTTCTGTTTTCTATAATTGTCTCGTAATTAATTTTGCGATACAGATGACAGCCATTTAAAACTGTAGCTTTGTTAGACTGTCCAAGTGTGCTTCAAGCTTGCTATTAGTACGAATCTTTCGGTGTGAACTCTGAAAATCATCTCCTACATATTGTCTGATAAGAAGCTTTGTGTACAAAATATTATTAATTGTTACTTCAAGCCGAATTTTACATACGCTTCTAGAAAAGTTTACAATGATATTTTGTCTTTCGCTTAGCCAAATCACTTTTTATATTCATATTGTTCGCTTGGATTTTAGAAAATAAATTTAAAAAAACGGATGACAAAACGGATATAATACAGTCACTGCATAATATTTTAAAAAGTATCAATGATATTTAAAATAGTCAATACAATATATTCGTGACAGAACGTTTCTTATACTCATTTTGGCAACTAAAGGTTCATATCCATTGTTGTAAATCAAACGGATGACGTTCGTCACTATACATTGATGCAAAATTTTATTGATTGAAGCAAGCTGAAATCTATAAAAATTAAATGAATATTCATATCAGAATACATTACTTTTATTACTAAAATCTTGATTTATCACACGTATTTTCGATGAACAGTATCAATAAATGTCAATAAAAATCATAGCAGCTTAATAGGTTGGAAACTCGTTTCTTTTATTGCAGTATTAGATTCCGTAAATACAACGTGAATCGCTGAACGAGACAACTGGGAATAAAAAGCTGGAAATTTTCTCAACCCGATAGTAAATATTTCAAGCTTTTTCTTTGATCCTCCAGTCTTCAAAAATCAACTCCTTATGATTTTATTGCACCTTATCAAACTTTTTTTCACGTGCAAACTTGAGCTCGTAATACTGGTTTACCTTGACCGAAAGACCAAAGCAATTGATATTGAATCTCCATGCGTATGAATCGTTACGCGGTATGACGACGATCTGTTCTACTTTTTAGTAATCATGGTATAAGGTCGTGTGTTTCATGCAATTAATCAACTGCGAAATTAGGTGTTCCTAAAACGAATCTTACAATGTGAACGTCCTAACTTTTTTGATGTTTCAGAGTAACAATAAATTACAGATAGACTTTCAAAAAACTGCGCAAGAAATGCGGAAGATGTTTTGTGCATCGTTACGTAGCTTATTACAATCGACAGACGTAATAGCCATTGTCACGATTTATGTATGTTTTTTGAGTGATTGAACGAAGTGCATCTTGAATAATTGAATAAAGTTTTTCTGCGTCTTGAAAAATACGTTAACAGGCAAATGTTTCAAGGTCGGAAAATAAGACAAGTTGCTGTAACTGCATTGTTATCGATAACAATTAAATGTTTGGCATGAAATATTGAACAATGCGACATTTGTGAAAAGACATAATTGAGTAATGCTCATCGTGCACCGGAGCGACAAGAATGGTTTAAAAAAAATTATATTAGATTAGTGAGTGATTAGACGATTCTTGAGTAAAATTAATGAATAATAATAATCAGATAATCGTAAATATGGTCAACCTCATTAATGTCGTTGACAGCATTGTATCTTTAAGATTAATGTCTAAACATCTAGTACATAGTAGTAGAAAATATAATAACATATAATTTCGTTTTTATCAGATATTGAACAATTCATTACTAATTGTATAAAACATCATTTTCTATTGCTTATCGTTAATACTGATACAACTTATTTTTTAATTTTAATGTTTTAACAATCTTACCAAAATCTTTGTTTGGGCCCATAAGAACCCACGTGTCCGACGATGCCAATAACCCATGTTGAAAATAAACTACAGGTTTGCCTTTAGCTTTTGGTGATTTTGAACTACCGGGTATTCTATGAAGACGGAGTATATAACCATCTACGGTTGTCAGCACATGTTCCTCTGCCGGGTAGCCAAATTGATTGACTAGAGCAACCTGTTTGAAAATGAAATTTCCAAACGTAAAATTCTTAAAAAAATTATTTTGATATAGTTTCTATCAAATAGTTTGGGAATTCTGAATGTCAGACGAATTTCGTTTCAATTCCACCGTGAAATTAATTGAGATAGCAGTAAACAATAAATTGTAATGACTTTCAAGGACGAATATTTTAAATTACCTCTTTTCCTAGTTTTATTTGCGATTTTCATTTAAACCTGCGCCTCTCTCTTGCATCATGCATATGCTTCGAAAAGGTTTATGCTAGAGGAAAATTAGGAGAGGGGAATGTTAATTGATTTGTTCTTCATTTCATTTAACATTCAATGCTACAAAAAAACTTCTCGACATCTTTTATAAAGCAACATTGAATCTGCCATAATTATTATCGTCAACAAACTTTTATTTCGTAAAATGAAACTGTTTTAGTTATCAAAATATCACGCACTAAATCCATAAATTCAGTGTTGATTGTAACGTGCCAAAGACAAATTTCTAATTATACAATGAAACAATTAAAGGAAATTGCAATGTTAATTCCGTATTTCCACAAACTCACATCACCACATTATGTCAGCACTAAAATTAAATAGGTATAATTACGAGGAGGTAAAAGCGTGAAACAACAATCGCCGTGAGCTTGAAGGTTGACTGAATAAAGGAAAAGCTTATTTTTACTTACGAAGTCGAGGACTTTATTAAACTCCGTAACCGGATTAAGTGATCGGCTCGCAGGCCTAGCCCGGCTCCTTATGTATCTCTCAATTGCAAACTGTTGCGGTCGAAAATCAAAAAGTACACAAGAGACCTCGAGCAAACACGATAACACGGCAAACAGTAACGACTGTAGTTTTGTATCATTCATATCTATATGTTTTTGCTTTAACTAATGATTTCACAAAAAAAACTTGCAATTATCTTGCAAAAAAAAAATGCATCCAAACTATTTCATTCGAGCAAAAAATACAATGTTCACCCTGTATGTCACTCCCGAACAAGCAAAACTAACATTCATGTATATATGCAAACGAGCGCGTTGAAGCGTGTTGACGCTCGGACTTGCAATCGGCGAGTGGTGAGCTTGCATTGCTGCTCGAACGCTCGGTTCTCCTGGATATCCTTGACAACCACTTTGTATTCTCGCAGTCGGGTTGTGGTCGGCTCTTTTTGTTTTTTGGAAATACAGTTTCCTGTGCAAAACTGGTAACCGTTGGACACACGTGGGAGCCAACAATTTTGATTCATTGGTTTGCCGGTCAGATAGTTTATCAGAAAACACCGCTTTTTATATATTTAGTATGGATTCATACGGGACGATGTGACGTGAGTCAGCTATTCGGTAAAACTACGGAACTTCACGATTGGCTAGGCAATAAATAATTTTGTTGTCAAGCACATTTTAATAGCTTGTATGATTCTGTATCCGTTTGAACATGAACACTACTATCAATGTCAAATTGTCAAAATTTATTTAATAGCTCAATAACGGAGTATATTGAACATATATTATTTAATGTTTGCCGATTGCAATCTTATATCAAACCTAACCCAATACATAACATTAATGTTTCATGTCCTCGTTTTTCATTCGAAAACAAAAAAATGTTTATGAAAACATCAATGAAAATCACTGAAATAACTTCACTGTTGCTTCGCTTATAGAAGCTGGATTAAATCATAAGCCAATCAAAATTCATCGATAAATAATCATGACTGAACAAGCATGATGAACTCTCGATAGAACTTTTATAATTTATAGAACTTTTACTACTGTTCTAATGTAATGTGCTAATATTGCAGTGAATAATATAGAAATATATTATAACTTCCATTTACAGAATATTATATGCAAATATTATATTGTGATGGCTGATTAAATGTTTCTTCATCTCAACTTTCGCGTAAGGATAGTATGTACATAATATGGTAAACATATTTTTATTTAGCTACTTTAAGCTTTTCCAGATTACAAAAATCTTTTTTTTACGTATTGCGTAATAAAATTGAGTAAATTGAGATAACAAGTTTTGCTTTATTTATATATTATCAGCGTCATTCACTGTCGTCATTGTGTATAAGTTTAAGTATTTTTTATAATTTAGAAGAAACTTGATTTCAACCATTAACTTGCTTTAACGTGAAAAGGAATGATTTAACGCTGACGGTTTGAAACGAAATAGAATGCAAAAGCATTAATTGATTGTAGATATATATATATACATATATAATACATTATTATGAAAATTCTACTTTTTATATATTTATTTCCACCTCAAATCTTTTGTCACTATGATTATGCTAATTTGAGTTGTTATAATAGACAAAGTCGTCACGGTTTATATTTTGCCGTTATAAATAGTGTTGTGAACAATTTTCAATTTTTTTTTTCATTCGCAGTAGTATGCTGTTTAGAAAGCTATTTATATAACGATCTTTGCTAAAATTAGCTAGAAAATAGTGTAAAATTAAAAAAATGATTTAATAGTTAATTTTAGCATGATAAGTAATGTCTTAGAAAATACTCAATTCATCATAATTTTTCAATAAATCGCAATAGTATACGAAAGAATGAGATTTCTATTTAATGTTTATTGTATGTTTTGTACGTTTGATAATTTTCAAGCCATTTATCAAACATTGGAAAACGTCAATAACAACAATTGTCGGATTCTCAGAAATGTACATATTAACTACCGGATAAAGATCTGCGGCATTTAAACGATCTCATTTTTTCGCCATGTACGTGTGCGAATTTGAGTAGTTCATAAAAAATAAAGTTAAGGTTTAATATAATAAATCAAGCAACCTTCACAAATGAGGAAAATAACAGGGATAACATCCTTGATGCTGAAAACAAAGCCAGGCTTCTTACGTGGTCAATAACCGCATCAAATGTAAAATATAATATTTTTTACTTCAAAATTTTATAAAAAAATTATGTTATTGCATAATGTAATAATTTACCTACAAGTGAATAATTGCAATCAGGGATTGATTGTGATGACTTTGATTATAAAAGTGATAATGTATTTTAAAATTGAACAAATTCGCAATGTAAAGAATCTTGCAACTCTTATCTAATAATAATTTCTGCCATAATTTTATCTAAATCAGATTAAGCGTTATAACTTCGAAGTTTCGAGACACCGAAGACAATCTTTGACATTCTTTAATAAATATTATAGGGTATCTATAAATGCTGCTTTATTATATTATTTACATAAAACATCAAACAAATATTCAAAATAATTTTCAAAATATATTGTTATCGCATTTGAGGCCTGTTTACTATTTATGCGGTTTTATCTATTATTTAATAAAAACAAATATTGATTGTGACGGACATGTTTCATCCTACTGCAATTAGTATGATACATCAATGGAATGGCTTTTTATATGATATCTAATGCGACTTGCTACTCTTACTGAATTCAAATTGGCCATGTATTTGCTTTAATTTGTCTTAAGTTATCTTAATGCATTATTCTTGTATTTAGTAACTTATAATTTGTAGTTGAAGAAGTATACATTCGCTTGGTAAATGTGATTAAAATATGACACTCACAATCAAACAAATTATGATAAGCGTTACTATATGATATAGTGCACAATCAATCCGACTATGACCAGAAGTAAATAGTTTGTAATTCAGAATTATAAACGATGCTGATTAAGTAAATTAATGTTAGGTAATAGATTACACCATCTTAATTTCAATTCAAGTTGTTTGAAACTGTTTTCTACAGCGCAGTGCTAACTAAAATATATATTATTAGTAAGTATACAAAAATTCGAAATTCGTATATTGCAATGATTTGGTAAACAAAAATAAAATATATAGTATAATTCAGGATTTTTTAACAACTTACAAAAATAGTCACATTGACTATATTCATCTATTTTTTTCAAGAATATTCCAGTGTAATTTACCATATAATTTGTTATCCGTTATACTCCATTTTACTATGTAGTAAAATTAAGTAACGCGTAAAATTAAGTAATTTTTTTTCTTGGGGCATATTATGAAGCAATAAGATTTAAAATATAGCTAATTTGAACATAATTTCGATGAACACAAACATTTGTATAATATTTTGCTTTTATTACAAAACTTAAGAATAAAATTCTGTAAACAGCAATAACAATATTATATCTAGCTAATACCAAACTCATTCAAATTTTATTCGTAAAGTATTTTTGCTTCCATTATTTATGTTTACCACTTCCATCAGTTGATCAAATAATAATGTTTCGAGATTATTGGCAAATAGAAAATCTACATGGATGAATTGTTTGCTTGGTATACTTTCAATATATATACAACATTTGGTAACTTATACTGATATCAATAAATCCTTTAAAAAATTGATTTAATAATAATAGTGAATAAATGTTCTTACAATTGTTTGTTTATTTTTGTTCAAAATAGAAGGAAAAATTGATTTACCTTTTCTAATTTTATAGTCTTCTTCAGAGTAAAATAAAGTAACGGGCTTAACAATGTTATTTAATTCATAATATAGTGGTTTTCCTATACTATAAACGATCAAATTTTGCATGTATATCCGTCATTGAACATTTAGAAATTTCCTAGAACTCAAGTGGAAAATATATAATATAAGTTTTATTTTTAATTAGAGTTTATAATACGATAAATGAAATAATTTAAATTTGGTAGTAATAAAAATCAAGTTTATGAAACAAACTGACTGACGAAGGAAATTTTTCTGCGATGGCATTTGCGTATGAAAATATTACTCGGCCATAAAACTCAATACATATTATCAGCCTGAACGTAATTGTATAAAATGAAATCAATTTCTAGGCGCATCAGTGATCAGAATATTATTGTTGCTTTGACCTACACTTAGTTTTATGTTGAATCAATTATTAGTTTGGTAGTTAATAAAAAGACATACATATTTTACCAATAAAAATTACAAGAAAATTAAAAACTTATATTCTGGAAGATTAATAATTAAAGAGTAAATTAGTTCTTTAGCGATTCCACTGAAATATTTCAGGTAATGATTTTTTTCTATCAGAATTATAAAGGAAATATAGGGATATAATTAACATAATTGTCTTTGAAATGCAAGAATTAATGTAAGAAAAATCAGTATACACAACCAATGAAAATAAGATTTTCTTCAAATCTTTTACATAAAAAGAATTATTACTGAAAAAAAATTTCTTAAATTAATGTATCTATTCACTTCTTAAGGAACAGGAAGCGATATCAGCCTGTCTTATCTTTTCAAAATACATTTCATTTCTTCACTAAATTTTTACCTGGTGCCACATTTTGATTATTATGTTGTAAAGTTTTTCCAGAAATTCCAGACAGAAAATAAGACATATAGTAGAGAAATAGTCTGTAATACAAAGGGCAACAGTGTTGCTATAAATTCTAAATTACATCATTCATGCTCAATACCAAGAAACCTACCACATTAAATTCTTCCGAATTATCCAAAGGATTACTTTATTTACTTATAAGGTCAAGTATGTGACCCGCAACAGTGATAGAATAGAGTACTCTACCAATTGGTAAAGCATGGCTTTATTTGCATTTTCCATAATCAAATTTTGTCGGTCAAAAATCGAGTATCCTGCAGGACGTTTGCACCAACGCGCATACTAGGTACAGCAAATATTTCAGCTTTGAGTCATTCATTGTATTATTATCGTACTCAGTTGAACAATTGTTTATTTCACGAAGCAACTGTTTAACTATTTTTTTGTTTACGGAAATCTTAATAAGTGAACAAGATAAAAAGTCACATCTTATTTTTCAAGCTCTTAACAGAGGAGTACAAAGTATTGTATCTTTAGTCAGATTTGTCATTGATTTTAATTCTCAATAGTAAAAAAATGTGATAAACTATGCAAGGTATTCGCATCTTGAAATACTTAATAAGTGTTTATAATGAGATGAATTCTAATTGTATATGAAAACAAAACTTGATTAGCATCTGATACACTATTTTTATAACAAATATGTCTAATCATGTGCTACACTCCTTTTATTGTGGCTAAGTATGCTGATAGATTAATCGATATTGATTAACTATCATTGTATATTAATATGACGTTTTATAGAAGGATATTGTTTAAAAAAATGAAAACTATTAGAAAGTATTACTTATTTGCTGTTATTACTTTATCACGTAATCATTCAATAAATTTTTTAAACATCAAAACAGAGTCTTTAATTAATTCGATAAATATTAAAAGCTAATGTAAGGTTCATAGTATCCGTTTCTTGTGATTTTATAAAAAATTACGTTTACGAGATAAAAAGAGTTCGATGTATTATGCAAACATTCGAATTTATGGAAATCAGTGTTCTCCAATGTAAGAATTCCGTATTTCTCAACCTCAGAAATTTCGTACACATTTTTAGCACTGAAAAATGAGTAGCAATTACATGACCACGCATACAAAACTTTCTCATTAGAATATCAAAAAAATGTTTTTTACCTGTTTTTCACTAATTACATATTGATATTACCATTTCTTTTCTTTGGCCGAACCATTCCACATCCTTCTCTTCAAGAACATTATCTATATCAATTGATGTTGATTTCGGATCTTTCTAATGCCAGAATGCATGCACTACCTATAGCTTATTTTTAATTTTTGTAAATTGTATGTAATTTTAGTTTTATACAACAAAGTACTGATTCGAATCAATTTTAAATGTAGCTGTAATTCATTAATTTTTTTACGTATAATCACTTCTATAAATAAAATATAGCTTTCATTTATTATTAAATAAAAAGAAGTATATTTTGATCGGAAATTGCATTAACTATTTTTTTATACAAATGCAGAGAAAAAATTTACCGTTTGAAAAGTGCCGCTAAAATTAGATTCAAGATGTAATTTAGTGAATGGAGGAGCCTCCGCTAAAAGATTCTGAATACCGCACACAAATACGAAAACAACCTTGACTGATAAGATAATTTTTTGTATATGAATAAATATATGTAAACAATATATCCTAAAGAATAAATAAATAATAATAATAATATAAAAAATAACTGTTTACATAATCTATGCAATATTTTATTTTTATTATTGTCAATTGATACCTGTGATAATGACAAATAACTATGTAACATCGACTCACATTTGACAATTACTCATAATGAGATTATAATTATGAAGTATAGATAAGTATACATTTCTGAAATAACTACAGGGAATGCAAAGAAAGGTTTTGATTCCCAAACATTCCAAATCCCTCTCACCTATATAATATTCACACACTATAATAAGAAAATTTTACTTGAATTTTTTTCAATTGTTTTCTAAAGTGAAAAATTATCAATATTTAAAACAAAACCATTGGTAGATTTTATATCTAAGTTATGATTATATTTTGGAGCATTTTATGCAGTCGTTTTTCAATTAAAAATTCAATATCTACGGTTATTTACCAGTATGTATAAATAAAAATAGTAATTGAAGAAAAGCTCGACTTCAACATTTTTTCAAATAAACTACACAAAATTCCTAGACAATAATTACTATATTCCAAGTATGAAAATTGTATCAATAATATCTTTTGTTTTAACTCTCTACTACCTTTTGTTTAGGCTAATCTTTGGAGAGAAACTGCGACAAATTTTTGACTATAAATATTCATAAAGGTCTTAATTACAAATTAGTAATTTCATAGCTCGGATATTTTACTATTATTAATAGATTTTTTGTAAATGTAATAACTGGAATAATATCTAATGCATATCTCAATATTATAATCATGCTATTTAGTTAAGAAAAATTTTAATTCATTATAGAATACAAAATTGAATATTATTAACATTTAAAGATGTCCGCTCCAAAAGTGGGGTGCGCAGGCGCATTTGAGTTTGTCTTAAAGGTCCGAAAACAGCTGTTTGTTAATTTCCCACTTCGTCACATTATCTTGTCTGCTCTCTCCCGGATTTTCCGCAACTCGTATTTCGGTTCAGTAGTCCCGCAAGAAAAAATGCGACGACTGTTATCGTAAAAGATATCGTAACGTCAATAACGCCTGCGATACAATTTTTATTTGCGATTCACTTTATCTTTCCAAAGGATGAGTAATTGAGCGTATTGTTTTTGATAATACACATAATGCAGCTGAAAGAAATGTTAGATTGAGCGCTACTATCTTTTAGTAAACGACGAGATTGCTCAACGTGTGAAATATTATACATCGCAGTGTAAGAACTGTGAGACGTGTTTTTGTTCGTCATGTGCATTTTATTTATTTACCATAATCCAAGCCCTTCGACGAACAGCTATCGATTAATTTTAATAGCTAACAGAGATGAATATTATGCTAGACCGGCTAAACCAGCTCATTATTGGAAGGACTATCCAGAATGTTTGGGAGGTGAGTGAAATCAATTTATTTTTTTTTTAAATCATCGCTGCAATATTTTTATTTACTCAATTTCATGACTTCATAAAAATCTAGTTTAAAATTAACAATGTTCGAGTTTAGAAAAAATTCGCTCCCTGATGACATTCGCTGTAAACAATAAGAAAATGACACCGTGATAATATGTGAATAGAATTTTGTCGCACGTGCTCGCGAAGTATTTTACAAAGCGCTAGCGTTGAAAGCTATGTATAGTTTCGAATATAAATCAAATGATTTTATGCATTTTGATGTTGTGAATATTAAAAATTTTCAACCTGTTAAGTAACTCGATTGTAGTCATGTAACAAAATTATTATCACCTACGTCTGTACATACGTCAATGTTTTAATTAGGTACAGACATGGAACCTGGGAGAGAAGGTGGAACGTGGTTGGCGCTTGCTCCCAAAAAAGGCAGAATTGGCGTTCTTTTAAATTTAAATGGCACACCAAAGTCTACGGAGGGACGGGGTCGCGGTTTTCTTATCAGAGATTATCTGACAACGCAAGAAAACACTATGAGCCACGCTAATAATTTACACGAAACAAATCAAAATACTCAATGCTATAATCCTTATAATTTAGTAATGATTGATCTAAGGTAACTAACGATTTTGTTTGAAATAGTAATTATGATAAAAAAAGACAATGAAACTGGAAAAACAAATTTTAGGCGCAGTGACGTATGTTACGTGAGTAGTGAGAAAGGTCATAGGGGGCCACAAATCCTGCAAGATAAAATTTTAGGCTTTGGCAATAGTGGAATTGAAACGCCTTATAAAAAAGTATTGGCTGGGAAAGAGAAGTTCGAAAAATTAGTAACTAACGCCACTAATTCGCAACAAAATCAGTTGATAGAAATGTTACTACAATTTTTAAAGCAAGAAGAACGGTAAGAGTAAATAAGTCAGATGTAAGTTAACTTATAAAAAATTAATATTGTTGATACATAATAATTTATTTTAGATACCTTCCAGATGACGAACTGAAAAAACGATCACCAGAAGCATTTAACGAGTTAAGTTCTATCTTTGTTAGACATGAAATGGCTAAATACGGAACAAGAACTCACAGTATTGTACTCGTTAATCACAATTATCAATTGACGTTTGTTGAGGAAACTTTAAATTCTGATGGAACTTGGCAACGACAAATTTTTAATAATCAATTAAACTAATTATGATTCTATATGCAAGCAATGGTTGTAAAATAATGTAAGATAACAGATTTTTGCTGTACGAAACTATTTATCAATAGAAAAATATACAATTATTTTTACTATATACACTAATCACTGATATTTCTCAATATTAAAATTCATGAAAACATTACACAACAAAATTACGATCTTAAAATTCTTATTAAATAAAAGAGCCGTTTTTAGTAAGCTAGTATAATGAGGTCATCATTTAAATGAAACAAGAACAAAGAAAACAATATTGAATATAATACATCAAGTACACTAAACACTGCGTCTTTGTCATTTTTTTATGAAAGCTACAAGTAATAAAGAAAGCAACATTCAATTGGGACTTAACTTAAAAATACTGATTATATATGTACCGAGATAAATTATAGATTTCGTGAGAATTTTTTCTCGAGCTTGTGGCTCTAATTAGTGTACTATTCATCTACATTTATTTCTTCGTCAGAGTCACTCTCAATTATCTCTGATACCGCATCATCTATAGAATTGTCTGCTATTATGTCGGGATCAGTTATTTCTTCAGATGACTAAAATAACAAATTTTTTTTTTAATTATTTTGAAAAATACTGGACTTAGGAATTACAAAAAATACGTACCTCTGCATCAACTTCTTCGCCATCTAAATCTTTATTAAGCAGAGTACCCATCCAAAAAGCGCCAATGGAATTATTAGCCGCTAACATTCCTTTTACTCTGTATATGAACTTTTCTCGTTTTGATTTAGCAAGTGGAATAAGTTTCAAGAGAGCTACGTTGTTACTTTTTCTGGCAGTACAGAAGATATCTCTCAAAAATCTATTAGATTCTGTAATATTAATATAAAATTATTAATAAAAGGAAATAAATAAAATTATGTGATAAAGAATTTCACCCGCACTTATTATAAATGAATTTAAACATACTTTGAAATGATTTTATAATATTTAAAACTTCTGCAGATTGATATTTAGCACTTGCTTCTAAAACGCTCATTCCAGAACTTAGAAGAATTTGATATAGTATTGTCGTATAACGCAAGAAAAAGGTCAGATATAAATTATATTTATTACTTTTACAGATGTCGGAAATTTTTTCTAAACATATGCCAGTTTCTGACCATATTTTTATTCTCTGGGGATCCCTGTAATCATTAAACAAGTCATTTCCAATATCAACATTTAAAATGAAATACACAATACAATTTAACATTGAATCAAACCTCTTAGCCACTTCCAACGAAACTTGAACTCCTTTTATGAGACCAACAAATAATTGCTTCAACAATAGATGGAAATGGACTTTCGTCACAGAAGGCATTCTACTTAGACGAGAATGTGATCGTTCAAGAGTCGCTATTTCTGTTGGCAACCATTCTAAAACTGAACTAACAGTTTTCAGTGGATCAGATTCATTTTCCATCCAGCTCTTCAACAATTCTTTTATGGCTGCTTTATACTGAGGACCATGTGACTCATTCCAGACAAGGCTTAAGTAACCATAAGACATTTTCGCTAAAACAAATTATTTCGTTTAAAAAAGCCGTTTGAACTTTGACTTCTAAAAAATTTATTATGTTTATTCACCTTGTTGATCTTTTGACTGTTGATCAAAAGTTTCAGCATATTTTATCAAAGTATCACACAATTTTACTAGAGCAACAGCTAACGTAATTTGTGTCGCTATGTCTGCCAATGACTCAAAATACTTGTATGCTTCGACGACTAGGTCTTTACAAGATCTTAATAACGTACTAGATTCGTTCATCATTGCTGCTAAAGCTCTGAGTCCGTCTAAAACAGTATATTTTAAGATTAATAAATTTAAAAATTAACCGAATGCGTCAAACGCACCTCGAAGTAGATTACGGTATTTTGAATTCTTGAATTCTTTCCAATTGAATATAGAAATAAATAAGTTCAAAATCAATCTAACAGCCTCCTTCTCGTATGCACTATCATTTTCTCTTAAATTAGCAACAATTTTTTGCAGTTTTTTGCAAACTTTCGGTAACAACAATATTATTTCTTTCATGAAACTTTCAGATACTTCAGTTTCAAACATATTAAGTAGTTCTCGAATGATAAAACAAACTTGTGCTATTGTTACACTCATAGAAGGTAACTGAGTTGAAGTAAGGTCCATATCTAATAAATATATTATCTAAAAAATAATTATTTGTATTATTTTACAAATTTAATTTAAAAAAAAAATTGAAATCTTCATTTACTTTTGTATCCATTCTTCTGAAAAATGCAGGATTTTTAACTGTTAGTTCAGATCCTTTTTCCCAGATTTCCCACTCATATAATGAATTTGATTTACTTAAAGTAGAGTCGATCTTACTACTATCATTTACACCCTTCTTATCGCCTTTTTTGCCTTTTTTACCTTTCTTGCCCAGCTTGAAATCTAATCGTACAAATTGAGGAGTAGGAAAGTAATTGAAATAACACGGGGGTGGTTGATAGCGTGTTTCAAGCATTGCGACCATTTGTACGTATTCGCCTTGTAAACTCATTAAAGTTTCCAGGCGTTTTAAAATTTGACTACGAACACTGCTTTCTTCCACGAATGCCCCAATAGTTTCTCTATAAAATTTATAATTTTACGAAGACGTCAAAAACATATAACATTTTTTTTATTATTCTGTACTTACCTGAACCAATTGATACAGTGTATCATATAATCTGCTGTGGCAGGTTCTGGCATGTCAAAATCTTTTGGCATAAAAATTGGACACCCTAACATTGCATTTATATTTTCTAAATTTCCATTCGTTCGCATATTGCATATACGCAATAGCTTAAAAAATATTGATACGTATGCCCCAAACTTACAGTTACCAAAACAAAGATAATTATTGTCTATATCTTTTGAATCAATCAAACCAAAACGAGGAACTAAAATACTACTGGAAAATATATTTCACTATTATAAATACACTAAAGAACGATACATTTAATTATTTTAAACGGAAAATTATGAAATAATACGGCAAAGTGCTTGAAACTTACTTTGGGCTACTTTCAACCAAACATGTTGCTATGAAATGATCCTCCAATTCATTTGTAATAGAAGTTAGATAGTCGTCATAAATATCATTTGTAGTAGCAATAACATTTGCTAATTGATCATAAAACAAAGCTTCAGATCGTTTGCAGTCTTTTAAACTGATTATAGTTTTTCCTGAAAATAATATAATAAATATACAATATGTTTTTATTTGTAGTTAGCATTAAATAAATGAATGTTTCGTACTTGTCAGGCAGTAAGCTTCATCCTTTGTTTCTGATTCACAGGCTAAATGTTTTATTGCCATAACTGCCCCAAGAACTCCTTTGCATTTGATTCTGGGAAAAATGTAATGATCAATTTGTTTGAAGTTTAATTATAATTACTATAGTTTGTCTGAATATGATTTCTATTAAAACAATTATTATACTTACTGAACTTTTGAACTGCATAATTGTTTTTGCATTATTATGAATAAATCTTCGTTTAAAATATTTGCAAATGATTTTGAGTGTGTGCATAGCCCATGAAGTAAATGATACAGAGTAGCTACATCATCAAAATATAAATTCTCAATTTTTTCTAAAAAGCTTTTTAAAAATCCAACGTGTGTTTGCAGATAACCACGCTCATTCTCATCATTTGACATTCTAATTAATACTTCGAGAGAATTTTTAACAGTTTTGTTTTTGGTATTCATCAAGTGCAGTAATTTCTCCATTATATCCCTTTGTTTGTAGGAAGTATCAGCTTGGTTTATAAACATGTACCTTACCCATTCAATTCCAAACTCTACATATGACTGAGCATCAGCTTTTAAAAATCCAATAGCCAAATTTAATGCATCCGTTTGGAAACTTTTAACGACATATCTATATCCACTGTACAATGAACCAAGTAAAGACGTTTTGTAAAATCCAGTTTTAATATGATTTAGTAAATTAGTTTCTACGATTTTCTTCTTAGCTGCTGTTGTATTATATAGCAACATAGACAGAATTAGATCAAATGGTAGTGGCTTAATTTTGACAGACTTAATAACTGTTACTGCTGCTTGTTCTACTTCCTTAGATAGTTGAATACTTATATTTATCGCAGTTACCATAGATGACTGATATGTATAACATTCATCTGCATTTTCTTTCAATGATGGTGCCATATCTATCTCGCGGAGAGCATTTAAACACTTCAGTGCAATAGCTTCAGAAGAACAAGAATGAAGAATAAATCTGAAAAAGGTATTTTTAATTTATATATTGATATTGAAAATGAAAAAACGTCAAAAATGATAAAATTGATCAAAATAAATAAACAAACCTTGTGATTGATGGAACAATACTTTTATCAAATTTTGTGTTAAGTAATTTTAAAACTTTTTCTCTGATTTCTTCTCTGTACTCTTTCGATAATAATAAATTATAAATAGCATCTAATACAATGTTTATCAAATCAGTATTATTTGGACTTTCAATGATTTTAACTAGCATCTCTGCTGTTGGGCGATGTAAAACATCTGTAATAATATCAGGAATGAGTATTATAATTTCTCGCTGGAACCATGCTGGAGATGTGCTTAATAAATCCTCAATTAGATTGATTAAATCATCAGGATCTACTATAGTTTCTAAAAATCGGAATTGCTGTATCATTTGTAGAGCCCATGGTGCATCATCTGCAGATTCACTAGATATTTTAGATAAATAAATAAAAGAAAATAAAAGTATAATAACAGTATAATTAAATACAAGTAACTTACGTTGTCATAACAGCATCAATAAGTTTACTAAATAAACTTCTAAACACTTCCATTTGTAATTGAGGAACTTGTAATAGAAGTTTTACCAGAGATAGAGCTTTTGAACTTACAACAACTCTCTCTTCAGATTCAATTCTTATTTCCAAGAAAGATTTACGCAAATTCTCCTCATCTTCAATATAACTTTTCCAAGCCTTTACAACTTGATCTTGATTTATACTGCCATTAATTAGAAGCTCTTTCATTTTTTTAATAACTTCAAGAGGGTTGTCATCTGAAATTATTAACAAGGTTTCTTATTGCTATAAATTTTTGGAATAACAAAAACTTTAAAAATACTCACTTGTTATATATAAATTTTCTCCAGAACATAATGTAATCCCTGCAGCATTGACAAAATCCAGAAATTTATCATCAGTCTTATTTAGATTAACAGGTCGCTTTTTGTGCTGTGTAATATTTTCTCTTTCTTCGACTCTTGCGGGACTTTGAAAAGTTTTCAGTGGACTGAGTTCAGGTGAATCTATTATCCTATTTTGATTTCTTATTGGAGTTTTATCGGGACTTTTTGGAGCTACTGAACTTATTGATAATCTTTCTGGACTTATTTCTCTTGTTTCACTTCTTACTTTTTTAGCTGTTATCTCTGTATCTGATGTCATTTCTTCATTGTCAGAAATGATACTTTGTCTTCTTCTTTTTGATGAAGCTGGTCCAGGAAAATTCTTTTTCAAATCATTCTTCTTTGTTCTTGGATTTTTTGATTCTTTTATTAATCCTTCTACATCTGTAGTAACATCTGTATCAGATGCTATTTCTTCGTCAGTAACAACTGTTTTAGCTGTTTTTTGCTTTGACAACGCTGGACCAATCAAGCTCTTTTTTAAATCAGTTATATGGGTTCTTGAATCTCTTAATTCATTCACTGGTTTAACATTTACTTTGGCTTCTAAAGATTTAGATATTGCTCCTCCAGCCCTAGATCGTAAAGGAGTTCTCAAGTTCATTTTGCGATACTTTTCTGTTGAACTGTTTGAACTTTGGCTCAATTTGGCAGGACTTTTATCTAATGTCTCTAGAAAATTTTTAATAGAGGAACCAGAATTGCATTTACTTGATTCACTTTTCTCTTCCTTACTAGTATCTTTATCATTTTTATCAAAATTACGTTCCGGAGGCAATGATGCCTCTTCCTCGCTACCGTCATCATCGCTGTTATTGATAATATTACGTCTTTTCTTCTTGGCATTCGATAAATTTATGGTGGATGGCAATACGCTTAAAATATCATCGTTTTCTTGATCTTCTGAATTTTTACGTTTTCGAGAGACCGATAAATTTTCATTTATTGTACTTACAGACCGCACAATATCAAAACCTTCAGACACACTTGTCTTAACTATTTGACTTGACGAATACAATTGTTTATGCAATGGATTTCTAGATACTATTTTCCGTCTATCCATGACAAAAAAGTGGTGTTAGTACTTGAGAAATCAACAATACACTCAAATGCTTATAAATATGACCAAAAATAACCGCGAAAAATTTCGTGCAGATATCAACTGGTCAATCGTTGAATGAGACAATAGCAATGATGCCAAAACATGAAATTGACCGGGCTAGTCAGCAGCAGTGTTGCCGCTGGCAAAAATTTTCAGGGTCCCTAAATATTACTACATTATGTTAACAAATACTATTTGTTGCATTCGGCGACATATTTCAGCTTATTTCTTTCTAGTACTTTTGTCACCTCGTCTTGCTGTTTTCTCGTTCCCTTTCAAGCCTATTTTCACACTTTTTCTTGAACCATCTCGAACTGATATATACTCTATTGGGTGTCTAGAAAATAGCCCCCAGATTTGGTGAAATTTGATCTACGTCGGCTGCTCCATCAATACTGCTGCTATTGCTCGCGTAGTCGCGGCTGTAAAGCTGAATGTGTATTTGATTAGTTTACTTATATTAATTATTGAAAAAACGTAGTATTTAATAAAAAATAATTATCTTCAGATTAAAATCAGATACTTATCTAACCAACATCCAGTGACTGCCCAGTACTTTGACTTCAAATTACGACTGAGAATTTTCCATTAAAAAATACGTATTAATCAACAATAAATATAAGTAAATTAATTTTGAATAAACTTTCAACTTTCAAGCCGCGAGTACGTGAAGAACAGGGAACCTAGTTGGACATACCCACGTGGAGCCCACGTGGAATCCTACATGGGATTCCGACCGGGGGAATATAACTGATGTAGATTCAGCACCACGTTCATTAGCACTGTTGGAGCAGCACCAAATCTAGAAGGCTATTTTCTAGAGACCCAGCAGAGCCATTTTTCCAGCAGCAACATTAGCGGGCAGCAATTCACTAAATTACTATTCAAGTATTCACGCACTCGCATCTTGCATTAAAATTTATATTACTAACTAAACTAAAACTAAATCTAAGTCTAATAGGTTATATTTTGAAGCTTAAAGCACCACGTAGCTCATCAATAAATTTGTGTTATCTCCGTGGAAAAAAGGTCATGCCACAATACAAAAAGTTAGCCCTTCATAATTCAGTTTGTAACGAAGTATTTTTTCGACTACAAGATTGTGAGGCTGAAGTAAGTAGACGGACTTTCGCTATATAATGTATTATAGATCTAAACATTTATATAAAATAGAATTTTTGCCTTTAGCATCCTTTTTCAAGATTTATTGGTCAGTGTACTGATTTCAATAAAGAACTTGATAAATGTATAAGAGATAATGTAAGAATTTTATCAACTAAATCAATTATTATATTTTACTTACTATTATGTAACTATTTTTCATCTTCCAGAGACAGCGAATGAGAGAAAAAAATCACTTAGAAGCTGAAGCACGACATAAAAGAATGAGAAATTTACCTGACTAACTGAATATATTGTATGGAATGTAGTATAATTTTTTATACAATATTACAGACTAGTTATTAACACCAATAATTTAGTATCACTATAATTGTTCAAGTTTTATTTAGTATTCTCTTAAATTGATTTAGGCGTTAGAAATTTTTTACAATGGATGATAACATGCAAGCTGGGCTGGATATATTGAACAAAAATGAAGCAGAAAATGCTATTGAAAATGAGCATGTTAATAAAAAACCTAAACTTTGTCAATCGACTGATGAAAATCTTAAATTAGGCACTGATATCTCTAAAAATGAATCAAAAGACATTGAAATGCCTTTAGCTGAAGAAAATCAATCGAAGCCATGTAGTAGTACACAAAACACGCAAGAAACAAGTGAAAGAATGTTAACAGTTTCTTTTTCTGAAAGTTCAAAATATAAGCCAGATTCCTTTAAAACAGGTGATGATTCTGATAAAGATGACAATGAATTACCTGCCAGTCAGTATGAAGCCAAAAAAGGATTTAATTATCCATTAGAAAGTGATGCTTCTGATATGTTAGATGAGGTAGATGCTATTCAAGATGGAAGGTTTCCTACAGTAACTGAACGTTATCTTACACCATACTATCAACTTGATATAACACAACCAGGCGATGATGTATGTATCTTAATTCACTCCAATCGTATTTGTATGTTTACACTAGCTCCAAGTCATATAATCTATCAAAAAAATAAAAAAATTGTAAAGTGCGATTATCAAGTCAGTGAAAAGTTAAATAGGCTCAGAAACAAAGTATCTGGAAAAGCTAAACATGGAGCACAACCTTTACAAAATAATTCTAATTTATGCCGTCTAACATGTGATGATGGTTCAATTTATGTAGTAAAATGTTGTATAATTGGTAAACTTGTTGAAGTGAATGAAAGACTTGTTGAAGATCCTGAATTGCTTAAACAACTACCTCATGATGGAGGGTATATAGCCATTGCTTTGCCGAATTTGAAACATTTGGATAAAATTAAAAGTAAACTTCTTGACCAAAAAAGCTATGAAGAAGCATTAAAAGAACGAAAAGAAAGAATAGAAAAAGAAAAAAATAAATTAAATGATAATTTGGTTCTAGATGACGAAAAGGAACTGAAAAATGAGCACAACAATCATGTAGAATCTGTTGAAAGTAAGGAACAAATAGAAATTAGCAATATAAATAATTGTCAAACGAAAATTGATATGATGGAAGTTGTTGAGTTGTAATAAAAGGACTTTTTATAATAATAAAATGATTTGGTTATATTTTCTTTTCAGCTAGTTTACACTTTGCATTGCAAAGAAATAATGCGCTTTGGTATCAGTACCATTTCTTTACAAAGGTACTTATATAAATGTAATATGAACATTTAATCACATTTATATAAATTTCTGTGAATTAAAGATGAAATAGTAACACATGACCTCTTTTGAGTTTATTTACATCTACTTATTTACAATGTGCAAGTATGTCAAAGAGGAACAGCCACTTTTGCTAAAATTCTACTTTCAAGTGTTTTTGTTTTATCAGTTTCCACTGTCTTATTGTTTTTGGCGTTTTTCAGTAAATTACCTAATACGATTCCAGCAAACAATATCATTCCTACTTTATGATTAGAGATAAATTTTTTAGCACAATTGGATGGATCATTTATGTCTAATGTGCATAACTGTAAATATGTAAAAATATTGAAATATACAATATATAATACATTGTAAAAAAAGATATATAGAAAAAAGATTACCTGATACAATAAATGACTACCAACTAATCCTACAGCTCCATAATATGGCAAAGTTTGATCTGCATAATAGCCTGATATAAATAAATTTGTAATCATAATTGTGCCAAAACCTGTGAGATAAAGCTTGGTTTTATCTCCAAATTTGAGCGCTGTTGATTTTATATTTAATAGAATGTCATCAAGTTTATCCTGAAAATTAATTTCATTAATAAAACTTGCACTACACTAAGTTTATTCATATCTTATTTATAAAAACACTTACTTGGTGCGCATAAATTGTATCATACAAAATAGTCCAACAAATACCAGCTGTATACAATGGTAAACAAATTGACCAATCCAATGATCCCTGAATTGCAGACCAACCTAACAAAGCTCCCCAATTAAAAGTCATTCCTAAAATCAACTGAGGCCAATATGTTATTCTTTTCATGAGTGGATAAATTATCACTAATCCTGAAAGCATAATTTGTTAATAATTTTAAATCATTTCAATTTAAAACCATTCAAATTTAATGAACTATTTACAAATGTATTAGTTCAAATTGTACCTAATGAACTTGCTCCTAGGAAAATACTATACCAATTTAATTGAAGAAGAACAAGAAGACCTAAGCTTAGTTGACCACCAAGAAATACTAAAGCTTGAAATGGGGTAACTATTCCTGTTACAAGAGGTCTGTCTTTTGTTCTAATAACCTAAAATAAATAAATATTGTAAAATAATTTTTACATGAAATTGTACAATTTTTGCTAAAGGTACAAGGGTACATTCAAATTCAGCACAAACTACCTTTCTATCAATATCTATATCCCACATGTCATTTATTGTGCAACCAGCTCCTCTCATAATAAAAGCACCTACTCCAAAAAGAGCAAGCATGCCAAGATCTGGAAATGCACCACCTGGAGCTGCCATTGCTATACTCCATCCACAAGGCCAAAACAGTAACCATGAACCTGATAAAAACAATCAAATTAATTAAAATGAAGGATGGAAATTACACAATCTAAAAAACTTTACAATATAAATATATCAAGTATAATTACCAATTGGTTTGTCTATCCGCATAAGCCTCATATAAGGCTGGAATTTACTTGGAGCTTTTTCAACAATATTAGTTGCAATACTGTACTGTCTATTTGTATGAATAAATAATTTTGGCAAGTCATTTTTCTTTTTACAATAGACTAGCAATATATCTTTATAACTATCATTTGTCTTGAAGGTTTTCGATTCGTAATTCTCATGATTAAGAATATTAACTGCAGTAATATGGATTTTTTTATACAAATAAATGTCATCTTTTCTGCATGATTTCAGGTTGTGACTGCAGGATTTTAATAATCTTGTGATACATATTAATCGCTGACATCCTTCAATGATAAACATTCTTCATTCGTGAATCTGCAAAATTTCATGATAAATTAGAAATAAATGTAAATCAACTAAACATCATCAAAATACATATTTTCAAGTTCAATTGCAAAAATAAGACTAATATTTAATTATATAACCTGGAATACTGACAAAAGAATGCTTGTTTATCACTGAGCAAGCAACGAAAATTTCGTTCGCATATACTAACTTGAATAACGAGTTCTTTATCCGTGAGCCATTTTATTTAAATCACCAGGGAAATCCAATGTTTTTTTATTGCATAAGGATCGAGATAGCCTGCAAGACTATTTATACATGTGTATAGATCGAAAATAAATGATCGTGAGACTGACACGTGCAATGCCTGGAAACAGCATACATGCACGAGGTGCGCGCGGCGCCAGATCATGGCAGGCGATTTTGCATAATTTTCAAACCACAGAACGACTGAACGATTGAAAGGAACATATGCCGGTAGGTCACAACATGTTCATCGATTCTATCTACTATCTGCATGCACCAAAATAGAATGTCAATGGAATATTCCCCTAAATTAATCAATAACGCCACCTTTATCTTCGATTTTTTTAAGATACGTTGGTCAAATTGTTCATAATCAATACAAGAATAACCGTACTCTGCCAACAACTCCAATTTCCTGCCTTATCACTTAAACTGGATATGTATCTTTCTCTCTCTCTCTCTCTTTTCGTCTCATCTTCTCATAGCATCAATGTGTACGATTACATGTATAAGGTCCTACTATCATATATACATAAAGCATCGCATATCCGCTAAAAATACGAACGGTCGTGGTGTGGAGGCATTTATGAATATTCGTCGCTACGTCGTCACCCAGAAACAGTACCTATACGTAGCTGACACATTGCGCCGGTGCATAAAACTTGGCATTGTGTGTGTAAGAAGATAAGTCAGTAAGTACCTATAAGTCTATTTAATCAACATTTAAAATGAAGGTCAACCACGCGAGCCAAGCATTTTCCTGCTTATAGGTATATTCTTTCCTACCTTTTCTATATCCTCTTTCTCTCTGTGTGTTTTAGCGTCGTCTGATAATCGGCTTTTCTACGTAGGTGTGCGTACATATGTTAGTGTGGGAGCGCAAGCGCCGTTCAGTCGTACAGACTCGTATATGCTTACCAGTAGTTTGCGAGCCTTCGCGATGTCCGCGATGAGGAAGCCCCAGGTATTGTTTATCCTTGGTGGTCCAGGTGCCGGCAAAGGTACTGTCTGCAAACAAATCGTCGACAAGTATGGCTATGTACATCTGTCGGCTGGTGATCTATTGAGAGAAGAACGCGCCAAACCTGGTTCGCAATTTGGCGAGCTCATCGAACACCACATTGTTAATGGTACAATCGTACCTGTCGAGATCACCTGTAGCTTACTCGAACGTGCCATGGCTACATCGGATACGCCTCATAATAAATTCCTCATCGATGGATTCCCTAGGAATCAAGATAATCTTGATGGATGGACTAGGGTATAGTTTTCACATATTTATTATTGAAAGTCATGTTTGCTTCTTGCATGTAGGAAAATAAAATCCTTAATCTATAAAAAGCTATACAAATATTTTTAAAACAAGCAACTGTGACATGAATTTTATTTTTAAAAAAATTTATAGAAACATCTCAAGTTTTTTATCTAGATTTTGAATATTTTTATTTACAGGAAATGTCAGACAAAGTAGAAGTCGATGGTATTCTCTTCTTTGATTGCAGCGAACAAACTTGTACAAAACGTTGTCTCAACAGAGGTGCCAAGGGAAGTGGACGAAGTGATGACAATGAGGAAGTACTTAAAAAGAGACATCAAACTTACCTGTCCGGCACAATGCCTATAATTGAACATTACAAGAAGTTAGGACTTGTTTATAGTTTTAATGGCGAGGAAACACCTGATGCAGTATTTGAAAAAGTCAAGAAAACTTTACAGAAATTAGGATGGTAACCTACCCATATCTTGATTGTATTCTTTTTCACACAAAGTTTAGAGAATTATGAAAATAGTACAGCAGTAATTATTTTTATTGAGCATTATTTTTTTTACCATTTTATTCACTACTATTTATTTAGAATCAAGTGCAATGTATTTTTTACACTACATTTTTTTAAATATTTCTGGCACGATTTAGATGAACAGAGTTTGAACATTCCTTGTACTGCATTAGGCCAGTTGCAAGTACAATTGATATCATGATAGTAGTTTCAAATCATTGTAAATGGTTTATTTATTCCATATATTTTTGCACTACCTAAAACTTTCTAATGTCAACAATGTATGTATGTACATAAGTAAAAAAAAGCAGAATAAATCAAATTGTAAATTGAATAAAAGATTCAGTTTACCGAATGTATTATTCTATATACAGTAGACTTAAACAGTTAAAGTGTGTTGATAACAATAAAATGTATTACTTGAAAAAATTGTTTATGGTTTTATAATTTCATTATATTATAATAATTCTGCAAGTTTTGTATTATTACAAACATAACACTGATCAAAGTTTTTGTTTGAGTGGTATTTTCATTTCAATAAGTCTTTGAAAATGAAATCACTTTTAATTATTTATAGTAAGAGAAAAAAAAGAAAACTGATGTATTGTCATCACAATAATAAGATATGTTCCTGCAAGTTTTTTATCTGAAAGCAATACAAATACATATTACATACACATCTGTGTTTGAGTAGACTAAGAAAAGAACATAATCTTTTCCAATGTCTTTCTCATTACTTTTACATGCATTAAACTATTCTAAAATTACATTTAGAATTAATCTAAATAGCTAAGCTTTTTTATCAATATTACAATTCGTAAAAAATATTTGCATTAATTATGTATTATCACACTGTAGTGTTATAGAAAGTGAATCATTTAAATTCATTCAATGAATACTATTTAGTTGTATGCATTAATATTTATTGTACAGATTCACGAAAGAATTTATTAATATTACTACTGTTACACTATTTTTATGTTCAGCGGCCCGAAAGTGGCATTTCCTTGCCTCATTGAGCCGGGTACATGCTAATTTCGACCTTGCTGGGCAAAAAAATAATACACGCACCATGATTAGGAAATTGGCAAGCCCATAGCACATGTTTGACAACCTTGGCTTTCCCTCGGTTGTCAATTCTCACGTGTATAGACTTACCAATACTTTCCCAAACTATGTGCGTAATCTTATACTATTTCACTATATTTAATGTTTTCATATAACTTTTAAATTATTTACTACGCGCAATTGTTAGCTGATTTTTCTGAAAATATTTATTATAAATAATCAGCTGTTTTGACAAATTTGAAATAATTATAATATTTTATTAGAAAATTAATTAAAAAATGTATCTTCGTCATAATCTTGAAAAATGAAAAATACGTTGTCCTTGTGATTTGCGAAATTACCAATCTAGCTTCGTCACGTTTCCTCTTATTATAGTTACATGAAAAAAATTACAACGTTAAGATGTAGTTGCACTTGAAAACAGCGAGCAAGAGATTCTGTCATCATGATATTAACCCTCACTCCCTACTGAGGTGATTCGATTATACTTTTTTTACTAACATATATAACATACATTTATTTCAAAAAAAGAATTTTTTTCGAGATTTTTTTTTATTAGTAATTGAAATCAAAATTATTTTTTGATCATACCAACAGACTTTGAATTAGTTACAATATATCTGAGATTTTTTTTCAAATTAATCAGATCAATCACTATGAAATGGTACGATGATAAAAAAGTGCAAAGGATCAAATTAACCCAGTGTAGGGAATTCGACCGATAAAATAGATGGAAAGACCAAGGGTTAATTAGGCTTATTACGCGTGTTCCATAATTATCGTCAATGAGCTTTCATACAAAATTTTTATCTTAAAATCTCTTATTCAATCACGTATATGACATAGGTGGAGTGTACTGCTCTTATTGTTGTAAAAAAATATTTCGCTTCTATTTGGAAATATTGACGCGCATTCACTGAGTTTATTACACTCGCTTCCAAGCAGCAGCTGCCAATGCATGATTAAAGTAATAAAGATAAGCATAGTTTTTACCTGACGAATAAACTGTAATTACGTGATTAATCAGTAAAAGCATTTATTCTCTTAATTATAATTTGATTACGGAGTGGCGGTATCGTTGATAACATTTCGACAGTATTTTCCAAGATTTTCTAAAGCACTTTGTTTAATATAATAATACTAAAATAGTTTTTATATATATTTTATATATGCATAATTTTCTTGATAATGCAGGGTTATGCGATATAGTTATACGTTTGAGAAATTTATTTAAAAATTAAGGAGGATCTTTAAAGTTTTTTCGACACTCCAAGCGCAAAGTGCGTCTTTGCCGCACGCTCGACAGAAAACGTGCGTTGAAAATCGCACTTTCCACACGTAGTATAAAAAAATACGGTACGGCACATGTTATTATTATTAGCACTTGTATCGTAATGTGCTATTACCTCCACAAGGATATAGTGAACGAAAAGTACTTCATATTTTGGTAGCCTCATAGTGTCATTAGTAAATTACCGATATCTATATATTTTCAGTATACGATGCGTCGGTGAAAATTCCTCTAGAAGTGATGAGCGAGTGCTTGGGAATCAAAACGGGTCTAAAATTCTTTAAGTGCAAGCTTGCAGCGCATCAGTGCAATTTGAAATATTAAAAGGAAAAGCAACGGTATTGATAATTTTCTGTTTTTTTTTGTATCTCAAAATAAGAATGTTTTGCCTTCCATTGCATTTTTTTTGACAGTATACGAAGGATATGTCAAGTCATTCAATCGACTACGAGCGGATGTGGTGGCCATCAACCTGCAATTACTCAGAAATATTGGGAGCTCTCGATCTTGCTCTCAATCCTCCTACGGTAGATGGAAGAGTCGATTTTGTGGTAAGTGTTAATGTAAATTTTCACCACATAACCAGCACTGATAATAATAGTTTTGTCATCACCGATTGGTGTTCTACATAAGATCATCTTTACTTATTTTTGAAGTAACCAAAAAGTAACATTCATATAGTATCTTTTCCTTGTAGTGGAGTGCTGCTGATATTTTTAGTGCTCATCGTAGGCAATACAGCTTATGATCTTCATATCAAACGTACCACTAAAGAAACAGACTACATAGCTATGCGTAAGCGTAGCCTCTATTCAATTTACTTTTAAATCGACAGTTGCATTTAAAAATGTGATCTCTATACATTGATTACAAGTAGTCATTAATATCCTTATAAATCAAAAGGGTATCGGACCAGTTGTTAATATTGAATTACATAAAGAGCACGATAAAATTTCATGCTGTTACATTATGTTCATCATCCTTATATTAATATTTCTAATCGTACACAAGTTCATAAATTAATATCAAAATCTTTTTTGACAGCATTCATACATAAATTGCTCACTTCATTCTCACTGGACACAAACAAAAAATAAATTTTCAATACTGACACATATACAGATGTCATCGGCTACATAATGATAGACTTCATTATTTTAGTGTATACTGGATCGTTTGCGGCAACCTGATTTATTTGGGAGTCACTGACATACAGCTTGATCGAGGTTACGTACCAAAGGTACGAAAATTGTTGCTTTTGTTTTTATTTTGGAGAAAAATTAATGAGGCGTGCGAAACGTCCACGCGAAGTTTAAGAAAAATTGTGCAGACGAATGCAGTCTAAACGACGCAACAAACGTTTATTACAATAACATGTGATTTCAATTGTAAATATCGCTCCGAAAAGGATCAAACTCTGTCAGACGAAACTTCTATCTTAACGGGATCATTGTCTAGTTTCAACTTGAGGAAAAAAAGTAGCATTTGATGTGCGTTTGAAGTCTTGTTACGCAAATTTGTGCATTAAAAATATGATATTTAATAGAATTGGCAAAACTTCAACAACTATTGTTTCTTTTCTACGTTTTTAGTAATTTTTCCGTTGTGTTATGACGGGAGTACCGCGATGCAGATAATCGCGTGACGAACAAAAAGGAGACTGTTTGTTTTTCGTGTGCATCATATATAAAAAATGGAGACCATGACGAGTGCACTCTCATTATACTAGTCATCTCGTGCAAAAAGGATTTCGATATCTAAATAGTCACGATTATACGTACACCGAGATCTATTCCCGTCGCCGTGATAGTTATTTCTATTTTTCGAAGTATTGCATTCGAAATAATTTGACACCTGGGAAAAAAGGAGCTATTGTGACGCAGTCTAAATATTAATGAGATTTTTCAATGCATCGATGACGAATTTTCCAAGTGAGAAAAAACATATCGATAACGACACTATTACATATTGCAATATTGATCGTAAATAATTGGCAACTCTTGTTTTTCCAACGTAATGTTTCATGAGAAAAAGGACAGTCAAACGAAGCAATCTGGTAAGGAAGTAACGCGTAACAAAAGACTACGATGCCATATGCATCGAATAGTATAAATAAGCTTTGTATCTGAACAATGTGCTGAATTCGTCAAATGTTTCAATCGACAATATCGAATTCGACAAAAAAAAAAACAAAATGTTTGAGTTATGTCAGTGAAGTAAAACGGGTTGCTATTGTCAAATCCATATCAGTTGCTGATATCCATATTTTCCTCATAGAATACACACTACTACGTGCATACGTTCATCTGAATTTCAAATGACTGTTATAACAGATTTTTTTCACTTAAAATGTAGATAGAACATGGGTTCTCTATTGAGAGACTTTATAACTTTAATTTACAATTTTATTTATTGCATTATTATTTATTTTTTCAATCGATATTTGCGCAAAAGAAAAGAGAAAAAGACAACAAAACTATTTGAAATTCAATTATAACTGCATGAAAACTGGGAATCACTCCGCGTTTTCGATGAGAATATCGTCATCGATGTATTTTTCTTATTCAGTGGAATAAGTTCGTCCGTCAGTCAATGTTCTAAATTGGTACCTGAATCAATACTTTATAGGTGAACTTTATTTTATTAAATATTACTTTTTTTAATTACATTGCAAATTTTTTATTCCACGCTTGTCAAAATCATTCACAAAATGCATAGCGTAATAATTTGAATATTGCTTGTACACAAATTCTTTCGATTTTTAATGCAGCCGTGTTCTCTTTCTATTTTGATATTTTGTTAGTTTCAGTAGCTGCTGGAATTTCAGCAGTTGCAGGGTCTCGCGATATACACATACATTATTGAATTAAATAAATTGAATAACGAACAACATAGACCGTTATTCGTTAGCGACAGATCATCTATTTGTTTATTACTGTTTTTGCTTAAGGCTCAAGATAATTGACTAAATGTCTTGTACTGAGATGCGGCTGTAAAAGTATGGCTTATAAGATAAGCCTAATAATCATTTGGATAAAATAAAACTTCGGTCTTCGAATTAACT